AAGCATCATAATAAAAGTAGTTCACAGTATTTAATGCCTCGACTGTGTGTTAATGCTTTAATGTTCATACTGCCTGTGCTGCAGCACCTCTTTTCACCCTCTGTCTGAAACCAGAGCCCAGAGAGAGAGAGAGAAACTCCCTCTGGAGGGAACACAGGGATGTTAGCCTTTGCAGACCATTTACATGCAAAACTATCTATATAACACAGACCCCAAAAAAGCATAAAAAGGCATCTTTAGAGAGATATATATTGACATTAAAAATAATGAAAGTAGCCTAAATGAAAGAAACTATCCTCGATCAATATTTTAAAATGTATTATAACATTGTAATCCTGCTAGTAATCCCCCAAAAAATGAAATGTAAACAGTATTCTGATTGTGCATTTGCTAATGTACTAGTAAGTGTGGGGGAAACTTCTGAAGCAATTGGAAACAGGACTCAGAGAGGCACGAGGAGAGCTGGAGCTTTGATGGCAAACACTGACGGTTTATTTGGAGTTACAGCCGGAGAATTAACAAGACAGGTGGTGTGTCACGAGTTGACACAGCGGTTGCCAAACCAATTCTGAAGAACTCTTTCTGCAGCTCGAGGTTTGAACTAGTTCGGAGTGTAATAATCAACATTCTTTATCAGCGAGACTAAACAATGATGGACCCTGAATCTAACTAGAGCTCTCGTCCATAGAAAATAATGTGTGCCAGGGAACCTTCGTCCCTGAACAGTAAACTACCTCCTGGCGGCTTGTGCTCTGCCATAGACTGGCAACAACAATGCGCCCAAGCTGCCCCTCCTTAAGAGAGATAGCAGCAATACCCAAGGGCGTAGACCTATGCCATGGGAAAGGAGACAGTGAGAAGAGAAAATTATGAACTGTGTCAAAGGTTAAATACCTAAGCAAATTATTCCCTAACAGTAAAGGAATATAGTTACCTTTTTCATGATTACATAATCCAATTACTTGTAATCCGTAACTCCCCAACCCTGAGACCCCCAGTCTTTTCCTCACTCTATGTATTTTTCTCCATCTCTCTCTCTTTCTGGCTATCTTGTCCTGTCTTGTTGTCAATCTTTCACTCACAATCTCACTATCTCTGCCTCACACACCGTCACCAGCAGCACCGATTCATTCTGTCACTCTCTTGTCACGGCACACTATCTCACTCACCATCATGCTCGAGAAACTGGAACTCATTCTCCTATTTTATTGTGTTGCTATCCTCTCCCCAATTCCCTCAGTTCCGTTTTCTGTCTCGTTCCCTCACACCTTATCTGCCCTTTCCTTGTCCTATCAGCTTAGTTCAGTGACAGAGCCTGTCTCCATGCAATGCTCCCCACCAGCTGAAGGGATGCGTCATGTGCACTTCAGTTCAGTTTGAGCCTGTCACAGCCTGCCCCAACACTTCCAAAACAACTTCCCCCAGTGTAGACCGAGAACAACCCTGCATTAACCAGAGATGTTAAAGTGCACACATCCTTTACTCAAGTAGAAGTACAGATACTCGTGTTTAAAAATACTCTGGTGAAAGTACTGATTAAACTTCTTTACTCAAGTAAAAGTAAAGAGGGCTTTGAAATGTACTTCAGTAAAAAGTACCCATAACTAGCAGCTGTTTTAAAGAGTACCTGACCTCCCTTTATATTAATAGAACAATAATGTCATTGTTAGCTAATGAATGTTTCCATGCTGAACAACGGCAACATGACAACGTTTTCATTGGTCCCTCTTCTTTAGAGAAGACCAGGAAATGATGGATACACGGATCGTGTTCAAACCAATAGGCACGCAATGACTCTAAATAATAATGATCACGCCACCAAACAAACATTCAAACTAAAGGAACCAGCCTGTTTGGAAAATGTGAGAAGTAGAAAGTACAGGTATTTGTGTTCAACATGTAAGAAGTAGAAAGTACAGGTATTTGGGTTCAAAGTGTAAGAAGTAGAAAGTACAGGTATTTGTGTTCAACATGTAAGAAGTAGAAAGTACAGGTATTTGGGTTCAAAGTGTAAGAAGTAGAAAGTACAGGTATTTGTGTTCAACATGTAAGAAGTAGAAAGTACAGGTATTTGTGTTCAACATGTAAGAAGTAGAAAGTACAGGTATTTGTGTTCAACATGTAAGAAGTAGAAAGTACAGGTATTTGTGTTCAAAATGTAAGAAGTAGAAAGTACAGGTATTTGTGTTCAACATGTAAGAAGTAGAAAGTACAGGTATTTGTGTTCAAAATGTGAGAAGTAGAAAGTACAGGTATTTGTGTTCAAAATGTAAGAGTAAAAAGTACAGGTATTTGTGTTCAAAATGTAAGAAGTAGAAAGTACAGGTATTTGTGTTCAACATGTAAGAAGTAGAAAGTACAGGTATTTGTGTTCAACATGTAAGAAGTAGAAAGTACATGTATTTGTGTTCAAAATGTAAGAAGTCAAAGTCAAAAGTCGTCAGAAAAATAAGTAGTGGAGTAAAGTACTGATACCAGAAAAATGTACTTAAGTACAGTAACGAAGTATTTGTACTCCACTACTTCCCACCTCTGGCATTAACACACATATCATGCCTTCCTCTTAATCTTAATCCATGTGCAATTTCAGCGCCATTCAATTCCTCTTTCTACTGTTTTGACAAGAAGATTAGATAAAGAAAGTGGTGGGTAGAGAATAGCAGGGAGATGGTGGTAGGAGGAGACAAAGAAACAGAATTAGGAGGAGGTAGGAGGTGATGAAGACAGGATGAGTGATCTAACAGAGAGAAATGGGTGTTGAGGAGCGGACAGAAAAGGATTGGATAAACAAGAACTAAAAAAAGAGAAGGGATGAGACAAAGATGGATGGGGTTAGGATAAAGATTGGTGTGAGAGGAAGCTTAAGGAAAAACCACAGCTTGGTGGAGTAAATGGAGGAAGAGGTGGTGAACAAATGATAACAGTGTCTCTGTGATGGATGGTTTGATGGGATAGACAAAAATATAAATAAGCAAGTACAATAATGTGCTTTTATGTGAGTTATTTAAGAAAACACAGTAAGATAAACTCCAGGGATGGATTGTGGAAGAAGGAAGGTGCAGCTCTGATGAGAATCTCCTCTCTGTGTTATTGCAGTATCCTCTCAGTGAAAGCCTTTGGCGTCAGCACATTCAAACTGTACTACACACACACACACACACACACACACACACACACACACACACACATGGGCGTAATTTCCACTGGGGACAGGGGGGACATGTCCCCCCCACTTTTCAAAATCCCATTTGTGTCCCCCCCACTTTTTAAATGTGTTTATTTATTTTTTACGCAAGCGGTCATCGTCACGGAGGATTGGGTTGTTGTTAGCATCTGGTGCTAGCTCGGAGCTAACAGAGATTAGAAGCTGTTTCAACAATAAGGAGAGGGAGAGCTCTCTCCTGTCGGACTGAGAGAGATAACGCTCAGTGAGGTAAAGAACTCGCCGAGCGATTAGATTGTAAACTTTAGTCTAGTTATCTCAGTGGGTCTCAAACGGTTTGGTCATCTATGTAAACAAATATTTCCATCTATGTAATATTAGTTGTATATAAAATAAGTTAAGAAATCCTTCCAATGTGTACTATAGGTCAGTACAAAAATAAAAAAACACAGTTTCAAAGGGGAGTGATTAGTCAAATATGCATAAATAAAAAGAAAGAAAGCAGACTAGGTAAGATAAAGATATAGAGAGGAGTTTATCAATGATGTGTTATTGGTTGTGAGCATATTCTAATGTTTTTTGATTATTGAAATATATACAGTTCTGTTTTATATGAGTGTTGAGAACTGTATCCATACATCTCTTCATTTGTGCACCAGATTGATGCATTTAGCTTCGATTTAAAGAAAACAAATCTTCCCGGGGTGCATGCCCCCGGACCCCCCAACAGGAGGTAAGGTCATCACAAATAAAACAGGTTCACATGGATAGGATACTAGATAAGTGTGCACACTCATTATATACACTACACATTTTTCTTGGATTTGTTAACACTATAGTCCCTAATATATTTGTAGAAAGGCAGGAAATTAAATTAAATAGAGAACATTTTTCATTGCGGAGGACCCCCTGTTTTGTGTCCCCCCCACTTCTCAAACCAAAGTTACACCCTTGCACACACACACACACACACACACACACACACACACACACACACACACACACACACACACACACCCTGCTCAGTGATCAAAATGTCCTCAGCCTTGCATCAGAAATACTCGGCTATTAGATTATGCTGACCTGCAATCAGAAAGTCTTTATTGTCATCAAACTCAGGAACAACGATATTTTGCACAAAGCTTCAAATAACTTTCATATATTAATAAATGGATGCAATAGAAATAGCAATAGATGGAGGCCACAGCTCAAGAAAATAAGTCATTCTTCTGCACACGCCCCCATCTGAACTGGTCCCAGAGAGGAAATGTACAAAACTAGGAAGGAACTGGCATCAGCAGCAGCCAAAAATAAACCACAGATTAGAAAATAACGACAGACTTGTGACCTTTTGATTTCAGAATCAGAGTGAAAACGGTGGTGCAAAGTGCTGCTCTGTGCATGAGTAGATTTAGGGAATGCAATGAGATAGTGTTTCCAAATGAAGCATCTCTCCTGGCTGTCATTGGCCGGTGCGGAGTCACTTTATTACAATTCAGACTCTCCTCTCTGTTGTTCGATACACCCGTGGTGCACATTGACAGGGTAATAATTGCAGACATGTTGAAAATCAGGCGTAATTTCATCGCTGTTTATCATTTACCCAGCTGATATTCTCCCGGTGTGATGTGGAAGACAATCTTGATGAATCCGAAAGGTCATATTCAAAGTGAACCGGGTTTCACGCTGACTATCACTTTCATTACAAAGTCACATGCAGTCCTTTTATAGTGACTTGTAGAAATGGTGGAGCTTCACATGCAGTGGAGAAATGTCTGTCTTTTGTCACTTCATTGTGTTGATGCAGGGTTGAACTTCCTTTTTCTATTTTCTACAGAGTGGGGGTGGATTCAGATGGAGATGAAACACCAGAGGACCTTTCCTTTGAGGTAAAATCACCTTAATATCACTATTTATCCCATTCAGTCAACATGTCGATGTATCCTTGGGCAAAATACTTAACCCTGAGTTGCTCCAGATGGCCAACGGTGTGTGTGAGTGTGTATGAATGTTAGTTCCTAGAGTAAGGTACACTGCTCTGTATGAATGTGTGAACGACATGTAGTATGTAAAGCGCTTTGAGGGGGGTCTTAAAGACTGGATAAAGCACTATATAAGTACAGTCCATTTACCATTTAGCAATACAGTTAAAGAGGCATTATTATGCTTTTTGGGGCTTTCCTTTCCCTGTAGTGTGTTATATAGGTTTTTGTTCATGTATGTGTGTGTGCTCTAAACCAAAAACATTAGTCTTAATTGTTTCTCCAGAGTTTAAAGGATTTAATTGAGGTGTCCATGGGATCATTTTTTACATGAAAAGCCAGTAAACGTTCAAATTAGATGCTAATATGCAGAGAAAACAACACACGAGGCTTGAATTAGGGATTATTTCTTTATCACTTATATAATATATATTAAGGATAATGTCTTTATCATAGACAGCCAAAAAAATATAATTTAAAAGACAATGACACACCTTTTTTGCTTTCCAGATGACTCTAGGCCAGCAGATTTGATTATTTACAATATTTAAAATAATGTCCACTGATCCTAACTATGTATTCAGTCTCTTTAAGCTGTGTTTTGTGCATCATTACAGCTCTCCCTACTGGAGGAAACTGCGTGAGAGAGGTTTCAAAGACGATAAAAACTAATTTGGTTAAGAGCTATTTTTAATTTCCACTCGAGTGCTGCAGGGCTGAACTGCGTCACAATCTTTACATCTCTGACTACACGCACTGTACACAACATTATGCAGCATTTTGCACACACTACAACGCAAGGATTTTAAAGTATATCCTGCCATCCTCCTCCACTGACGCTACCCTTTAATCATGGCTCTGTTGTTTATTGTAACACATCAAAGCAGAGGTTCAAGAGGCAGGGGATGCACTTTTTGCTTCCTGATAAATGACAGGCTTCGGCGCACAGGTACTTCTGAGGGTGCCTTTTTATTTTGCATGCATGTCCGCCCTCCCTTTCTTCTTCTTCTTCTTCTTATTTGACCTGTCTCTTACCTGCACTGTGAATGTTCCATGAGGAGGAGGAGAGTCTCAGTGGAGGGCTGAGGTCGTGTCTCTTTCTTATGGAAATGGTTTGATGTAACCTTGCCCGGAGTGAGAGTCTGCTGGGGGCGTTTTGCTACTTTAGCCAGAAGGGATCTTTAAGATTTTCCTACATAAGCCCCCGAGGTGCAACATGTAAAAAGCTGAGGTCATTGGATATGGCCCCGCTGACCATCCCGGGGTGCAGGTTTTCAACATTTCCATCAGGCGGTGTACACAGCCACCCCAGAGGGTTTTTATGTGTCAGCGAGTAACAGTGGTTCTCTCATGGTGTACAGGTCGCTACAGGGAGGCCAGACACAACACGAGGCCTGTGGCACCGTCTGGACTACAAGTATCCTTTCTTCTCTGCAGCACTCTCACATCTGCTCACACTCACAATGGTTACTGCACCGGCCTGTGGAGCAGATTATACAGCGAGTACAAGGGAAGTAGCAGAGTGCTTCATTTCAGGGACTGTGAAGAAAGGACAAAGAACAAAGATGATGTTCATGAACTGCTTCAGGTGCATTTAGAAGGGTATTTGGTACAGGTGTAACACACATTACAACGGCTCAAAACATTTCCATCAGGAGAAACGCGCTGCAGTGTCAAAAACGATGCAAATAAAGAAACAGAAATGTGCCAAAACACATGCAGATGAAGAAGAAACATCTTCGGCAACACATTTGTGTTTTTACATTTCCAGCGTTTTTGATCCTTCTTCCAAATGGAAATGTTGTGCGCGTTTGCACCTGTCAGCTACCATAGATATCCGACATTTTGTAAAACTGTTACCCACATTTTACACTGAAAGTGAGCAGCTGGCTTGCTTGTGTGAGCAAAATAAAACCTCCACTATTACTGCCAAAGCAAACTAGCTAACTCATAATATTTCGGTTTTATAATCCATCCAAATTCAAAGTGCATTCCCAGCAGGTTGTGGTTTAACCAGGAGTCAAAGCACAACCAATATGTAAGCTTTTGGCAGAGCTAGGTAAGCTGTTTCAAGTCCCTAAGCTAAGCTAACTAGCTGCAGCTGCACAGACATCTAACTCTCTGCAAAACAATATTTCTCAAAATGTCAACGTTTTTCCTCTTAATTTGTTGACCACATGGTGAATTAGTCCTGTCCTCTGCAGTAGCATTTCATGACTAATCTCATGTTACCACTTAATGGCCTCATGACCTGGCCCGGTGCTCGGTCAGGAGCACATCATTTGACTTTATGGACTCTGTTTCCACTGCAAAACAATGAAATGTGTGTCTTATTACTAGTGCATAAAAGAGAATAACAGTTAAGGGATATATCCGATCGGACAGCGTAGGTAACCATTAAAAAACGACTCAGAAAAGCTGCAAGAGAACCAGTTTTAGTACAAATCAAAATCTCCTCGGTACTCTTTATTGTAGAGAACTGTAGAGAAGTGTATGGCATCTGTACGTATTTAACTAAACTCCCTTGACGTTTTCTGCTTTTTGCAAGATGAATGAATCTTAAATTATGTTGATAGCACACACACGATCCAACAAAATGGCTGTCAAAACATGTTGTGAATATTTTAAGGATTAAGCTTTGAAAATGAATTGAGTTTTGAGTTTCTGGAGACAACTTTGGCAGCGGTTCCAGCCTCAGGTCTTCCTGTTATGTCTCGATTTACACGGCCACTTACATTGTTCTTGGCATACTCTCAAAACCTTATCAGCAGGGAACATCTAGGAATACTATATTATTCGTTCTGATATCTAACAGAACAAATATTCCCTGAGAAGTGCCTCCTCGTTGTTCCTCTGTGTTCTCACAAGTCTCCATGTCATGGCTGCTGAAAAGCCTACACACGACATTATACTGCTAACAGCACGGTTTTAACAAGATACTGATACACTCTGCTTATTATCCACCACACGTTACTCTTAGAAAAGAAAAAAACAGGATATTTATGATCAGAAATGTCTCTGCTAGTCGTCCCCAATTGTTTTAAATATCAAGGTAATCTGATTACATCTCTCTGTACAGTTACTATGTAATTTGTTACTCCCCAAACCTGCTCAATCCCTCTTCAAACACCACATTAGAAACGACTTCATATCCTTACTTTATTTTACAATTTCATGTTTTTTTTCCCGTCTCTCAGCTTCTGAGAACATTGAATCAAAGGGTACCTTTTTCAGAAGCTGCTTCAAAATGACACTCTTATTTCTCTTTGCCGAAATATCCCCCTTAATTAAATGCAGTTTGAACTGAAGCCGTTCCTCAGTCAATATTTAATGGAATTTAAAATGATAGCTAAGGGACATAGAATTATTTACAGTCTAGACTGGGGTTACAAAAAAGCAGTCAGCTGATTTGTGACCTTTGGAAAATGTCCTTAGTTGCTCTCTAAGAGTTAGAAGAGGGGAGGAATATCTCTGTCATGTCTGTATGAACAAAGCCACAGACAAACACACATATGCCTGATTAAAAGCCATTTTATACAAACCTAATTACACACCACAGACACAAAAGCACATGCATAAGCACAGATAAAAGCTCATATGCACAGACGGTATGAAAAACAATGCTATGACCCTTAGTGTAGTTTATGACGGTGTGTTTGATGGTCCAGTAACCACCGTTTTACAGTATTTTACAATCCCCTCTGGTAGTAGCTGTGGTTGATGAGTTTTGTAATCCGCCTACCAGCCCCTCCAGAGCTCTGTAATTCACATTTTGTTTGTTTAATCCCTAAAAACATGTTTAAACATGCCTGCTTTTTTACCGTAGGAAGCACCAGGGTGTTTCTTTATTGTCTTATTGACCGAGCAACCGTAGCACCTTCCCTTTAGCTTGAGTTAAAAGTCTCCACAGTGGGTAGATTTGCACATTTTACCGAGTGTGTGTGTGTGCTGGGGTTTTTCAATCTGCATGTAAATGTGTGTGAGAGGTACAGAGAGAGAGAGAGAGAGAGAGGTGCAGGATGAAAGGCCCAGCACTGGCCATGGTTTCCTATTGATGGAAAAAAAAAGAAATAGCATTATATAGATGCTTTGATGTGGACCAGGTGAGCGTCGCTGCAGGTAATTGAGCTTCAGCTCGGCTCATCCTGCTGCTTCCTTAACCGTTTCCCTGTCAGCCTGGCTTTAAGGCTCATTAGGACAAACATTTTACTCTTAAGCAGTAATTTTTAAGGACATCAAAGCCCGTTTGATCTCTCCTGCTGGAGGTTTTTGCAGACTGTGGTTTTCAGGGCTGGCAAACACTGTTTTTGTTTTTCCCCCAGCATCCCAGTGGCCACCCGTGTTTAAGAGACCCGGGTGGCTGCAATTCAAAGTTGGCTTTAACTGTGAGGCATGACTTGTATTTATAGTATTATATAAAATACCACAGTAGCAGAGCATAAACAATACGATGCATAACAATTAGAGGGATGTGGCAATTTGTATTGTGTGTGAGAGACATGTGTTCATTACACAGTGTGGTCCCTTTTAGAGGGTTTATGTGCTGGAGCTGGTCCAGAGTGAAGCTATTCCTACTGTATTTAGTTCACCTACTGTTGGGTAGTTCTCTCTATCATTGCATTATGATGATGATATGACACATGTTAAATATACATTTCTCTAGTAACAGCAGACAAACACAGGATGTAGAGTACAATATTTATCTCTGAAATGTTGCGGGGAGAAGAGCTAACATGAACGATTAAATTATCTCTGCAAGATAAGGGGAATACGTTTGTCTCAAGAAATGTCAAACTATGATTAATGTTGGTGTTGGGATATGGTCCAATAATAACTATATTCTTAGCATTTGTTTTATAATAAGTGGACAGTCTATCTTCTTGTTTTGTTTCTTCATGTCTTTCCTCTCTCTTTGTATAAATAGAGTGGAAGTATAGGAATAAGTAAGTAAAGTATAACTCCTCTAAACTCTACCGATATAAAGTATTTCAGTAAATATACTCAGGTACTTTCCTCCACTGATGAGAGGTCAGGAGAAGGTGACATGTGGCGCATATAGGGAGGGAACGATGATGGCTGAGGCAGCAGTTGGGGCGTGTGCACAACTACTCAGCACCACACACACACACACACACACACACACACACACACACACACACCACACACACACACACACACACACACACACACACACACACACACACACACACACACACACACACACACACACACACACACACCACACAACACACACACACACACACACACACAACACACACACAACACACACACACACACACACACACACACACACACACACACACACACACACACACACACCATTGTGAAGCGGCTCTTGCAGTTATAATTACCCCAGCTGTCTAGTGTTATGCCAACGTGGAACAGGAGGACACGGTGCCAACAAGAAGACAACTCACTCCTTCAGGTCCACAGGAAGTCATTATCCCTCCTCTTCATCCTCTTCTTCATCCTCTTCATCACTCTTTTTTTTTCTGTCACTGATCTGAGACATTTCTAAATAAATCCTGTTAGCGCGCCCATAATTCACACCTCTTGCATATCGCTGATAACAGCCCCACAATGTAAGAATTGGCATCAAAAACCTGTTTTGTGCTTATGCTAGGGGGATTGTGTACTTTTGGGCCATCGTATTATTCATTATAGACCCCAAGGTACAAAGCCTTTGTGCAGAAATTATAGCATTGGTGATTTTGTCGCGTGGAGAGCAAAACACCTCAGAAAGGCAATCATTTTCACAAGTTTTAGTACCAGCTTAGAGCTAGTTTGTGTTGAGTGGACACAGAATCAAATGCATCACAAGATGAGATGTTACGACGCTACTGAACACACCTAGCCTGAAAAGAAGTGTTATAATATGTTATTATCAAGTGGCCACCTACGATCACTGAACCTTCAGGACTTCATCATAACATCTGAAAAGAGCCCTTTCTTATCCTTCTCTCAACAGTGAATTATTTTCATGTCTATCCCCCCCCCTGCAGTTCTCCTCTTGCAGAGCACTCGCTCCTTTTGTTGCATTTTTTACTGTAGTGTTTTTATTACTACCCAGGAGAAAATAATGCCTCACTTTAGCCAATGCTTTCTAGAACAGCTACTGTCTGGATTTGCCTTTCAAAATCTGTGGCAAAAACAAGAAACATCTCTCCAAAATCATTTGGTTTGACACGTTATTAAATGGGCTTTTATTTCAAGTGTCAAATAGGTGACCAACTACCCGAGTAACCTATCTGAGCAGACTGGGCTCTGGTTTCAGACAGAGGGTGAAAAGAGGTGCTGCAGCACAGGCAGTATGAGAAAAATACAGAGCTTTTTGAACATTAAAGCATGGAGACAGTAGAGACACTACATGCTGATATACACCTGAACATCAGCAGGAGAGGACTCTTTAAAGTAGAGACACTACATACTGATATACACCTGAACATCAGCAGGAGAGGACTCTTTAAAGTAGAGACACTACATACTGATATACACCTGAACATCAGCAGGAGAGGACTCTTTAAAGTAGAGACACAACATACTGATATACACCTGAACATCAGCAGGAGAGGACTCTTTAAAGTAGAGACACTACATATACTGATATACACCTGAACATCAGCAGGAGAGGACTCTTTAAAGTAGAGACACTACATACTGATATACACCTGAACATCAGCAGGAGAGGACTCTTTAAAATAGAGACACTACATAATGATATGAACCTGAGAATTAGTGTAATATGGACCTTTAACATATTAAGCGAAGGAAATATAACTAAGACGTCACACAACTCTCTAAATACACAATTTTTCATATAAAATCGAACTGAATTCTCCCCGGGTGAGCTCTGGTTTAACTTACATTACTACTGTTAGAACACTTTTGCCTCAGCTCTGGTTTGGAAACACTTTCCTCTCTCCTGTTCACACTCATTGACTCTGACACACCTTTGCCAACAAGCCTTAACAAGGTCACAGATTTCTTAAACCCTTGCTGACACACTGCGGCCCCCCCCCTCACCGACACACTGCCACAGTGCTGTGGGCTTTTTGCCAGACTCTTCAGCTGCCCCCATGTCCAGGAGGTAAGACACATCTTGAGTTTTTTTACATTCTTCTAATATCCTCAGAACAGGGAAAATGAAATGCATGATTTTCTACGTACCATTCAGGACGAAGAGCAGGTGTGTGAGGCAGATCCCGACGACTTTACGTTCGATTTGGAGAAAACGGAGGAGGGGTTTGGATCTGAAGGAGGTGATTGTGGACCAGCTCACCAAGAAGACCTGCTGGAGGGAGATCTGGGACTCGGCACCGATCCTCCTGCTATCACCTGAAGCTGCAGGATTCACCTCCAATCCTATATCTGCCCTGAGGGAAATGTCCATGAGTGGGGTCATCTGAGAGGAGCCAATCGGGAGTCAGCGCTACAGTAGCCTCCCGAAAAAAAGGTCATGCACTCCTCTTGTTCTGACGCACATGCAAAGACACACTCGGGGAGAAATGACTTCCTGCTGCACTGCTGGTGATCCAGTTAAGGAATTTAATAGCTGATTTATAAGTGTGTGCTCGGTCTACTTTTCACACAGAAAACACACTTTAAATTCCAGTACAGCAGCTCTAAGCTTTACAGTTGCATTAGGTCTTTGTTTCTGGCTTTTTGGGGACAATTGCTTATGAATATCTGCCGTGATTGAAAGCCACTGTATTTCCCTTAATCAGCAGAAATGGTATTTGCGTGCCAACTTAGCTTTGCTCCTACCTAACTCCTTATTAAACTTTTATAGCACTGTTTTCCGCTACAATCCTTTTAACTAATTCAAAATGTTGAATTTTGCTTATCATGCTGCTAAGAAGACCTCCAGAGTGTATTGACAGCATTTGGCAAAGAGATGATTAACATGTGAGCATTTTCTCTGACTTCTTTATAAATCTCTGGGGCTCCCATCCCCCCTTTGAGTGAGGCGGGGGTGTTGTGTAAAGCACAAATCAAATCTGTGAAGGTTAGGCTGTGTGAATATGCAGACTGTTTCCCTCGCATTAATAATAACGCCATTGTCCTTGAACTTTATCTGAGGCCTGTCTATGTTATGATGTGAATGCATGGCTGCATCGTAGGAATGCTGCTCTGTTTCGCTCCTCAATTGCTGCAAGAAAATACATGCAGTCTCCTTCGATTTGAGCAAAGGAGACTTGATTATAAGAGCGACGGACGCTCAATATTACATCCTTAAAAAGGAGCTGTTCCTCTTAGATTTCTCGCCTAATTTGACTGGTTTTGCTGAGATTTTGATTTATTACCTGTTCAATAGATCATCCCAACACAATGCACAATAACACATTCTGTCGGTGATGATCTAAATATCAAAACATACAAATTTGACATTTTAAAAATCAAGTGCAGTGTCAAAAAAACATGTTTTTACGGTTCCTGCAAGAAGGAGAAACGAGGGCTTGTTCTGAGCTTTTCATATATCATTTTTGGGCACTTTGAGTATCGCAAACCGAATGTTACTGAGCTGTTTTACTGAAGCAAGATCAAATCTGTACATCTCAGCACTCACATTGAAATCTGGATGGAGTAGGTGGTGGAAATTTAGCTTTGTTATAAGTGCTCTCTTAGACTTTTACCTTTGTATTCAAGTCATTTGATAAAAGTGTATTTCCCTTTTTGAGCCGATTTGTCACGAGTCATAGTGAATAATGAATACAGTATTTCTAATTATTAGGAAACACACTTTACGACACGTACTTAAAAAGGCACCCTGTGGAGTTTTTGACCACTAGTATCATTAAACAACCTTCCTTTGTTTGTTTTCGTTCCCACGAATGCTAATGCGTGCTATGAACATTTCTACTGAAGTGAAAGCAGCTGTTAATCACAAAGAAAGGCATCAATGCATCAGCAAATGCACGATAAGACTGCTAGAAATGAAACATCGACTTAAACCAGTAAATTATTCATTAAACACCTCACTTAGACCTCCAGAATACACACATTTTTGTGGGTGAGAAACGCTGAATGGTAGAAAAATGTGTTTACAGTAAAACTCCACAGGGGGCCTTTAAGTTATGTAGCTAATAGCAACACATGTGTGACATTACTCCTGCATGGTTTTCAAATGGTGAGGAAGGGCACTGAATTATGCACTGGAATAAGGTATGCCTTGGAAAAATCTTTGTTATTAAAATATATGTTAATAGCGTATCTTGTTATAACAATATTGATTACATCCAGTATTATGCTTTTGGGGGTTTTCCCTTTCCTGTAGTGTGTTTTTGTGTATGTAAAGGAGAAAAATAAAGAGCTTTTTGAGCATTAAAGCAAGTAAAAATGTCACAGTTGAGCCACTAAATACAACTATGACCCTGAAAATCGGCATTATGGGGCCCCTTTAAATGTGTAACTGTTTCTCATGCACCGTACTTTGAGAACCACAGTTTTTGTTATGTTTTGTATCATGATTTACATGTGTGGGTTTCTTCAACACAAAAGCGTAAAACCGTCTTGTTAACTGTGAACTTTACTCAATGCAATATTCCCAGACCATGTGTTTTTTATAAGAGCAAGCAATTGTAAACATTTGAAATGGTAGAACAGACTGCTTACACTGACACACAGAGACTTCCAGCTCCAGAGGCATGACACAGTCCACAGTGCATGATATCATCCTATGAGGATTTATAGTGAGAAATCAAAACATAGTCTTTTAGAAATCTAGACGTAGCACTAACGCTGCTCCGATGTAGCCTAGTCATCACACCTCTACCTATGGCACATCAACAAACCAATTGATTGTCTCTGACTTAAACCAGGTCTTACAAACAGACATCAGCAATGGGCTTTTTCTCAGTTGATCTGTGTTTTTTTTTCAACTATTTTCACTTTTACAGACAGTATGGAGACTGAAAAAACAGTTTTTTTTGTAAGGTTTGGAACATTCAAAAAATAACCCCACTTTGAAAATGTCATCATAACAAGATACATGAAGTATACAGTTGTTCTTTTTTTCCTTTTCCTTGCAGCGTCACTATTTAAATCCTTGATCAAAAGGCCTTTGCATTGTCAAACACATCCAATATTCCAGTATAAAAGAAAGTGGTCCCTTCAAACACCACTGCGAGTCAACGGAGAGAAACATGATACATTCCCAGTGAGGCCAGTGGAGCTCCTCCAACAGTGATTGAAAGTAAAGCTTTTTAATTCCACGATAAGAAGAAGAAGAAACGGCACTCAATGCAACATTAAATTAAAAGGTCTTTGGTGGTCGATTTCACAGTTTGGAGTGTGTCAGTAGTGGTTTGCTCAAGTCCTTGGCCTCCCCGGCTGTTCTGACTCTCTCGTAGCCCAGAACAGACATGGCGTGGTGGCAGTAGTCCTCCACTTGTTTGATCTGTTGAATGCTCAGCACTGTTCTCCATGCACTAGCAGCTTGTGTGGCGTTCCTGGACGAGACGATGAAGGGCTTGGAAGAGGAGCTGGAGCCGCTGGTCATGTTCAGGGCAAACGTCTCGATGTCGTGGTTGGCGGTGAGGTTGGCGAAGTGGTAGATGTTCTTCAGGGTCTTTACAGGGTTCTCCACCAGGTCCTCGTACCTCACCGCCATGTATTTCCCCTTCAGCCAGCTGGGCGGGTTTAAGGCAGTCCTCAAAGTCTTGGAGGTGCGGTCGCAGATCACCTCCATGGCTCCGATGGAGTGGTAGTCCGCGCCGTCCTTCTTGTTGGCTTTGTGACCGGGATCCACGAAAGGGATCCGGCGAAGTTTAGGATCCCTGCTGCGCACCACCTGTAAATTCTCCCTTATCAGGCCGTGTCTGGATTTGATCCTGGAGTTAGCCACGGCCCGCGGGTCTCTGACCAGGTGTATCACCTTCAAATCCAACGATGGGTCCTCCATGAGGGGGGCCAGCACGTTAACGTCCAAAATGCGTACCCCTTTAATGACTATGGTGCTATATTTGAGGCACTCCTCCTCCAACAGTCTAAGGCTTTGAGGGGGGCACTTTTTACACACCTTATCGTCCACCATCCCCACCACCTCTTTCCTGTAGGCTGAGCAGAGGGGGTAGGAGCACACCACTTTATTGAGGGTGGCCCCAAACAGTCCCAGGGAGGTAAAATTCTTGCCCCCGGGGCTGTTGTAAAGTTGGAAAACAGACAGGTCGCAGCGGTACAAGGAGCTCAGCATGTCCCTGGCTGCTCCCTGTAAAGACACCGCGTCGCCAGGGTACAGTTTCTGCCAGATGTGCCACATGGGCTCGTACAAGAAGAACACTTCTGCGTTTTGGTTAAAAAGCTCCCCGAAAAAGGAGGACCCCGACCTCCAGGTGGTCAGCACGTAGATGAGCTGCCTCTTTTTAGCCAGAGAGGGCCTGTACAGGAAGCGAATGTCAGATCTGCCCTGATAAGTGGTGCTCCTCATCTGATGGTTACACTGCTGAGGCTCCTTAGTCCATTTATAATTAGCCAAGTTAAGCATCGTGAGGACCAGCAGTAAGAAGTAGGCCATGAATAACACAATCCTCTTCCTGCGGAGGACTTTCATCACGAGCCCAGGCTGTGCTATTATCTTGGTATGATTCCTGTAGGTTTTAAGCTTCCTCCCAAAGCCAGCATCCTTCTCCCAAGGCGCTGTCAACTTCAGTGGTGGATGGTATTGTTTGCCTCTCATCTGTTCCCTTTGGAGAGTGGCTCTCACCACTGGACAAAGCTGCTCACATTGAACGTGGAGCAACACGCTCTGCAGGATGCACACAGCTTATACTGGGGGGATTGATACCCAGATGAGTAGCAGTTCATTAGGTATAATACTCACCAGCCAATTCAAAATCCACAACACGATATCCTGTTTTCACTGCAGTGCGCAATGCTCTTCATTGGTAACGGACGAGAGGAGCGTTTTGTGTCCACAGAGCGGTGCGCGGATCACAACAAAAAGGAAGGAGCCTTCATCATAGCAACATGGTAACAGACGCCCTGTTTGTGCATGTTCAACGGAGGCATCCCTGCGCACTTCTCATCCGATGCATCCTCGTACAGGCAGCCTGGGAAGATCCAGGCATCTCAGACAATAAGGCGTCACGATTTGGCGCGCCCTGCTTTCTCTCAAATCACTCCGCATCTGGGAAAACAGAGCAACGCCCGGCCGGTATCTCCACACAGTTTAGTGAAAGGGTAACCCCCTCCTTCGTTTCTTCCTGCTCCCCCTTCCTTGCTCGTCCAACTAATACAAACTGGACCGATTCAATCAGAATGCACGGACGAAGCCCCGCCCACAGAGGCACTGGATTGGTCCGCGTCGTGCGTCAGCGAGCCTCTCCATTGGCTGTGCTGCACGCCAATCACTCTACAGGGCTCCTCTCTGGCTCCCACAGATCGCAGCAATGGTAGACTGTGGGGAGTGATGCTGTTGTTATGTTTCAGAGAGGCCTTCATCTCTATCTGCATCCTAGTAACCACAATCCACCCCAATATTTTAAACACTATTGGACAGGTGCACGTGTCCAGGATTTCATGTTCACACAACCCACACACCCCTATTTTCTTTTGTTTACAATCATCTTGTTCTATTCTATTCCTGTCTTTAAATTGTTCATATACATCTCATATTAGCCTGTTAACCCTCAGATGTCTAAGCCCTTTTTTAATATGTTTGGTTTGTTTGATATCCTTGTGTAATAATGCATGTATAACCTCAACCCTGAAAGGCATAATCAACTAATAAACATCTTTCTTTTCAGGACAAACTAACCGTATTAGAAATGGTTGTCACGTTAGTTAAAGGTATATCATACACACATGACTTGCAAAATAGCTTCCTGTTACTGTTTTCTTCTCCATGTATTGAGACAGTGTGCAGCAGGGATGTGAGTGGCACCTCTCTCAAGTGGATTCAGCTCCAGTGTGACATCTGACAGCCGTTCCCGAGGAGCTGACAGGAAGCTGTAAGGCTGTGTTTGAACAGAGGAGACCGCATGCTCTGCAGATTGGGAAATCATCCTTCCTAAGAGGCTTGGGATCCCAAAACAGGGGCCCTTTGACCCCGTGAAGAGAAATCAATAGGAGTGCATTATCCAAATTGCAATTTTTTTGGTCATGTTTTTTCATTCTATTCAACTTATTTGATACATCTTGGAACCTTTCTTTTACTGTTTCGCAATAATAGGTCTGTTTACAAAATGTCAACAGTATGCCCTCACTGTTTCTCTTAGAACATCTGCTACAGATCATGTAACGCTGTGTGTGTAAGTGCTTTTAAAAAGAGTTTATATATTTATATATACGTTGGATTATTTTACTGTATGCAATGAATGACTGCTCTTAATGCTCTGTGTGATCTTTCCACCCCATATGTACTCATACTGTACTCATACAATGCATATAGGCTGCTATTAATCCTTTGTGCACACTGCCCTCTGCTGGAGAGTCGTGTTTCCAAACAAGACAAAGAAACAGATTTCAGACTGAAAACAGACTCTCATCAAGCCTAAAACATTATGATTACATAACAGCAAGTTTCTCACATTTCCAATTATATAATTAATGTTAAGGATCAATCCATTAACATTGAGGTTTACTAAACTACGGCTAATGATGTATATTGGTCAGTGGGAAGTAATCAAATTAAAGCACTTAGAGAATATTGAATAGCAGTTTCTGTAATTAACTGTAATAACTTATTAGGAAAAAACCTAGAGTACTTTAGTGCTTATTTATTAATTTCAGTCCGATTAACCACGTGTCTTTTTGGGATGCTGCAAAAATAAAATGGCTTTTTTTTCACATGCAATGTCTGAGCTTTTCTTGCAACGCTCAGACTTCATTTATAATATTCTGTGTTGGCTTTTTCAGGTGTAATGGATGAGGACACAGCATTGCCACAGACAGCATCAGAGTGAGTGAAACATGATAAGAGCTTTTTATGGTCTTAAGGTGTTCTAGGTTTCTGCGCAAAGCTGTGTGTATCTCCCACTGATATTATACAGAGCAAGATGTCCGTTTCCCTCTCTTTCCATTTTCCATATGCAGTAAATGTCACCCATGCATGTCTGAACACATCAATTTGAAGGACATGTTCACATTAATGCCTGATGTGTCTGTCCAGTGTCCACTAACAGATAGACACACACAATCCTGCAAAAGGCATGTTGGCTATCATCTTTTCTCACATTTAATGATCACGTGCGTACTACCTATAGGCCATGTGTATATGTTATAGCGTTTATGCTATAAAATATACAAAAAGGTATGCTGTTCAATGTTTTTAGAGCATAACATCATCTGAAATCTTATCTGCATGTATTCTGTTTAACGTGCAATAATGTGCGCAACGTATTTTGGCAGTATAGGCTGTGAAGAAGAACAGTATCTCTGCATGTGTACACACAGAGAGACATACACACTGATAGTCAGTACAAGGCTGCACTCAAGTGCCCTTTTACGTAATTCTGAGGCACAGCAGCTTTGCGCCTGCGAAATGAAAGAGCAGGTGGAGGAGGAAACATGCGCAGTAGCAGCCTGAGCAGCAGCATCAGGACCACAAAGATCTCCAGGATCCTGCGATGCCAGAAGATGGTGCATGTAAACACAGCCTGGGAGAGGACTGTGAGCTTTTATCCGATGTATAATCCCGCAGTTTGAAGACAAAACGACTGAAGGAGGGGACGTTTTAACCCAGCGCAGTGATAAAGCAATCAGCAGAGATGCGAAGGAAACAACAACACTTGATGAAATCCATTTTGCCTCATGACGACGCGTTAAAGGCTCTGCTGCGCAACAACACTGCTCTCATGTCAGCCCTTATGACAGGCTTTCTTGTGTAATGGTCGCTGGTTTCTAGTGGGATGCACATCAGTGTTTGCCCGTACTCGCTCTCCGTCGTAATGGCAGCTCTGTACCAGGGCACGGACACTTCCTCTCCGGATAAATTTCTGGCCTTGAAAGACGTGAGAGAGGTGAAGGAGGAAACTACGCTGGATGAGAAGCTCTTCCTGTTGGCATGCGAGAAAGGTCTGTTGATATTAGCTTATTTCCCCCAACAAAGGCAACCAAATTCCATTTTGTGCGTTAATTATGAGTCTAAATGCATGTTAGCGTTGGAATTCAGTGATTTTCTGTGTTGTGGGCTAGCAAAAATGATGAAATAAGACAATTAAAGATTAAAATGTGCTATCAGCTGGCAGGTGGAGTACATCATGACTAACAGAATTTCCTGCAGGGTCATTGATGCACGCAGCAAACCTAATTTTTCACAGTGAATGCCTCTCACAGCTGCCTACATGCTGCCCACTGTGGAACTGTGCCCACTGGGGTTAGGATCTATTTAGCTGCTTTTAGCTTAGTTTCTCCACATGGTTTGCTATGTTTTCACAGCTCCTAAGAGGGAGAATGAATGCAAATACACTACATTTGAGCTATGTGCATTCTCATGAGATGGGAGGAGAATATTTCATTGATAAGTTGGGAACATTACACAGGCAGGGTTAGCTTTCCAGGCCCCTGTGACCATATAAAGCCTCTCTAAACATGGCTCAGCAACAGAAAGTGTCCTTTGAGGGAGATGTTATTGTTACACATGAGCTTCCTGCTGGAGCTGAGCCTGCTGCGTGAGCCTTATGACAGAAGCTGTGTGTTTGCTGCCATAGGGCACATAATACTTCACAGCTTGTATGGATTTGACTTTGGTCGTAAGTGCATTCCCCTCTTTCACGGTGCTTTGTCTTCACCGGGTCTCTCAGGCGACTACTACATGGTGAAGAAGCTGCTGGAGGAGAACCGGCACGGCGAGCTCAACCTGAACTGCGTGGACGTCCTGGGCCGAGATGTCGTCACCATCACCATCGAGAACGAGAATCTAGACATCCTGCAGCTCCTCCTGGAACATGGCTGCCAGGTAAACACACACACAGTCAAGAAACAACAATGCATGCATACAAAAAAATCACTTTTTACGGTTGCTGTGTGTTTATTTAGTTTAAAGGTCACCTATTATGCAAAATCCACTTCTCCATGTCTCTTCTACATCAACATGTGTCCCCTCTTCTCCATGTCTCTTCTACATCAACATGTGTCCCCTCTTCTCCATGTCTCTTCTACATCAACATGTGTCCCCTCTTCTTCATGTCTCTTCTTCATCAACATGTGTCCCCTCTTCTCCATGTCTCTTCTACATCAACATGTGTCCCCTCTTCTTCATGTCTCTTCTACATCAACATGTGTCCCCTCTTCTCCATGTCTCTTCTACATCAACATGTGTCCCCTCTTCTTCATGTCTCTTCTACATCAACATGTGTCCCCTCTTCTTCATGTCTCTTCTACATCAACATGTGTCCCCTCTTCTTCATGTCTCTTCTACATCAACATGTGTCCCCTCTTCTTCATGTCTCTTTTACATCAACATGTGTCCCCTCTTCTTCATGTCTCTTCTACATCAACATGTGTCCCCTCTTCTTCATGTCTCTTCTACATCAACATGTGTCCCCTCTTCTTCATGTCTCTTCTACATCAACATGTGTCCCCTCTTCTCCATGTCTCTTCTACATCAACATGTGTCCCCTCTTCTTCATGTCTCTTCTACATCAACATGTGTCCCCTCTTCTTCATGTCTCTTCTACATCAACATGTGTCCCCTCTTCTTCATGTCTCTTCTACATCAACATGTGTCCCCTCTTCTTCATGTCTCTTTTACATCAACATGTGTCCCCTCTTCTTCATGTCTCTTCTACATCAACATGTGTCCCCTCTTCTTCATGTCTCTTCTACATCAACATGTGTCCCCTCTTCTTCATGTCTCTTCTACATCAACATGTGTCCCCTCTTCTTCATGTGTCTTCTTCATCAACATGTGTCCCCTCTTCTTCATGTCTCTTCTACATCAACATGTGTCCCCTCTGTGTAAAGAGACTCTGAAAGTTTCAGGAACAAAGATTCTCTCTCTTTTTGTCCTGATCCATTTCTATAAAAACCTGTCTGAAAATGAGCTGATCAGATTTTGGCCACTTTATGATGTCATAACGATGTTTTGTCTTGTGTAACCATTAACCAATCAGCAACCAAGGTAACCCCCCCCCCCCCCCCCCCCACCTTATCACCTGAATCTCCTCCTAGAGCACCATTGAGTTCTTTGTAACCAAATCTCTCTCAGAGGGGCGTGGGGAGGGGCTCCTTATTTTCATCTAAAGTAACAGACAGAGAATCAGCACTTTGGAAACAGGGCTGAAACAGAGGGGATTATGGGATGCTGCAATGATCTGTTTGGTGTTTCAGCCAATCAGAGACATGTTCTGTATATATCTGAGACCTGTGATATATTGATGACTAACAGTATAATAGGAGACCTTTAACACTTCTTTGTTTGTGTGCAGGCGACAGATGCCCTGCTGGTGGCCATAGACTCTGAGGTGGTGGGAGCTGTGGACATCCTCCTCAACCACAGGCCCAGGAGATCCTCCAAGCCCTCCATTGCTGTGAGCATTACAGCTTATAAATCCTCTCTTTTCTGCACTTGAATCCGGCTTTACATCCACGTATTTCTTATCTTTATTTAGAAACTGATGCAGCGGATTCAGAACCCAGAGTACTCCACCACCATGGACGTGGCTCCGGTCATCCTGGCGGCCCACAGGAACAACTACGAGATCCTGACCATGCTGCTGAAACAGGACATCTCTCTTCCCCGGCCACATGCTGTCGGCTGCGAGTGCACGCTCTGCAACGCTAAGAACAAAAAGGACAGCTTACGACACTCCAGGTACAGGCCTTGTGATGCTGAAGCATGCAGAACATACTGTATGAGAGTATATCGGTGAACCAAAGGACTCGTGCTGCACGGTATAAATCAGTTTTGTCTCTGAGATGATCCCTGTGTTATTTCAAGCAATGATTTGTTTTGGCCCGTGCTCTGGCATGTACGAGCTCAAACTGCAATGTTTCAATGGGTCTGTCAGGAAGGTTTTAACAGCACGGCACCTTGTGTTGATGATAGCATCAGCTGGGGAATGTCATCGAGACAGAAAGAAATGATTTACTGTCATATGCATTGCTTTCATCTTTATTACAGTACCATGAGAGCTTACAGTGCCCCCTTTGTCCCACAGAGGAGTCTTGAAGGTCTCTGTTATCGTCTGGCTTTACTTAGCTGTGGAGAGTAATCATGTTATATTTAATTACTTCAAACGGTTTTACACTGGAATATACAGTACACCAATACAAGCAGTCATATTCAGGGAAGCAGTATTTCCTCTGGGGAAGAATACGACTTGCAGATGAGATTTTTGCTGATGTTTTCTGCCAGGCGATTTGTTCTCTCTGCTTCCCACACAGTCTGCAGTTTGGTTTGGTAAACAACATTGCCGGTACAAATGAACAGCTACATGGTTGAATGATTAAGTCTAGATTTCTGTTTCTCTCCTCACACCCCTTTCCTTTTACCACCACTTTTGCCAGGTTTCGGCTGGACATCTACCGCTGCCTGGCCAGCCCCTCTCTGATCATGCTGACTGAAGAAGACCCCATTCTCAGGGCCTTTGAGCTGAGTGCAGACCTCCGGGAGCTCAGCCTGGTTGAAGTGGAGTTTAGGTATGAGATGCACATCTGTACATCATGTCAGTGCACGTTTATCTGATTTCCCTGCACATAATGACTAGAAAATTGCCTCTTAAACATGCGTGCATACATGAAGACATTCTTTTATAGCATACACATAGGATTTATTTTCTGATTGTATCTTTATTTTTCGCTGCTCCAGGAATGATTATGAGGAACTGGCGAAGCAATGTAAGATGTTCGCCAAGGATCTGCTGGCCCAGGCTCGAAATTCTCGAGAGCTGGAAGTTATTCTCAACCACACGTCCAACGAGGATCAGGTCGACAAGAGAGGCTTACTGGAGGAGAGAATGAACCTCAGTCGACTCAAGCTCGCCATCAAGTACAACCAGAAAGAGGTTAGACGTGCGGTCGACCTAGCATCTGTTCCAGTACACCACGAGCCTGTCTTTGGAAATATATGAGTTTGACAGGATAAATGACTTCAGGCAAACTAATGTTGGAAGTTTGAAGCTTGGGGAGATTTACAGCTCAGTGTGAAACTCATTTATCACAGCAAAGCTAGTGGCGTACCATTCGTATCCGACTGAAGAAAACACATTTCTAAGGTTCTTCGTAAGATGAAAGAACTACGAACTTAACGTTTTTCTCCGTATGGTTTGTGGTTTTTATCACAGGGAGATATGTTTATATGAGACTCATTTTAAAATATGCTGGAAGGCAGATTACATTACCATCAGAGAGAGCCAAGACTGCGGTTCTCCCTGTTTATTGTCCTATCTTGTGCTAAGCTAAGCTAACTGGCTGCAGCTTTAAAGCCCAAGACACAATTGAATGGCAGCAAATCTCTAATTGAACCATATCTATATTAACAGATATCTTCATATCTACATTACTGCATCTGATATCATCATCTGAAGGCAACAGGATAAAGAAAAGGAAGTCTTGGCATCAGTATCCATTATCCGGATATCCGCTGGTTACACCCTAAACCCCAGAAAGACTGTTTTAATCCTTGTTAAAACTTAAAGTTGATGGGTTGAAAAGTATGAGCTCATATGATTTTAAAATTAACTGAATTTGCTCGTTAAAGAAGCCCTATTGTGCGTATTGGGGTTTTCCCTCTCCTGGATTTTCGTGCATGTAAACGGTCTGCAAGGGCTAAAACCCAAAGTCTCTCTCCCTAAATACTAATATGAACCTGGAAATTAGCAGACTAAATCCTCTTAAAGCTGTAATATTTCACGCCTCATCTCCCCGCATTGACACCTTCTCTCTCTCTCAGTTTGTGGCTCAGTCCAACTGTCAGCAGTTCCTCAACACCGTCTGGTTTGGAGAGACGGCGAGTTACCGGCGCAAACACACGTGTCTGAAGATGGCCACGGTGCTCAGCGTGGCCATGCTGTGGCCTCTGCTCTCCGTCTGCTACCTTCTGGTGCCGCGCTCTCGCGTCGGCCAGATCATCCACACGCCCTTCGTCAAGTTCATCATCCACAGCGCCTCGTACTTCTCCTTCCTGCTGCTGCTCAACCTCTACTCGCTGGTCTACAACGAGGGCAAGAAGAACACCATGGGCCCTGCGCTGGAGATGATAGACTTCCTGCTCATCCTCTGGATCATAGGTGAGCTTTTTACTCCCCGTATCATGTATGTTGCAATCATAATGTGTATTTTAGTGCTTAGCGGGCTTATTTCTATAATAGAATAATCTCATAATGGACACCATGGGACTATGAATAGCGCGAGAATTCAATTTTACACACCAGGATTTAATACAATAACCGTGTTTGGTGTAGTGAAAAGGAGAGATTCCTGTAATGGCCTGGCTAAAGTCCAGCATCCTGTATCTATAATCATATTAGGCGAAACATGACAAACGGCTGTTTCTATACTAAATGACAGGAAGCCGGGCCTGACTGGATTAAATCTGTCAGTCCTTCTTCTAATTGAGCTCTATAGAAAGAGGAAAGCTTCTTCCATCTCCCCTGTGGTCCTCTCTGAGTGCTGGTATCACTATACTCGGCACATGCAAAAACATGTACATGCACAAACATGTACACAATATTTGAGGCTGGATAGTGACAGTCAGAAATGGACTCTCCTCGGGGAAGAGCATCTCCACCTTCCTCTTCTGCCAAGAAACCATTAGCATGATCATTTCATCGCTCTAATGGCCCTCTCTTCTCAGCACAGATTTCTCTTTCATGACGGCAGCATCCTACTCCTCTCCACCAAACACAAAGCATCACATCTCATTGTTCTTGGTTTCATCGTCGCTGTGTTGCTAAATCATCCCAATAACTGCACCTGAGAGGTTATAAAAGCATTCATTGACTTCTATTATTCAATGCTGTGAAGATGTTTGTGGTGCAATTTGCAATTTATTCTGTATATTGCAGGAGTGAGATCAGTAGCTGAGTCATTAGAGCAGTGTAATGGCTTTTTCCATGGGCTAAGATAGCCCACTAGAGGGGGAAATATGCCTTAAGTACTGCAAAGGAGCAACGTCAAAGATCAATTTAAATAGCAGTATCTTTCCCTCATTGCAAAACAGCTACACTGCAACGACGGGATGCAGTGGTGCAGATTGAACGCCTCAGGCAGCATCTGCAAAACACCCGAGAGGAAATAAATAACAAGAATGAGACTTCTAATGATTTACAAATCAAATGAAAATGTTACCAGGGTGTGAAAGGGAGCTATTAAAGATGCCACACGTCTACAGACGGCACTGACGAGTCGCACAGCAGCTCTCCATTTTCATATCACTCTCTCTTTCTCCCACGCCAACCCCCCTCCCGCTTACTCTCATCTTTCTCCCACTATCCCCCGAAGCCAGATGCCTCACATTAATGGGGAAATCAGATGCTGAGACTGTGGGCTGTGTGTGTTATTGTGTGTGTGTGTGTTAGGGCTGCTCGATTATGGCAAAAATCATAATCTCGATTATTTTGGTCAATAATTGATATCACGATTATTAAAAACGATTATCCATTTACTTTGAAAACATCCATTTATTGAAAAAAAAATGGAACAGTATGTTTTTAACAGTTGATTACCCTGAACTTTAAGTGTAATTCAACTGAAAAACCAATAATAAAAAATAAAAAATAAAAAAATTACGTTGTTTTCGTAATCGTTGCAAGCCAACATCGTAATTGCGATTAAAATATGATTAATTGAGCAGCCCGTGTGTGTGTGTGTGTGTGTGTGTGTGTGTGTGTGTGTGTGTGTGTGTGTGTGTGTGTGTGTGTGTGTGTGTGTGTGTGTGTGTGTGTGTGTGTGTGTGTGTGTGTGTGTGTGTGTGTGTGTGTGTGTGTGTGTGTGTGTGTGTGTGTGTGTGTGTGTGTGTGTGTGTGTGTGTGCGTGCGTGCGTGCGTGTGTGTGTCACTGCATCTCTCGCCGAGTGTGTGTACAAATCCAATCATTCCACAGTGAAATGCATGATACTAAAAACCAGACAAAATGAATGGAATTTATTCAGGGACAGAAAATAAAATCAGGTCTGAAACAAAACCTACTTTTGTGAAAAACCCTCCCACCTTTTTTCTTTTTTTGTCGAAACCAAGATCAGTCGGGAAATGTAATCATTTCTGAATCATGGCAGAGAGATTGTGTCACTATGCCTCGCCTTGCAGCTGGAGTCCTAAGTTCATTATCCCCACTGTCCATTAAGAATTTATGAAAATGCTCTCGGACACAGACAGACACCCATATTCAATTCCCGCATTTTTACTCTTCAATTTCTGCGTCTCATACATTCCCGTTTCCCCTGGACTCCCACTGTGAGATGACTTATGGTCGAAGCATGTTAAAATGTTCGGTGATGACAGGCCCTTTTTTCCAGCCCATATGTGTCTGTGTGTGTGTGTGTGCGATGACGGGGAATTCCTGCTCTCCCGTAGGGATGGTGTGGTCTGATGTGAAGCGGTTGTGGTACCAAGGGCTGGAAGACTTTCTGGAAGAGTCTAGAAACCAGCTGAGCTTCGTGATGAACTCCCTTTACCTCGCCACCTTTGCCCTGAAGATAGTCGCTCATAGCAAGGTACATGCACATCACAAACACATGTTAAATCTATAAGATGATCACTATTAAACACTGGATTCAGAACGTCTATTAATTTCTCTATGATAATGTTTTTTAATGGCTTTTATGTTTAATCGTTAGATGAGAAAATAGTAAACAAACTCATGTCCGTCTGTTTAAATATACAGCTAGCAAGCACTTACACTCAAAGATGGGGGAAACAGCTAGCCTGGCTATGCTCATTATTAACACTAATTAATCATATATCATTTCTTTAATATACACAATAAACTGAAGGCTAGCTGTTTCCATCTGTTTCCAGTCTTTGTGCTAAGCTAGGCTAACCGTTGTCTGGATGTCCTTACGGATACAATCAATAGTGGCACTGAATATGTATATTTACCAAATTGTTGGGTTATTTCTGTAATTGCAGTTGCATTTTTCAGATGTATTCACTCTAGGGAACCAGTCTGATTTGTTTCTGTGTAACTGTCAATCGTGTTATTCAAGGTTATTCCCATTTAGTTAACAGATTGTGCAAATTTAACCAAATCGCTACTTCACAGACACAGTAGCATTTTGATAACACTGCTGATGTTTCTATTCAAACACAAAGCAATCATTAGGCCGAGCTCACAGCTAAGCACACCCAATGTAGTTAAGCACAGTAGCATCACATCAGTCATCTTCAATGCTTTTAAGTGTGTGTGTTTCTGAATGTGTTTGCTTGTTCTTCAGTTCAAGAACGTGGAGGACACGGAGAGGAAGAACTGGGACGCCTTCCATCCCATCCTAGTCGCAGAGGGTCTGTTCGCCTTCGCCAACATCCTCAGTTACCTGCGCCTCTTCTTCATGTACACCACCAGCTCCATCCTGGGGCCGCTACAGGTAGGAGAGCAGTGGCGACACACACGAAAAACAGTTTGTTTAAAGATTTTGTGCAGGTTTGAGATCATGTAGCCAGCCAAAGACCCCATTCTTTGGGAGCGTTGACATCTTCCAATGCCTTTTCCATAATGTATTCATGGGGTGTGTTTGAAACGCCAGAGATGGTAAAAGTACACACATCCTTTACTCAAGTAGAAGTACAGATACTCGTGTTTAAAAATACTTAAAAAAGTAGAAGTACTGACTAAACTTCTTTACTCAAGTCAAAGTAAAGAGGGCTTTGAAATGTACTTCAGTAAAAAGTACCCATAACTAGCAGCTGTTTTAAAGAGTACCTGACCTCCCTTTATATCAATAGAACAATAATGTCATTGTTAGCTAATGAATGTTTCCATGCTGAACAACGGCAACATGACAACGTTTTCATTGGTCCCTCTTCTTTAGAGAAGACCAGGAAATGATGGATACACGGATCGTGTTCAAATCAATAGGCACGCAATGACTCTAAATAATAATGATCACGCCACCAAACACACATTCAAACTAAAGGAACCAGCCTGTTTGGAAAATGTAAGAAGTAGAAAGTACAGGTATTTGTGTTCAACATGTAAGAAGTAGAAAGTACAGGTATTTGTGTTCAACATGTCAGAAGTAGAAAGTACAGGTATTTGTGTTCAACATGTAAGAAGTAGAAAGTACAGGTATTTGTGTTCAACATGTCAGAAGTAGAAAGTACAGGTATTTGTGTTCAACATGTAAGAAGTAGAAAGTACAGGTATTTGTGTTCAACATGTAAGAAGTAGAAAGTACAGGTATTTGTGTTCAACATGTAAGAAGTAAAAGTAAAAAGTCATAAGTAATAAGTAGTGGAGTAAAGTACTGATACCAGAAAAATGTACTTAAGTACAGTAACAAAGTATTTATACTCCACTACTTCCCACTACTGTGAAACGCCCTGTCATTTGGCCCCGTACCACATCCAACTTTCATGAAAATCAGGCACCGGACACAGCCTCCTTGGCGGAGGTAATGATTATAAAACTGCCTTCCTTCTCCATCAGTCCCTCTAACCCCATCTCAGCACATACACCACCCACTCTGTTCCTGTCTCAGTGAAGTGTGAACACTCAAGATAAGCCCACACTAAACATCACAGCAGCTGTGCTCAGCAGTATCATAACCATCATCATGAGCATTAAGTATAAGCCTGGTGAACGGAGGCAGCAGATTGTGTGTAATAATACGCTCATAATGAACTGAACATCATAAAGATCTGCTGCTTTAGTTCAGTCTCCATTCAGCTATCATCATTTCTATCAAGAAGAGACTTCAGGTTGCACAAAATTGATTTCTAGAACTTTAAGAAATCCATTTTGCTTTAAGCTGTGTGTTTTAAAGCTGGAGGAGCTGACTCTTTACACCCACTATCGGCTCCTAAATGTTTTTATATCACAATTCTAGCAAATACAGCAAGGATCTAAACTGCAATTCTAGCTGCAAGTGGTAAAGTATAGTCATTGGACTCAGGTACCACTCGACAAAAACACACCTGTTTGCTATCCTGGCTCCAAAATGGTGGAATAAACTCCCCTTTGATATCAGGAGGAAAGAAGGTCTACATATCTATCATCACAAACTGAAAACCCACCTGTTCCCTTTGTACCTTGACCATTAAACACACACACACACACACACACACACACACACACACACACACACACACCAATTCGAAACTAATGCACCAGCACTTACAGTAGTTTGGCTTATTGGAAGTGAATACATCAACATTTTCTGATTTCCATCTCTATGGTTTATAGCACTTATTGTAAGTCACTTTGGATAAAAGCACCAGCTAAATTGAATTGAATGTAATGTACTACTACTGTATAGACACAGTATTATAGACACAGTATTATATACAGCGTGATCAAATCTGATTTCATCACGCTGCAGCATGCACTTCTTGATTCCAAACTGCTATTGAACAGTAAGAAAACCAAAGCAATGCTTTTTGCTCCCAAGTCAGCGTCCTCCTCTTGCCTCTCCATTGACACCCTTGATGGCGTCTCTGTTGAGTTTGTCGATACCTACAAATATCTGGGCTTTTGGTTGGACAGTAATCTGAACTTCAAACACCATATTGAAGTTCTAACAAAGAAATTGAAATGCACTCTTGGCTTCCTTTTCAGACTTAAATGTTGTTTTTCAACTTCATCCCGTAAAAGCTTGGTCTCTGGCTTATTCCTGTCCCAGCTGGACTACGGTGACACCATCTATAGATTTGCCTGTCCCACTGTTTTGGCCAAACTTGACCCACTCTACCATGCTGCACTGCGTTATATATCAAATGCACCCTATAGGACTCATCATTGCAAACTGTATAGCCTAACTGGATGGTCCTCACTTACTATGCGTAGGATGCAGCATAGGTTTTTATGAATGTATAAAGCCATTTTAGGTAAGCTTCCACTCTACATATGTGCCAGGTTTGCTCCAGTTTGTGACTCTCACAACCTCAGACCCAGTGCCTGGATACGGGTCCAGGTTCCTGCCGTGCGGACTGAGGCTGGAAAAAGGAGTCTTTTTTTATTATGGTCCTTGGTCTTGGAATGACCTTCAATCACGCCTAAAACTGAGGGCACTTGTCTCAATAGCATGTTTTAAATTGAAGTTGTCTGAGGTCCTTACCACCAGCTGCTCTTGCAGTAATAAGTAGTGTACCTTTCTTACTGTCCTAATGTGCACAATGTAGTGACTGCTTTTTCGTCTTTTGTTTTCTTAGTTATGTTCTCTGTATTTTATATGTTTGTGTAAAGTGTAACGTTGCTGCCTTCTTGGCCAGGTCAGCTTTGAAAATGAGATTTTATCTCAATGCTTTTTTATCTGGTTAAATCAAAAAGACACCGGCAGCTAAACATTTTAACTCAGCTTCTGAAGAGTGCAATGACAAGAAGATTCAATATGAAAAATGCATGGGCATCAGCAGAATAATGTGGAGACAAACTCAAAAGAGGCGATCACGATCAGTGTTGTGTGCATTTAAAAATATACTAATGCTGCTGCTGTAAAGGGACATTTAGCCAAATATGTACATAAAGAACTGGGAAGGTTTGTATGAGTTGAATGAGTTTATAAGCCTTTATTGTGCTGGCTGTAGGCACATAGGAGTGTCAGAGGGGCTTTGTGGTGTTGGTGGCTATAGTTGCAATGATGTTCTTTACATCTCTTACACAATGCAAACTAAATCAAATGTGTAAACCGCACATTCATCTGACAACAGTACAGTAGATCTTCCTGTGGTTTTACTGTCCCTCGTATTGCATCATTTAGCAAAAGTGCATCCATTTGTGTGAACATGTGAACATGTGTTTGTTCCTTTCACAATATTTAACTATGCCAGCTTGTCAAATCCTTTCATAATTAACTGCAAAGCATCCTCTACGGTCATTCTTAGCTGTGGGAATAGTGACCATTTTCCTGTTTGTGCAAGTAGACAATCAAAAACTATTGTATCTCCAGTTATGTCCTTGTTTCCCCCTGTCCCAAGGAAGCCAAGAATCTGCTTTGAATATTTTCTATTTAGGTTTTTCAACAACCTCAGTGTCATAGGTGTCCCTCTTTATCGCATCACAATTTTGTGCATCGTCAAGCCAGCTGGCAGAAAGATGGCCAACCAACTCCTGCCTTTCAGCCGGCAGCGTTTCATTTCCCCCTCTGTGTGATTTTATTACATAAAGCAGTCTTCACTTATGCAGGTCAGTCTATTTTCAGGGATGCCTTCCTGTTATTAAGTCAAGTGCTGTTTGTGGTTGAGTTATAAAACACTAGGGTACTTTTCAGCTGCAATCTCCCCCATCTTTCTGCCTTCCTCTCGCTTCTCTCCCTCTCTGACATCACTGTCTGGATTAGCAGGATGGAAAAATGATTAGCTTTGGAAATACTCACATGACAGACACACCTAATACACACACACATTTCCACATGAACACACACAGACAGACAGTGAGGCAGAGCTATGTGGGTTTCAGTGCCCCCTACTGAGGTTGGAAAGTGTGTGTGTGTGTGTGTGTGTGTGTGTGTGTGTGTGTGTGTGTGTGTGTGTGTGTGTGTGTGTGTGTGTGTGTGTGTGTGTGTGTGTGTGTGTGTGTGTGTGTGTGTGTGTGTGTGTGTGTGTGTGTGTGTGTGTGTGTGTGTGTGTGTGTGTGTGTACTATCAACAGTGTGCGTCATGTTGCAGACTCACCCCGAGGAACACAGCTAATCTCCCATAACTGATGGCACACCATGAGCCATGCATGAGTGTGTTTTCAGAGAACAACTTGCCCCCAGATGCATTCTACAAAAATAAGTCATTGTTGTTTTCCCACAATGCATTGCAGTAAAACAGACCTACAGCTGGTAAACATTTAAACAATTTAGGAATAGTGTTGTGGTCCGGGAACATCTTGAAAAACAAGAAATACAATTTATTCATCAAACATTTTCCTTGTGCTTGCTAAATCTAATTTGATGTAAGTCAATGTATTTATAGAATAATATATAACACATTTTAAACGCACAAAATGTAATTTTCAATATTTCTTGAGAAGCTGGATTATTGTCCAGTCATATCATTTTGAGAAAAAACAAAAGCAATGTTCCTTAAATATATTTATGGTTAAGATTTGATAATATCTGGAAACCTTTGGGGTGTATTAAGTACAGTAAAAGACACATAGTTATAGTCATTTTGTGTAACTTTAATGTCACATACTATGCCTTTAAGTTATTTTAGAAGCATTTTATTGATATAATTAAAAGAAAACAATTGTAATGCTTGAAGTATAGTGTCCATTGATGGCATATTTAGTTTCATGTATTGTTACTTTAACACTGTATACTCTGCTAGTGAATTAATATTAGCAAGTAGAAGGTTTTTGTTTGATGCTTAAATCCATCAGTCAGTAAAGCTGAAGAGCTTTTGACCTGCTGCATTCCCCCTCTGTTTATACAGAAACTAAGTTAGTCTACGTGTCAGTGTGCAGGGATCACCCTCACTCCTAAAGCAGACTGAGGGGATTCACACATGACAAGAGAATTAATCACCCAAATACACCAAGCCCTCCTCCTCGGTTTGAAGGCACACACACGAGTGGTCATCCCTCACATTGAACGCTGTGTGTTAACGTTCTGTTTTGCGAGGGGCGAGCGTGCTCTGAGCATCTCTAGTGCACAGATAAGCCACTCTGGTTTATAAATAGCTTCTTTCCAAAGGTGTGAGAAGACGCTCTCTGTCTTCGAGCCCCTCACTTTGGCTTCTTCCTTGTTTGTGTGTCTTCCCACAGGCAGGGCGAGAGTCTGCAGCTGCCAGAGTGTGTTGCTTTTCCCCTATCCTTAGGGGGTCTATGCTAAATAAAAACATGGGTAGCTGCAAGTGGTCAGAACGTTAATTCGGAAAAACCCAGGTGCAACATATAAAATGTACATGATTGCTGCATCCCCCGCTATTATTTAGCAGCTTACTGAGATACTTTAATGATATATTTTAATTGTTAATGCTGTTGTGCTTTACCTGCTGGGAAAAGGGTCTGTGAGCTGGATTCTGGAGCAATTATAATGCTCTAAAAGGTTATTTAATAGGAGTAATAAGAATCTAGTTCATCAAATAAATGCTCACCCTGACGTCAGAATGCATGACTCAAAGGTGAAAGAATAGCTAAAAATATGGCAATGACTTTACAGTATTCACTTCTACGTTGTTATGAAATCAAATGATGTCTCTAGTGTCCAATCTGGCCCTTAAACTTGTGAGAAATTAGGAAAGAAAATGCAGAATTAACAGAGGAATTTCCTGTTTTCCCCAGATCTCCATGGGTCAGATGCTGCAGGAGTTCGGGAAGTTTCTGGGCCTCTTCTTGTTGGTGTTATTCGCCTTCACCATCGGACTCACCCAGCTGTATGGAAAGGACCAGAAAGACCCAGACAAGCATCCACCAAAGGACTGCGAGGGCATTTTCTGCCAGCAACAGAGCAACGATGCATTTCACACGTACGGGACACTCTGTCATTCTGTGCTGCATTTATGAGTTAGAAAAATCTCACTGGTCACCGTCTTGAGCTTCAATCTCAGGATCCATGTATTTGTGATCCTCTCCAGAAAGGAAGTAGTCAAAACAAAAAGAGAATTAGACTTTTTCTCAAAAATCTCAAAATCTGACTTTTTCTCAAAATCTCAACATTCTGATATTTTTCTCAAAATTTGGATTTTTCCCTAAAATTTGGATTTTTCCCCAAAATTTGGATTTTTCTTTTCCTCAAAATTCTCAAAATTCTGACTTTTTCTCAAAATTCGGACTTTTCTCAAAAATGTGAGTTTTTCTCAAAATCCTGTCTTTTTCTCAAAATATAAAAATCCAGATTTTTTCCAAATTCCCAACTTTTTCTCAAAATCATGACTTTTTTCTCAAAATTCGGACTTTTTCTCAAAATTCGGACTTTTTCTGAATACTTCAAAATGTTAATAATCACTGGTCCCCGGCTTGAGCTTCAATCTCAGGATCCATGTATCTCTGATCCTCTCCAGAATGGAAGTAGTCATCACATACAGAGCATCAACTAGTTCCTGAACAGTGTCCTTCACATGCTGATATCCAAGAGAGGGAGTTACACAGTCACAAGATGGAGGAATAGAAAGCAGTATTCAATGTTTACTTCAGATTAGCTCCACGTCAGAAATGAGCATGCTTGTCATATGTCTATCTCCATAGAGGCTGAATCATCATGTTAATCACATAGCTATCATATGCCTCAAACAGTCCTGATGCTCTTCTAGGTAATCATACATCCTGTCATGGACACAGCTACAGTTGGGATACCTTTGTTAGCATGTGTACTCTGATATTTAAAGATTCAGTATTTTCCCAACAGTGTGCAAAATGCTTGTTAGGTGAGATAGAAACGTTATAAACTCTTGTTGTTTTCACAGGTTCATGGGGACCTGCTACGCCCTGTTCTGGTACATCTTCTCCCTGGCTCACGTGGCGCTCTTCGTCACACGGATCAGCTACACTGAGGAACTGCGCTCTTTCGTGGGCGCCATGATCATCGGCACCTACAACATCGTGGTGGTTATCGTGCTGACCAAGCTGATGGTGGCCATGCTCCACAAGAGCTTCAGACAAATTGCTGTAAGTGTAATATAATGAGGTTGTTATCCAAGGGTCATTTGAGGTCAATTTGGGACTGAAAGCGGCAACTGTTTTCATTCATAATCTAAATTAGATCTACAGTATTCACCCTTAAATGTTGCACAGATGTTTCACCATTTTTTTGCATTTGGTTTTGATTAACGTAAAATATTATTGTTAAGAAAAGTTTATCCACTCAAGGGTTTCCACAAAAAAGCAGATTTATTATCCAAAATAGAGATCAACATGTGTTACAAGTTAACACAACAGAGCCAGCCAACTAACCAATCAGAGCAGACTGGGCTCTGGTTTCAGACAGAGGGTGAAAAGAGGTGCTGCAGCACAGGCAGTATGAGAAAAATAAAGAGCTTTTTGAACATTAAAGCATGGAGACATGTCCCAGTAGAGACACTACATACTGATATACACCTGAACATCAGCAGGAGAGGACTCTTTAAAGTAGAGACACTACATACTGATATACACCTGAACATCAGCAGGAGAGGACTCTTTAAAGTAGAGACACTACATACTGATATACACCTGAACATCAGCAGGAGAGGACTCTTTAAAGTAGAGACACTACATACTGATATACACCTGAACATCAGCAGGAGAGGACTCTTTAAAGTAGAGACACTACATACTGATATACACCTGAACATCAGCAGGAGAGGACTCTTTAAAGTAGAGACACTACATACTGATAGACACCTGAACATCAGCAGGAGAGGACTCTTTAAAGTAGAGACACTACATACTGATATACACCTGAACATCAGCAGGAGAGGACTCTTTAAAGTAGAGACACTACATACTGATATACACCTGAACATCAGCAGGAGAGGACTCTTTAAAGTAGAGACACTACATACTGATATACACCTGAACATCAGCTGGAGAGGACTCTTTAAAGTAGAGACACTACATACTGATATACACCTGAACATCAGCAGGAGAGGACTCTTTAAAGTAGAGACACTACATACTGATATACACCTGAACATCAGCAGGAGAGGACTCTTTAAAGTAGAGACACTACACACTGATATACACCTGAACATCAGCAGGAGAGGACTCTTTAAAGTACAGACACTACATACTGATATACACCTGAACATCAGCAGGAGAGGACTCTTTAAAGTAGAGACACTACATACTGATATACACCTGAACATCAGCAGGAGAGGACTCTTTAAAGTAGAGACACTACATACTGATATACACCTGAAAATGAAACTTCTTTAATGTTCTTGTTGGGTTTCTGCAGAATCACGAGGATAAGGAGTGGAAGTTTGCTCGGGCCAAACTGTGGCTAAGCTACTTCGATGATAAGTGCACCATGCCTCCCCCGTTCAACATCCTCCCCTCCCCAAAAACTGTCGTGTACCTGGTGACCAGCATGAGTAAGTGGATCTGCTCACACACGTCAAAGGGAAAGGTGAAAAGACAGAACAGCCTCAAGGTAAGAAAATACCAAACTCTAACTTGTATAGAGTGGTGCAGTGATGACGACCCGGAAGTAAGCTGTGCAAGGGTTCCCTCGATAAAAAATAAGATCTGTGGAAAACTAACCTGTTTGATAAATGCACGTTTTGTTCAGCCGGATAATCTCCACATGTCTACTCTACTTTTATAATTTTCGAATCATAAATGTAATCGCCAGAAGCAAAATGCTAACGTTATGCTATAAAGGAACTACAGCAGGGTCGCTGCTTCAACGTCACGCCAACTTAAGATCCATATTCAAACATACACATTCAAAATGGTACAAGTTGAAGAGTTTGTGTTAACAGTTTGCAGGAGGCCGGTACTTGCTTTCAAGCAGAACAGGGCAAACAAACTTAGAGACAACGTCCTCGACAACTTCTGTAGTCCTATTCAGCCGCTTGTTAACAACCATCGTTTTTCAGACACGTCAACTCTTCAAAAATCACCAGTGGGGTCACTGCTGATGGATTTAATGTCGTAGAACAAAACGTGATCCGTCTCTGGACTTTGTGTCAACCACAGACCTTATTTCCAACTATTTTCCAAAAACGAGTTGACTCTGAGACGAGGGAACCGGAAGTGGTGAAATGCGAACTCACTTCCGGGTTTTAGGACTCGTTCCTGCACCACTCTATTAGGATGATAGCTGCCAGTGCACTTTGTTATTACTGTCTGGAAACAAGAACACTGGTTTGTGCCATATCTTTGCATTCAATTGAATGCCTTTCTTGTCTCTTTTGTCCAGGAGTGGAAGAACCTGAAGCAGAAGCATGATGAGAACTACCAGAAGATCATGTGCTGTCTGGTTCACCGCTACCTGACCTCCACACGGCAGAAGATGCAGAGCACAGACCAGGCCACGGTGGAAAACCTCAACGACCTGCGCCAAGACCTGTCCAAGTTTCGCAACGAGATGAGGGACCTGCTGGGCTTCCGGACCTCCAAATACGCCATGTTTTACCCCAGGAGCTAAAGAAAAAGACTCGATGTATATCTCCCCCTTTCCCCCCTTTCCCTTTCGACAAAACCTCTGCTTCTCGTCTATCTGAGATGCTGTGTGACCCGAGCATGTGCAAAAAAAAACTCTGCTCTTTTGAGTCACAGAGGCGACTTTTAAACCTGGACCTTAACTAGAAATATATATATATTCTCCACCAAAGCCTCCAGACTCAGGCCCCATATGTATTATTCAGCTATTCAACCTTTTTGTAAATAAGGGAAGCCATTGTTTTAAACAGGATGACGCTTGAATGGCGTAAAGAGGTGATTTTGATGAATACAAATGCTGCTTTTCAGATTTGTTTCTGTCCTTTGAAACTGATCTTTTTGCAACTCAGAGAAAGCCAGAAAAATGTCGTCTGTTCAGCATGTGAGTCACATTACACCTGATCCATTTTCAGTTAGAGCATTAGCTGACTCACACACTGTTTGTTTTGCTGCTGAACGTTTTTGTACAAAGACAGATGGACAAAGGGAACGTGTTTAAGGGAGTTTTATTTGGGAAGATGAAAACAATAAAATATAAATAATATTCACAGACTTTTTCATATGAAAATATTTCTCATTGCATTCCACTGCCTTTTTAAAAACAAGCTAATGCTGATTGTATCCGTCAACATATTAAAAGAAAAAGAGCTTTAGCTAGGAAAGGTCCCACATAAATCCAGCATTTAAAAAAGAATCATTTAAATATATTAAATATTGCACTTTTTATTAATCGCCCCTTTTAAAAACGTCCTAAATTCGTGCCCATTACAGATGAACACAGACTATTGACTGCAGGTGTGATTGAAACTACGACAAATCCCCTTTGGATATAAATCAGGTTTGTGAAGTGTTAAGACTATATTTGTTTAAAGCATACTCAATTATAAATCCCACTTTACTCCCCACAGCTTAAAGGGGAAACTGGAAAGGATAGGATGTCAGAACAGATGTAGAAACTGACATTTTGGAACAATCTGATTAACGTTTGATTTATAAAACATGTGATCTGCTTTACTTCTCCTATTCTGGGCTCCTTTTACTAGCTGTAATCCCTGCTAGGGGTATGACAGGAATGTGAGTGGCGGAGTGAGAATTGGCTGTGGAGAGGGATGGAAACTTCTTGTTGCCAAATGTTGTAAAACAGACTGATGGGTTTATTTAATAGAAGACAGTTTAGAAGTACTTAATGTGTTCCGGTTTATCCTTAAAACATGCAACCCTCAGCCGGATACCAGAACTAAAAGGCCCCTAATTGAATGAAACACATGTATTTTACGTGTTGTGTTGTCAAGTTGGAGATAATTGTTTCCATCCCCGGGCAGAGGAGATCCTCGGCGCTACTGGAACTCAGCACCGCTTGTTTTTCAGGACGTTGAGCACTTTCTGGTTCTTTGTCTTGAACGCCATAACAAAGTGCTGAGGGGCGATTTTCCCGCGGCCGTCCTCGTCCACCACGCCCATGAAGACGTAGTTCAAACCTGGTAAAGTCACACACAAAACACCTGAATGCAGTGGCAGAACAGCAGAGACATTCAGGGAGGCCAAACATCAGATTCTCCTCACGGGCAGGTCTGTATACCCAACCCTGGTATACCATATGTTTACAAGTTATATAAACATATTTAATGTTCTGACTGTTTGAACAGTGAGTTCTGCCGCTCACCTTACACTTTGGGGCGAACTCTTATCAATGGTCGGACAGCAAAGGAGGCAAACTCAGAGCCGTAGTAGGTTATTCAAAACAGTCAACTAGGAACTCATACTGATTTAAATATAATATCCTTTTTTACTTTACCATCCCTCTGTGGACTCACCTCTCCTGATAAACGGACACTTCTTGCACAGGATGATGATCTTGGTGCTCATGGTCTTTCCCGCCTGCTGGATGGCCAGATTGCCTTCTTTATACACGTTGATGATGGAGATGGTGGCGTACATACTTCCTTCTCTCATCACCGCCGTAATGACAGTCCCGGTTATCACTGACAAACACACACACATACACACAGGTCTTAAAAATATATGTGCCCTTTGCACTGATACAGCAGAATCACAACGAGACTTTGCTAAGAGCTAAATGCTAACGTTAGCGTGTTAACATGCTCCCAAATGAATGTGCTAAATGAACAAGCTATAGTAAAACATGTTACTATAATCACCATCTTAGTTTAGCATACTAACGTTTGCTAATAGTTGTCAGAATGTTTAGTCTACTACTATTTGTACTTGTTATTTCCAGGCTGCCTGTAAAGATGTCATGTTGAATTAACAGTATCTTTTTTCAGGTTGTTAACATTCTCCTTTTATGACTCCTTCCTCTTCCAGGAACTAGCAACTCCTCCTCAGAAGTTTAAGAAAGCCCAACAAAGCTATAATTCACAGTCATTTTAAAACGTTCAACGATAAGTGTTTCCAGTAAACGGCCCAGTGTGTGACAAGGCCAGGTTAAATATGTGATAGCATAATTGTCCGTCTGACGGCTGAAGTATGTTGTGGATCTGAGGTCACTGTATATATTACACAAGAAGAGAGAAAACAGATAGCACTGCTTGTTTTACCTGGTCAACAAGTTGAGCATTTTAAACTAAATTGCCACAGCAGCTACCAGTTTTCTACTCCTGTGTCTGACCGGGTTTACATTTAGCAGTGACTTCTCATTCAGCATGGACAGGATGCGATGGTCTCAATATGTCTGGACTTCCCTCACTGTTTCATTTCCTGACAGGCATGAGAAAAGCCAGAGGAATGCCTGTTTCAGAAATGTCCTTCTACCTGCTGCTACTGTTACATAAACCAGTGAGCTGCTTCATGTGATGCATCATCAGATTAGAGACTAGCGACATTTATGGCTTTATTTAGACAAACCATTTCCTGTCTCGCCACTTCATCAGAATGTGACGTAACATATTGTTGATACCACATCACACGGGAGGCTTTTTTCCACATGCACCAACACGTTGCTTGCCTTCCCTTCAGTTCCTGATGAAAGGGAACTCTTTGAAATGCCAATCTCACACATGTGGTAAACACACGAGAGAAGAAAACACCACAGTAGCCTGAATCAACACGCTCATTCATCAACAGTTTACCTACTGTGTGTGTGTGTGTGTGTGTGTGTGTGTGTGTGTGTGTGTGTGTGTGTGTGTGTGTGTGTGTGTGTGTGTGTGTGTGTGTGTGTGTGTGTGTGTGTGTGTGTGTGTGTGTGTGTGTGTGTGTGTGTGTGTACACTGGAGGTAACTGTGTCCTACTGTATACACTCCTTCACTTCCTGACAGACGTATCAAGGGAAGTCTTTGAGATGCGCAAAGATAGTGACATGACTGTAAACGGCTTGTTAGGGGAGATTTGGCTGACGTACGTTCATACTTTTAGGGATAAGCGGGCACATAACAGAAGATATATTCAATAACACGCAAGCGTAGGAGCAACTGGAGCTTATGTGGTTTAAATAAATTGCAATGAAGTTCTTACCAAAATTGCTGGAGCAGTAATTGCTTTCAAGTGTTCCTCGTCGTTTGCATTTCTGCTGGCACAGGGCTACAGAGTACTTCAGAGCTGCGGAGAAACACACACACACACACACACACACACACACACACACACACACACACACACACACACACACACACACAATAACATTTATTTAAGTTGGCGTTGGTTGAATGGCTGTCAGCCTCACAGACAATGTGACTGTCTCAATATTATTCTTCCTGGGGAGGGATAAAGTAAGGAAGGATAGGCCAATCAGAGAGCTCCGTTACAGTATGATGTCATGGCAGGGAGGCGCCAAAATAACCTGGCTGGACTGAGGGGAAAATGAGGATTGTGTGGGAATGTGACTTTGAGTTTGAGCTGTGATTAGGGACACATGACCACACTCTGTATAACGGGTGTTGTGTACACAAGAGAAGACGGTTTTAGCATGTGTTTAAATGTATATTAGGACATACAGGCTCCAGTACTGGGTATTATTTGATAGTTAAACATTTATTTTCTTGCTGTTATTAGTTATAGTGAATGTACATTTATTTAGTGTTATTATTTAAGTTAATTTAAGTAGTTTTTTATGCTTTTACTTTGAAGGCGGCTTCGTAATGTAGTAATTAAATATTTTTAACAAGTACTTTTACTTTTGGTAAGTATACTTTGATGCCAGTTTTGTTGTACTTTAACTTTTGAATGCAGGATTTGTACTTGCAACAGAGTACTGTTACCATTTAGTAGTACTTTTTCCACTACTGCTCTTTGCACATAAGAACTAGATTGTGATTGTAAAGGTCCGCTGTTTAATTACACTTTTTTAATTGAACTGACACATTTTAGTTAACAGAATATGTGCAATTATGTAAACTATCTACTTTTATAAAAAGTTCAGATTCCGAATTTGTAACCATAAGCAGTGCAAAGAATGACTCTACTTTACTCTACTTAATTTGTTGTGTTTTCCATATCTTCTACCAGGAGCATATGCAGTTTTCCCTCATGACTGATAAAGAGAATGCAGTCGAATAGTCAGCCAGTATTCCTCATAGCTACATCAACAAAGACAGATGTTAGAAGCCCTCTGGAGGATTGTATTGGAGGAAAGTTGATACCTACGTATGGGCCTGGTGGTGACTGGCTGCGTTGTAGTGGTGGGTGGCATCGTGGTGGTGGTGAATTTCTTTGGTCTGAACTTATAGTGTCCGATGAAGCCGTCTGCGGTGAGACTGAGGTCGGATAGGAACTGGATGAGCAGCTGGTTCCCGTCTGAAAACACTGGCCTGCAGACACACTCACTGTAAACTGAGAGGCATACATGGGATGGATATTTAAGTGGAAATGAAATGAGAATCACCTACGCTGGGGGGCTGTCTCCGCAGTATTTCCCAATCCTCTTGGCGTCGTTGATTTCCGCCCCGTTGAAAATGGAGACGTGGTCGTAGCGACAGTAGTTATCTCTCTCCACATCAAACTTCTCAAACTTGATTTCAATAATCTGAAGCAGGAGACAAACCACAGAGGAAACGTCTTTCATCGAGCATTGGCTGGTAATGGAGTAACAGGATACAACGTTTGATTAAAGGGTATCATTTGTGGGGAGATATAGTCTTGTTCCACACCCATTACACATTCGACTAGAAGACTACTCCACTTATTGCACTCCTTACCAGTCATGCCGGACAGTTTGAAAGTAAAAGGGTTCAAATCAAAGAGATATTATTCTTATTATTCCATGCAATCATCTTTTCTTTTCCGGAGGGGGGTGTTATGCTAGAGCCAGATTATTGCAACTATTTGTATACAGTAGTTTCCCCTTAGACCTCTACATAGACTGTGGTAACCCTAACCCAACCCCTAACCATTTGTTCAAGATCCACAACATAACACCTGTTTAGGGTTAGCATTTAGTATCAGTGTGGAGAAAACTAGAGATTTTAGTGTCTATTATTGAATCTTTTAACAGTTCCGTTGTTTTTATCCTTTGCACATAACATTTCCTCAATATTAAATGAATTTTGAGCACTCTGACCTGGTTCTTTGGGGCCACTATGTGCCAGGCGCAGGTGACTCCAGCTGGGTAATCCTTCTCCGGCCAGTTTGGTGTTTTGAAACTCCCCGTGGGTTTGTCCAATCTGCCTCCACAGTACTGCTCACCTGTGGAGCAATGATTCAAAAACAAATCCTGGATAATCTGCAAAATATAATTCCTATTACTCTCATTGCCTTCTTTGTTATGTTGTGCACCCTAAAAAGTGATTAGTCCTGTGCCGTGAAGAGTTAAAAGAAGACGGCGTTCTTCCAAATGTCCTCAAGCATCGGAAAATCATCTGATCAAAGGTTGTTCAGACATTTAAAGAACTGAATCACTTCTTGTAACATGCACTTAGATTGATGTTTCCCTTCCAACATGTCAAGTACAATCTTGCACAGTGACAGAAATAGACATTGTTTGCTCTACAGTTTTGACAACGCTAAGAGACCGTCTATCTGCCACCATCCTCTTTGTGAGAGACATGCAGGCTGGTTTTTTAGACAGTGTCCATTACAGCTGTTGCCAGTGAGAAATTCCACATCCCACTGTGAGAAGTGTTATGATATTCCTCCATTTTGTCCACAAGCTGGAACTGTGAACCTTGTATCAGAAGGTCAGTTTTTTTACTGAGCAGAAAAACAAACTACATCTCCTTTTGTTTTACTGGCTGTCTCAAAAGTGTTATACAAGTTGTTCTTAAGTAGGAGTTGTTCCCTCTGTCTGTCTGGGTATTGTGGTGCCAATGACCTCACTAAAACAACTCGTGTTATACGGCCTTGTTAATTTGCTTTTTAAAGACTGACCCCTTGCCAACACAGACACACTCCCAGGCCAATATTAGACTCCTTTATGGGGTGAAGTCATGGCTGAGACCCACCTGTGTCTGCATTACACGCTCGGCTGGCTGCAAGATATTCTCTTACACAGCTGCAACCTTGGCACATAAGACTCAGCATGCAAAAAAACTCTCCTTTTTACCTCTCTCATGTGGGTGGGCAGCAGAGAAGACAGCCAGGAAGCCACTCCCAGCTGTGTTTGCATCCGAGACCATCTGCAGGAGCATCTTGTTGCCAGTGGAAACCAGCGCTCCCGGTTTGAAGGTCCCACAGAAGCGTCCGAGTCTCTGCCCGCGCACATGGCCGCTGTAAACATCAACAAAGTCGTAGCGGCACAGGTTGTCGCTCTCCAGGTCGATGAAGCGAAAAGACAGGACCACCACCCTCCCCTCAGGCACCTGGGAGGGAAGTCCACTAATTAGCTTTATTACAGAGAGCAGTGAAATGTCAGAGTAGGTGCACGCCTCTCATGCATGCTCACTTTAATTAGGATAAATGTCTGTTTACAAGTATTAAAGCCTGACTTATAAGGCAACATTTTGCATTTGTTCTATGTCCTATATATATTCATGATGCACTGTTGGAGGAGCCTGTGACTTAAGTTTTTCATTTCCCATATCTACACTGTAGCTACTGTGCACATGACAATAAAGCTTTGAATCTTGAATGAAATGCAACTTGATCCACACTGTCAGTAAGACTGTTTGAATATAAAGTAATGTAATAGAGAACAGACTGCCTTAACTTGGCTGTGGTGTAAGAAGTCAATTGGGAGTTTGACAAGGAGTATGTGTTTATTTAATAAGGTAGCAATCTATGTTGTCATCATTATTATAGGCTATGTGGTGGAAAAGCATAACATATAGGGTGGAATAAGTACTTGAGTAAAAGTAGAAGTACTCAGATATTGTACTTGAGTAAAAGTAGAAGTACTCAGATCTTGTACTTGAGTAAAAGTAGAAGTACTCAGATCTTGTACTTGAGTTAAAGTAGAAGTACTCAGATCTTGTACTTGAGTAAAAGTAGAAGTACTCAGATCTTGTACTTGAGTAAAAGTAGAAGTACCAGAGTGTAGGAATACTCTGTTACAGTAAAAGTCCTGCATTCAAAATGTTACTCAAGTAAAAGTAGAAAAGTATTCTCATCAAAATATAGTGAAAGTAGCGACAGTAAAAGTAGTCATTGTGCAGATTGGTCCATTTCAGAATAATATATATGATATGTTTTATAATGATTGATCATTAAAGTGTTCTCAAAGCTGGTAAAGGTGCAGCTAGTTTGAATGACTTTGTATACTGCAGGGTAGCTTGTGAATTTACTCCAAAAGAACTAAAGTCTGATTTAACACTTGGTTATATTGTTTATTATTCTGCAAAAACAAACTAAAGGCGTTAGATACATGTAGTGGAGTCAAAGTACAATATTAACCTCTGAATTGTGGCGCAGTAGAAGTACAAAGTACAGTAGCATAAAACGGAAATACTCAAGTAAAGTACCTAAAAATTGTACTTACTTGAGTAAATGTACTCAGTTACCTCACACCACTGCATATGAATATGAAATAGACTCACTTCGATCCTCCACACACACTTGGTGTTTGGAGGGTAAACTCCTGGGTATCCCTGGCTGCCGATTACTCCAGATTCTCCTGTGATGTTTCCCCCGCATGTGAAGATTGGTCTAAAGAGGGGGGGAAGATTTGCTTTTTCAAAATATGTCACATAATAAATAAACACGTATGAAAGGTTGCGGTTGGTTTAACATATTCAATGCGCCATAAGTCCTGACTGGAGGCTCTCCGGACTGCAGAAAATCCCTGTAAATAACCCAATAAAGCTGTCAAATTAAAAGCGGTAGATGAAGTCGTACCTCCGCTGAGACTGCGCACAGATGTGTGTGAGGAACATCAGACTCCACAGGGAGAAAACACTGCATGTTCTCCACATAGTTGTGTTCCCGGCTCTCTTCTCGCCCCGTGGCATGAATGGCATTGTGTGGAGCGGACTGAGTTCCTGCAGGGACTTCCAGTAACTGCAGCCCGGAGAGCATGAATATAGAGTCTGTTCTGCAGGAGAGGAGGGACGGAGCTCAGTCTGCTGCTTTTACTAAAAAAACAAAAAACATTAAAGAGGTTGGGGAGGGTGAGAGGTCCTGCATCAGTTTCTTATGGCACCTGGGCTGAAAAACCTCGAAGGGGTGGCATGAATAAACTTGACTGCAGAAGTGAATGGCATTCCAATTAATATGCATTATGCACCATATAACTACATACATATTGAGACTTGATGGTTATCCAACATGTCATACCTCAGACCTGCAATGAGCAAAACATCCATTGCACTTTGTGTCAAATTTGTATTTCCACATGTATATCTATCTATCTATCTATCTATCTATCTATCTATCTATCTATCTATCTATCTATCTATCTATCTATCTATCTATCTATCTATCTATCTATCTATCTATCTATCTATCTATCTATCTATCTATCTATCTCTATCTATCTATCTATCTATCTATCTATCTATCTATCTATCTATCTATCTATCTATCTATCTATCTATCTATCTATCTATCTATCTATCTATCTATCTATCTATCTATCTATCTATCTATCTATCTGTCTGTCTGTCTGTCTGTCTGTCTGTCTATCTGTCTATCTGTCTATCTATCTGTCTATCTGTCTGTCTGTCTGTCTGTCTGTCTGTCTGTCTGTCTGTCTGTCTGTCTGTCTGTCTGTCTGTCTGTCTATCTATCTATCTATCTATCTATCTATCTATCTATCTATCTATCTATCTATCTATCTATCTATCTATCTATCTATCTATCTATCTATCTATCTCTCTCTCTCTCTCTCTCTCTCTCTCTCTCTCTCTCTCTCTCTCTCTCTATATATATATATCTATCACTATTTTATTGGTTTTATTTGTTCTATGTCCTATATATTCATGTTGCACTGTTGGAGGAGCCTGTGACTTCAGTTGTTCATTGCCATATCTACACTGTAGCTACTGTGCACATGTCAATAAAGATTTGAATCTTGAATGAATCTTGAATCTTAAATGGATCTGTATATAGTGTTAGTTTACATCTAATTTAATATGCTATTTATTGCACACTTAATGTAAATAATGTCCTACTTTCACATGTTGTTAGCTGTAGTTGGCCCTTCATATTGTATATTTGACTTATAGTCTTCAGATCTTTCACTGTCAATATGTATACATTTTACATTTTATTCTATTTTGACTTCTATATGTTTGTTTATTTTCAACTCTTTTTCATTTCCACATTATGTGCAATGCCTTGTTGACATGCTGCTGTGATGAAAACATCAATAAAGTCAGTCTTATCTCACACACATAGGCCCAGTGTAATGATGTGGAGTGAGTGATTAAAACAAGTGACCTGTTCTTTATTTATTTTTAATTTAACAAACATTTTCAACATTATTAGGCTTCTAAAAGGTGTATCAATGTGCACCTGGCTGTTGGTCTTCACAATAATATGCACGGTTAATGTTAATAGAGATAAACTAATGGAGATAGACTTAGGGCGATAGAAAGCGAGAGCACCACCTGCTGGACTAAAGTATGCTAAGCAGCTACAAATTATGATATTACCATAGACTGAAAGTGACTTTAAATTAAATTAAATATATTTGTCCATATATAGATTAGTTTACATGACGGTAAACATATTAGGATCAATACGTTTAAATTATTGTTATGCATATGCGAAGCAACACATTTGAGTATCTGTGATAAACAATTAAAATGGGAGTTTTAGTTTTAGAACATTATATCTTGTTGTGTCTTTCAAAAACATACATTTTCATAAATATTTGCGTTTTTTTGTTCATTTTAATGTAATTATAAAAGACAACAGTGACAGAATAACGTAAAAATAAATTGACCGTCACTGGTTCGGTGATCGACTGTAACCCCTGGCTGTTCACGCGTGCATCTATCTTTTAATCGATGATCGACTTTTTTTCTTAGAAGAACCAGAGAGATGGCGGACCGGACGCCTGGCGGCTCTCAGAAAGCCAGCGCTAAGGTGAATTTACACTATTACTAACAATAGCTAAGTCTCATCTCTTGTGGTGAAAACAATGCAAATAACGCCTTATTAACAATTACATAGTTGTATCCTACGTGTTAGACTTAGAGTTTTACGTGTACGCAACGTTGTTTTATGCTAAAGCTAAAGCTAACATTTGACCACACTGGCTATTAAGCTAACGCTAGGCTAAGTGATTTTAGCTACAACAAGAACTAGTTGACCCAATATTATGCCTATAGTTTACCAGCTGATACTCACACAGCTAATCACCATAACAACATGTGTTTGATATATGTATGCATTTATAAATAATACCTTGAATGTTGTGTTTTTGGACATCGGGCCTACATATTAAAGCTATCTCCGTGTAACAGTCAGTTGGCGCTGCATCTGATAGAAGCTTTTTTAAGGCCATAATGTTGTTTTTATTGTAGCTACCTCCTGATTAGTACTAACTATTTACTACATGCAACCTGTAGAGTAATCAGAATCACTTTATTCGAGGGAAAATGTGCACCGTTACAGCAAGTAAAGAGCCATAGGTAGCTTAATATAGAGTAATACAGAGTAGCTTGTAAGGCCTTTGGCTAATATTGTTTTATTGTAGCTACCTCCTGATGTCTGGCTGCAAATTAATACAAACTATTCAGGGAATGCAACCTGCAGAATGACGATTGAATGTTTATGCAATGACCTCTCACTACTAGTGGACACAGCCCACTTTACAGTGTAATGAGAGTCGCATGTTAATGGCTCTTACCTGTCAACATGATGAGCATCAGGCTTTTGTAATCATCTTAATAATAACACTACTACCTAAAGCAGCAGTGATCTACAGTGGTGTGAAGTAACTAAGTGTATTTACTCAAATACTGCACTTAAGTACAACTTTGAGGGACTTGTACTTTACTTGAGTATTTACATGTGTTGCTACTTTGTACCTTTAGTTACTTAGATGTGAAATGTAATCAAGTGTTAAATCAGACTTTAGTTCCACCTTGAGTAAATTCACAAGCTACCCTGCAGTATACAAAGTCATTCAAACTAGCTGCACCTTTACCAGCTTTGATAACACTTTAATGATCAATCATTATAAAACATATCATATATATTATTCTGAAATGGACCAATCTGCACAATGACTACTTTTACTGTCGCTACTTTCACTATATTTTGATGATAATACTTTTATACTTTCACTTGAGGAACATTTTGAATGCAGGACTTTTACTGAAACAGAGTATTCCTACACTCTGGTACTTTTACTCAAGTACAAGACCTGAGTACTTCTACTTTTACTCAAGAACAAGATCTGAGTACTTCTTCCACCTCTGATCATCTTCATAATAACATTACTACTAAAATCAGTAGAGATCTGTTTGAATATCACATGCAGCCTCATTTAGAGTTTTATTGCGTGACTATGAAATCCTTGTTTAAACCCAACCATGCTTTGTTTACATCGACAGGCGCTGCTGGAGAGCAAACTGAAGTCTTTTAGCATCGGCAAAATGGCAGTGGCAAAGCGGACCCTGAGCAAGAAAGAGCAAGATGAAATAAAGAAGAAGGTAAGTGTCTGTTGGATCTGTTTGTAGCTTGGTTCACATTGTATTAAGATGTCATTTTATTGATTTACTTTGACACTTGGTTGTGTGTTCAGGAGGACGAGCGAGCGGCAGCAGAAATCTATGAGGAGTTCCTCGCTGCGTTTGAAGGAGGAGGAGACGGCAAAGTCAAGGCCTTTGTGCGTGGCGGGATTGCAAATGCAACAAAAGGTAAAACCCTTCATTTATCTACGTTTCTTTTGCACTACTAAATACTGCTCGTCTTTGTACATTCATTATGTGACCGTATGTTTCTTGTAATTGCTCTTTTTACTGCACTGTTGGTGTACAGTTTTGTTATTATGCTGCTGTGTTTATTGTGTTTTTGTAACTCTGGTACAACAATTTTTATCATAATCTGAGCACAAGCACAGTTCACAGCATCCTCCATCCATGACTTGTGAAATGATGATGTTATCCGGCAGTGGCACAGTCAGTAGGGGCTTGGACTGTGAGCCGTAGGGTCGCCGGTTCAAGTCCCCGAACAGACCTAAATATGGAGTGTTACTTGGAGAGGTCCCAGTTCACCTCTTGCCCTGCCGTGGTGCCCTTGAGCAAGGCACCGGACACCCCCCTCACTCCTATTGCTCCCCGGGCGCTGAACAATAGCTGCCCACTGCTCCTAGTACTAGACTCCTGGTGCTAGACTCCTGGTACTAGACTCCTGGTACTAGACTCCTGGTGCTAGACTCCTAGTGCTAGACTCCTGGTGCTAGACTCCTGGTACTAGACTCCTGGTGCTAGACTCCTGGTACTAGACTCCTGGTACTAGACTCCTAGTACTAGCCTCCTGGTGCTAGACTCCTAGTACTAGACTCCTGGTACTAGACTCCTGGTGCTAGACTCCTGGTGCTAGACTCCTGGTACTAGACTCCTGGTGCTAGACTCCTGGTACTAGACTCCTGGTGCTAGACTCCTGGTGCTAGACTCCTGGTACTAGACTCCTGGTACTAGACTCCTGGTACTAGACTCCTGGTGCTAGACTCCTGGTGCTAGACTCCTGGTGCTAGACTCCTGGTGCTAGACTCCTGGTGCTAGACTCCTGGTACTAGACTCCTGGTGCTAGACTCCTGGTGCTAGACTCCTGGTGCTAGACTCCTGGTGCTAGACTCCTGGTGCTAGACTCCTGGTGCGAGACTCCTGGTACTAGACTCCTGGTGCTAGACTCCTGGTACTAGGGTGGGTTAAAAGCAGAGAACACATTTCACTGTGTGCTGTGTGCTCTGCATGTGTGACCATTAAAGAGGCACTTAATGTTACCTTTTTACTAACGGTATCTCGGCACCGAAACCGTAGTTTCGAATACACACCGGTGGTTTCGGACTTGGCTCGTTGTCAGCCGGTAACCAGCTGCCCAGACATTTCGAGGGTGAAAAGGATGAGAACGGGGCGTCCGGGTGCCGTGGGAAGAACCTCCGTTTATTCACGTTCTTCACAGTAATCAGTTACATTGACACTGCAGACATACATACCAGAGTTCCCGTTAGAATATTTCTTTGCCGGTCAACATGTCCGTTAAAGTTGAAATCTTCCGGACAAAATGAGAAAAGTGCCGATCAAAGGTCTTCTTTGTTATTTATTGAGCTTTTAAACAAATTGATATGATTCGATATTAAACAAACTAATTCTAGTAGATTAACTACATTATTCAAAAGTGTTCAGTAACTTATAATAACACGGGAATAATAAACGGAGCTCTCTCTCCCTCTCCTGACAGCCCGTCAGTATCATGCAACTCGCGGATCCAGTAATGAGTGACCCGACAGTCAAACTAAACATATCTATAACTAGTTTAGGTAGTTTGAGAGGTCATTAAAATAGCTACGTGATATTCTAACCTGAAGTGTGTTTTGCTCCGCTCACCGCTGCAGGGGATCATGCAGAGCTGCGTGTCGACTCGTCAGCAGCAGCTGATCTCTCTCTCCCGTCAGATTAGACTTCACTCGCGTTTATGTCCATATCGATCAGATCTATCTAGTTCTAGCTAATGATATGACTACCTGCTTATTAAAAGACACCTAAACAATAAGCGTCGCTATGCAACCGGGTGAGGCCGCAAAGTATAGCGCAGCATTATGCATTTGTTTACATGCCCACCGGAACCCCGAGGCATTACCAACAGATCAACGCACAATCAACCCATACAGGACATCTCTTTCTCCACATTAAATGTTAGACATTAGAGTTGACTATTCTTGTCTGTCACATATTCTTCTTGTCTATCACGTACTCTTCTTGTCTGTCACATACTCTTCTTGTCTGTCACATACTCTTCTTGTCTGTCACATACTCTTCTTGTCTGTCACGTACCCTTCTTGTCTATCACGTACTCTTCTTGTCTGTCACATAAGTGGCGCAACTGATGCGGTATTGTGCTAAAGGGAAATTATTTTGACCGGACATTTTGACCGGAGAGATTTAGATTTGCCGGTCTTCAGCATATTTTACCGGTCATAGTCCGGTAATTACCGGTTAACGGGAACTCTGATACATACAGACTAGATACTTTTCCTTTTCTGACCACTTTCTCTATACTTTCGTCTCTCTCTTCGTACCTCCGCACTTCGCCTTGGCCATCACATTTTACACACACACAGACTCCATCCCTCCGATTCTATTATTGTTGTGGATGAATAACACATTTGTTCACCTTTCAGAGGAGGCAGCTGCTGATGAGAAGAAAGGACGACTCTACAAGCCCAAGTCTCGTTTTGAGAACCAACCGACAAAAAGCTTCTTGCCTTTGGACACACCAGCTCAGTTTATACCAGTAGACAAAAGACAAGTAAGTACTGTCACCGTCAACAAGTGGAGTCTCCTGTTACTGCTCTGTTTTCTGACTGTGCTGATTTTCCTCTAGGCTCTGAAGAAGGCGGCTGAAAAGGAGAAGAAGAAAAGCAACTTGGAGCTCTTTAAAGAAGAACTTAAGCAGTAAGTTAGATATGTTATTCACTCAGCATAATTTCTTCTCTCTGGCTTTCTAGTTAGAGCGTAGCGCGACTCCTGACTTTTCCGTGTGTTTTATTTTTATTTTGTTTTTAAGATATATCTGTTGTAATTTATTGTCGTTTATAGTGATTGTAGTAATGTGTTTTTATTACATGTACAGCACTTTGGCTCGACCAAACATCGCTTTTAAATGTGCTATATAAATAAAACCTGATTTGATTTGATTTGATTTGATTTGATTTGATAATTTAGCATATTGCTTAGGCTTGTGGTGTGGTTCCCCAAGTATTAACCAAGCCCACATGAAGTGCGCCGGAATCTGAGGAAAATATTAGTTGTGGCCAAACGGTAGTACTACACTTCCGTATCAGTCGCTGGGCCCGGAAAGAATTTTTCCCATTGACTAACATTGGGAAAGAGACGTCTGTAAATTGTTGGATAATTTTTTTTTAACTAAATAAACAACCCAGTATGAACATTTGTATAACCCTTATTAAAAACATTCGGTCCTCAAGTTGTAAAATGTGCTAATAACGTTATTCTGGGAGTTATTTTCCTCGGCATTATGAACGCGCATCTAACCCACGGGACCGCGCCGCCCAGCACGTTCATGTGACGTGTTCAGTACTACATGAGTTTTACCTTTACCCATGGATGCACAATAAGAATGGATTATATAAATACTTTCGTGACGTTTCGCTCTCTCAAAAGTTGGGCCATGTTGTCTTCATGCGCCAATGAGCAACTCTCATAGGAATGAACGAGGCCCCGCCTCCCACGCTGTATCCAGTTCTTATTATACATCCATGTTATTAACTTTGTAACGACTTGAACATGGCTTGTATGTAATTGTACTTCCTGTTGTTTCCCGCAGAATCCAGGAGGAACGGGATGAAAGACACAAGTTGAAAGGACGCGTCAGTCGATTCGAACCTCTCGCCGGTGCTGAAGGTAGACGCGCTTCTGGTAAATAGCTTTTAAAGCTGCCTGAATCATTTCCTTTCACTTACTGAGATCGCGCTGTCCTGCACGCCTTACTCCATCTGACCACCCCTAGCCCCACTTGCCACCAGCCTATATCCACCTTTTGCCCTGAAACAAAATTTAAACTGCGTTTCTGCTTCTGTTTTAGCGGATGGTTCTTCAAGAAGAAACCGTCCGTCAAGTGGTAATTTTGACTTGATATAGTGGCCGTGAATCTTCATCTTGCTTAGAAATATTTATCCTGTCCTCTCAGACGGCAGAAGGAAATCCTCTCCTCTCTTTTCTGTTTCTGCAGTTCTGGATGATTGTGCGCCGGGATCACATGATGTCGGAGACCCGTCCACGACTAACCTGTACCTCGGAAACATCAACCCACAGGTAACTTCATATCCAAATTCAGCTGCGTCGCTTGTGGCTAGTCATTTATTTTCCATTTATTCAACATAGCAACTTTGAAATACATAGAGTGCCAAAACCAGGATACAGGAGTGTGCATTTAGTTCACTTTTTACACCCCCTCCCTCACTCGCAATACAGAACAAGACAACAGTCGTAATATCACCTAAAAACTAACAAATAATGAATAATTATTAGAGATGCTCCGATGGCCGGAATCAGTATCGGCCGATCCGATCGAGTGGGTGGGGCCTAAAGTAATGTGTAATTAAGTAGATTATTTGTTTGTATATCATTCTAATCAGTATATATCAATTTGACACTGCTTACATTTTGTATTGTATAATAATTCTCACGTTAAATTTCATTTTTTTACACATTTGAAATAAATCAAATCAAGAGTTTTCCTAACTTCAAGCCGTTAAGCTGTGCAGATTTTGACCCTACGTGCACGTATGAAGTCCTAATATTCTCCATGTTTTATATCTTAATTCTCCAGATGAACGAGGAGATGCTGTGTCAGGAGTTTGGCCGCTTTGGCCCGCTGGCCAGTGTGAAGATCATGTGGCCGAGGACGGACGAGGAGAGGGCTCGGGAGAGGAACTGTGGCTTTGTGGCGTTCATGAACAGGAGGGATGCCGAGCGAGCGCTCAAGAACCTCAATGGTGAGCAGAAACATGTATTTAATGGGAAAAATAACCACGAGAATCAGAAACCAAGTTCATATCTGTGATGAAAGATGGGGAAATTGGGAGATTATTGAACACAAAACACTTGAATGACCAGATGTGAGTATTAATGTTGCATCGATTATGTGTAAAGAGAATTCACAAAACAAGTCACAGGTCTGACTTCACGGTTGAGTTGCCACGTCAATTCTGAAGCGCCTGTCTCTAGATCAGGGGTGTCAAACTCAATTTCATCGCGGGCCACATTGGAATTATGGTTGCACTCAAAGGGCTGGTTGTAACTTTAAGACTATATGAATATTTAATATATATAAAATGATGTATTATTATATTACATTATTGCCTCTGCATTGGATTATTATCGGACACGGTAATAACTTCATAATTAACTACGTCTGAAAGCAGAAGTCTACGGCAAATAATTGCAAGTCTCTTCGGTGAGAATGTCACAAAATGAAAAAAGTGAAATTTGGGGGGGAAAGTAACATTTCTTTTTTTTAAAGCAACGTTTTGAAGAAAAAAAATCTAATTCTGAGATAAATTCTAAGAAAAAAGGCATATTTTGAAGAAAAAACTGTCAAATTCTGAGAAAAAGTCAAATTTGAGATGCATTGTGGGACATGTAGTTTATGGGCAACATGCTTCTGTAAAGTAGCATGTAACCGTATAATAAACGTATTATATTCTTTGCAAGCTCTTGTGGGGCCACAGAAAATGAAGTCACGGGCCGGATTTGGTCCCCGGGCCTTGAGTTTGACACCCCTGCTCTAGATAGACCTTTTAACTAGTTTGGAGAGAGTAATCAACATTCTTGCGCTGGATAGACTAAACCGCTGGGGACACTGAATTACTTGCGGCTGACGCTTACGGCCTCGAAGATTTCACACCTTGGAGTCCACAAACCCCAAGAAGGATTATGTCCCACAACAATAAACCATTTGTGACCGAGAGTTGCCCGGTCATAAACTGGTAACAACAAGCCAGACGATAACAGACGTCAGGGTTGGTCATAAACGTCAGAGGGCAAAAGGTAGATATCTCTGAGACTGATTCCCCAACAATATTTAATAGAGCGTCAGACGGCAGAGACAGCTTTGTTTTTACAGATCTCCGACATCACGTTGTTGTTTACGTCTGTGGCGCCATCTTGTTTACGGGCGCCAGAATTGATATATTGATATAAATCTTATACACAAGATTAGAGCCTCAGTATCACCTCATTCTAGAAATATAGAAATAAACCAGAATACAAATAACAACAGCCATGTATTTAAAGCAATAGACCATTTCAAAGCAACAATCTGAGTGTCTAAGGAGACGAGGTAATACAGAAATGACCTTCTTTCTGTTCAGATAGATAGATAGGTAGGTAGATAGGTAGATAGGTAGGTAGATAGATAGATAGGTAGGTAGGTAGGTAGATAAAGACTTTGTTTATGCCAAAGGAAATTGTTGTGCCAGTTACAAAATACAATAAACACAGCAGCACAATACTCAACTTCTGTGTTCAGTACAGAACACAGAAGTACAGATTAGGGGTTTATTACGTGGTCTCTCTGTGTATTAAATACAGTCGTTCAAAGGGACATTTTTAATTAGGGAGTTGTTGGTTACGGCTAATATAACAAAACTTAACTTACCTGTAATTAGTAGTGCAAAAATGCAGGATATTATTGTGCAAGAAATGGATGATTCAATATTAAATTGAATATGTAAAATCTCAAATTCAACTCTTCTTTCTCCTCCCGTTCCTACAGGAAAGATGATAATGAACTTTGAGATGAAATTAGGATGGGGCAAAGGAGTGCCCATTCCCCCTCACCCCATCTACATCCCTCCGTCCATGATGGAGCACACCCTCCCCCCGCCTCCCTCCGGCCTCCCCTTCAACGCTCAGCCCCGCGAGAGGCTGAAGAACCCCAACGCCACACTCCTTCCTCCGCCCAAAAACAAGGAGGAGTTTGAGAAGGTAACTTGTCAGCCTGGGCTTTTATTCTCATGGGTTTATGGCAGTGTTTTATTAAATCAGCCTTTTAGTAATGAGCAGTCAGATCAGGTTCTCAATGTAAGTCAATGTGAATTAAAGTCGTTTTTACTATATGGGTCAATGACGTAGAAGGGCTTGTTTAAAAATACAAAAAATCAGAACATCTATTTACATGTATCCAACATAAAGATTGTTTTGTACACAAAAAATCATGTTAAAATGATTACTTTTGGGTGATTTCAGTACTTTTTTCACCTTAATTAATCGGATGTGCGCTTCGAAAAAAATGTGGTGCGACCATGATTTATCGTAGAATAAATAATTTCCGTGACATTATTTTTCAAGCTTCAACTCAAACTTGTATTAAATAATGTCTCGGTTAGATTTAAATATCAAAACAGCGCTTTGTAATGTTCTAAAGGACTTAAATAACATTTAAAACATCATGTTAAATAAGTCAGAACCCTGATTTTATTAGAATTTAAGGTATTTTTATATAGAGAGGCGAAGTCCCGCCCTTCTACTTCCGCCCCATGGGACCTTATTTCGGAAAAAGTATGTATTGAAGTCAATGGAGAGAGAAAGATTATCTTACGATCCCGTTTGAATTGAGCCATGAATTACACATATGATGTTTGTCAATTAAAAAGATAATTTTGCAAGTCAAAAAAATAAAAATGTGTCTTAAAACTGTGAAGTAACACTTTTTTGGTGTGAAACCGCTCAATGAACTCCATCTCCCGTCTCGCACTGCTATCCGAATTACAGTTCATTTAGACTGTAGCCCACATTATCATAACATTGATAATTCCACAATGACATTACGTACTTGTCTTCGTCTATCACCTCTCCAAACTTTCTCTGGTAGTCTTTCTAGTTGCGTATTTTTCATAGTCTTATATTTCAACAGTTTTATGACAAACTGTGACTTTTTTTTACATGGAAATGATTTTTTAAGATTGACAAACATCATATGTGTAATTCGTGGCACAATTCAGTTTGTTGTAAAACTTGAAATATAAGACTATGAAAAATACGCAACTAGAAAGACTACCAGAGAAAGTTTGGAGAGGTGATAGACGAGGACAAGTAGGTAATGTCATTGTGGAATTATCAATGTTATGATAATGTAGGCTACAGTCTAAATAAACTTTAATTTGGATAGCAGTGCGAGACGGGAGATGTAGTTCATTGAGCGGTTTCACACCAAAAATGTGTTACTTGTGTTATTTTTTTGACTTGCAAAATTATCTTTTAAATTGACAAACATCATGTGTGTAATTCGTGGCACAATAAGAAGATAACCTTTCTCTCGTCGTTGACTTCAATACATACTTTTTCCTAAATAAGGTCCCATGGAGGTCCACCGGAAAGGGAGGGACTTCACCTCTCTATTAGTTTTCGAAACAGCATTCAAGACCGTCAGTCGCACCACAATATATTTTAGACACTTTGAATAACAAAAGAAAATATGAATATTGTGTGTACATAAATATGAAAGCTGCTATTTATAAATAATATAGTAAAGATTATTTTTGACGCTTGGAAAGAAAACCGGTGCCACGACATTGACCCATATATGAAAGTGTGGGAGTAATGAAATGTTAGCGTGTGGAGATGATTAGATGATTGAAACACTGACAGCAGTGAAGGAAAGCAGTTGTTGTCTGTTTGCACTTTAAATGAATTTTTTATATTTTTCACCTGTTGCCTTTTTAACAATACTCACATTCTATGTTTATTATCTGATGTGACTTCATATACAGACTCTGTCGCAAGCCATAGTCAAAGTGGTTATCCCAACAGAAAGGTACATGTTTTTCTTTTTTTTAAATTGGTGTACAAACTTAGAAAACAAAAAAAAACCATCCCATAATGAAGCTTAAGCTTGATCTGTTGATCCTCACATGCTACAGGGGGCCGGGCCGTGTGGGTGAGCAATGGTTGGAGTTATTGTCATTTTCATTAGTGGATAGAATAACACCGACTCTCATCACTCATATTTCATTTTGAACAGAGGTGGGACGTGACTAAGTGTATTTACAAGTACTTAAGGACCATTTTAAGATACTTTACTTGAGTATTTCCATTTTACAATACTTTGTACTTTTACTCCACTACATGTATTTAATACCTTTAGTTACTTTACAGATCTGGATGAATGATGTGAAATATAATCAAGTGTTAAATCAGACTTTAGTTCCACCTGGAGTAAATCCACAAGCTACCCTGCAGTATACAAAGTCATTCAAACTAGCTGCACCTTTACCAGCTTTGAGAACACTTTAATGATCAATCATTATAAAACATATCATATATATTATTCTGAAATGGACCAATCTGCACAATGACTACTTTTACTGTCGCTACTTTCACTATATTTTGATGATAATACTTTTCTACTTTGACTTGAGGAACATTTTGAATGCAGGACTTTTACTGTAACAGAGTATTCATACACTCTGGTACTTCTACTTTTACTCAAGTACAAGATCGGAGTACTTCTACTTTTACTCAAGAACAAGATCTGAGTACTTCTACTTTTACTCAAGTACAAGATCTGAGTACTTCTACTTTTACTCAAGTACAAGATCTGAGTACTTCTACTTTTACTCAAGAACAAGATCCGAGTACTTCTACTTTTACTCAAGAACAAGATCTGAGTACTTCTACTTTTACTCAAGTACAAAATCGGAGTACTTTTACTCAAGTACAAAATCAAGATCTGAGTACTCCTACTTTTACTCAAGTACAAGATCTGAGTACTTCGATTTTGTACTTGAGTAAAAGTAGAAGTACTCAGATCTTGTACTTGAGTAAAAGTAGGAGTACTCGGATCTTGATTTTGTACTTGAGTAAAAGTACTCCGATTTTGTGCTTGAGTAAAAGTAGGAGTACTTCTACTTTTACTCAAGTACAAGATCTGAGTACTTCTACTTTTACTCAAGTACAAAATCGGAGTACTTCTACTTTTACTCAAGTACAAGATCTGAGTACTTCTACTTTTACTCAAGTACAAAATCGGAGTACTTCTACTTTTACTCAAGTACAAGATCTGAGTACTTCTACTTTTACTCAAGTACAAGATCTAAGTACTTCTACTTTTACTCAAGTACAAGACCTGTGTACTTCTACTTTTACTCAAGTACAAGATAAGTAAGCTAAGCATCTTTGAGTTCCAGAAAAGCGCATATAAATATAATTTATTATTAAGATCTGAGTACTTCTACTTTTACTCAAGTACATGATCTGAGTACTTCTACTTTTACTCAAGTACAAGACCTGAGTACTTCTACTTTTACTCAAGTACATGATCTAAGTACTTCTACTTTTACTCAAGTATAAGATCTGAGTACTTCTCCCACCTCTGCTTTTTAAACATGTAGTAAAACATCATCCTAGTGCTTTTTAAACGAGCTGCATCCTCATGACCTTCCTCATCATGACCTTCCTCATCATGACCTTCCTCATCATGACCTTCCTCCATACTTCCACATCGTGTTGTTGTTTCTTAACATTAGTGACACATAGTCAGCTGACTGTAGGTCTGTAGTGATGACACCCTGCTCTCGGACCATTGCTCCCTCCCACCGTCTCCCCCCTTTGGCCTCTGTCTGTATTTGGGAGCTCAGTAAATCTGGCCCCTCTGCCATTAAAACCCAAAACCCACCACTATTAGTCTCTATATGACCTTTGACATTGGCCTTGGTGAGCAGCACAAGTTGAACTGTCTGCAGCAGCGAGGGACCTGAAAAGCATCATGGGATGGATTGGGAAAGTATACTGAATTTTACAACCCCCCCGCCATTGGTATGATCGGCTCCAATACAAGTAAATGTGATCTGTGTTGTCAAATGAAAGACATCCTTTTGTCTTGTTGGCCACTTTAGGTTAATTGCACCATGTATCTCCCAAAAAGGGTCACAAAACGATCTGATTGGCCATTAGCAGATCTCATTTTTAAGATATCTATGCCAACAGTCCTGTACTGCTTTGGTTCTTCCTCACTTCACATTAGTCAGGACATTAGAGGGAATTGAAAGGCACTGCATTAACCGTCTTTTTCAGTTCATGCAGTGTCTCGTCAACGTCTCTCTCCTACTTTCCCAAGTTCACCTGTCGCACATTTTAAAAGATGTTATTAAAGAAAAGGGTCCAGGCAGTGCAATGTACTTTAAAACCTGTTGCACTGTAGCTCTTAAAAACACATACATATGAACATGTTAGATTGTATGCACATATTGTTAATTGAAATGATAGTTTTACTGTAGTTTGAGTTGTCATTTTAAGTTTTTTTTGCAGCATTTATGCACTTTTGATTCATACATAGGCTCAGTCACAGTTGCATTTAATTTGTGCGTGGTCACGTGACACCTTTTGGCAGTTGTTTTAACTAAGATAAGGCTTCACAATCAATTATAACTTGATATATATTAGTGTTTTAGTGACATCTTAACCACAAAACACGTTAAAACAAGTACAAAAATATGGCGGTTACAGCCTACTGCGTGTAATATCTGCAGTTACACCCTGCTAAACATAATCAATAAAGCATAGTTTCTGCTTATAGTCAACTGTTCCTGAGTGTCAGTCAACCACGCACACATTAAAGTTACACAGACAGGCTTTCTGTAGTGTTCAAGAGTCAGGCCAGTCTGAATCCGTGTGCTTTAACTGTGTTTTTCTTGTAGGAATTTGCTCTCTCTCATCCACCGAATGATCGAGTTTGTGGTGCGTGAAGGCCCAATGTTTGAAGCCATGATCATGAACAGAGAAATCAACAACCCCATGTACAGGTAAGCCACCGTGGACATCAGTATAGAGAGGCGAAGTCCCGCCCTTCTACTTCCGACCCATGGGACCTTATTTTGGAAAAATGATGTATTGAAGTCAATGGAGAGAGAAAACGTATCTTTCTCTCCCGTTTGAATTGTGCCACGAATTACACATATGATGTTTGTAAATCTTAAATAATCATTTCCATGTCAAAAAAGTCACAGTTTGTCGTAAAACTGTTGAAATATAAGACTATGAAAAATACGCAACTAGAAAGACTACAAATCCCAGAGTCCCGGTCCCGCATGCTGGCTCTTAGGAACCGACTCACTCCCCTTGTGTGTATGTACAGCTCTCAACATGCCCAGACTTGGAGTGATTTTCACCTCTTTTAATACTTTCCGCCTCATTCTGAAAGAAAGAAGTGAAATGTGCCAACGTGACGGCCGTCTGGGTGTGTGGTGCGAGACGGGAGATGGAGTTCATTGAGCGGTTTCACACAAACAAAGTGTTGCTTCACAGTTTCACGACACATTTTAATTTTTTTTTACTTGCAAAATTATCTTTTAAATTGACAAACATCATATGTGTAATTCGTGGCACAATTCAAACGGGATTGAACGATAATCTTTCTCTCTCCATTGACTTCAATACATAACTTTTCCGAAATAAGGTCCCATGGAGGTCCCCCGGAAAGGGAGGGACTTCGCCACTCTATTGCTGTTAGATTTGATAATTTAAGTAGTTTTTGTGACCCTTTTTCTGACGTTTGTGTTTCCTTTCCAGGTTTCTATTTGAGAACCAAAGCCCAGCACATGTATACTACCGGTGGAAGATCTACACCATACTACAGGTGTGATATCTAATTAAAATAGCTTTTTAAATTCAGCATTAAGTGAAGTGTCTCAGGATCTTGTCACTAACTGTTCATTATTACCTGCTCAGGGTGAAGCGCCAGTCAAATGGAAAACGGAGGACTTTAGGATGTTTAAGAACGGCTCCTTGTGGCGCCCGCCTCCTCTGAACCCGTACCTTCACGGTCCGTATGATGACGGCGAGGAAGAGGAGGTAGAGGAGGAGGCCGGCAAGAAAGGCTGTTTGAAAGAAGAGTAAGACCATTTCCTTATGCTGTTATTTAAAATGGGGTTTTACGCGTGCGTCTGTCTGTCTCTATAATTACGCTTTCCTTTCCTCTCTGCAGTGAGAGGGACAAACTGGAGGAGATGCTGCGAGGGATGAGTCCCAGGAGAGGAGACATCGCGGAGGCCATGTTGTTTTGTCTGAGCCACGCAGAAGCAGCTGAGGAGATCGTGGAGTGCGTCACTGAGTCTCTCTCCATCCTCAAAACCCCTCTACCCAAGAAGGCAAGACAGACAGTCTATTCATGTGAAATACTGTGGTTGAAATCATGATTTAAATATAATAATTAATATTGTTCTCCTCACGTTTCAGATCGCACGGTTATATCTAGTGTCTGATGTGCTGTACAACTCCTCGGCCAAAGTATCCAATGCGTCTTACTACAGAAAATAGTACGTTAAATCACCTTTTTTGGTCTTTATTACAAGATTGGAAAACCTTATCATCTGCTTTAAATTCATATTTGTCTTCAATAGTTTTGAGGCAAAGCTCTCCCAGATATTTGCAGACCTCAACGCGACGTACAAAGCGATTCAGGGTCACCTACAGAGCGAAAACTTCAAGGTACAAAACCACACAACGTCTACACAACACCATTTACAGATTGTCTCTTACACACGACACTAAACTCTCCTGGTCTGTTTTATTTTCCGTGTGTGCAGCAACGCGTCATGGCGTGTTTCCGCGCCTGGGAGGACTGGGCCGTGTACCCCGACCCGTTCCTCATCAAGCTGCAGAACATATTCCTCGGGCTGGTTAACATCGCAGCCGTGGAGAAGGAAGTCCCTGTTCTCATCGTGGAGGTAAATACTTGTAAATACATCTGGTATTGGAATATGCTTCCAGCTGATCTTAAAACAATACCTTAATTAATCCATTACATTCATTTGTTGAATAATGACTAATAAAGAGCCAGTTGATGCTAGTTGATGGTGAATATGTGTACCCTTTTTAATATAAAGTGTTACCAAAAACACATACAAATGTAAAAAGCAAGTAGCATTATTATTATTATTTATTTAACCCCTAACCCTGTTTGTCCCAGGCTGAGCCGGCAGAGGACATCGACGGCGCTCCCATAGGAGAGTATGCCGATGTGGGTCTGATGGAGGACGTGGACGGCGTGCCGATCGACGGCGGACACATCGACGGAGCGCCGATCGACGGAGCGCCGCTGGACGACCTGGACGGGGTCCCCATAAAACCCATGGAGGAAGACATCGATGGGATACCTTGTGAGTATTTTTTTTTTATTACTTTATTTAGAATTTTTCCTTTTAGTTACTGTAGTGGCTTTTTAACCTTATCCATACATAAGCCACTGAGGGATGGGAACGGGAGAACATATATCTTTCAATCCATTTATTTTGTTGTCCATATAGCCTTTCTGTTACCATTCAGATACCGATATATGCACGCCAGTCACGCTGAATACAAACAGGTTTAACACGCAGCTCATATTAACACGGCTTCTGAAAAAAACGGTTTGCTTCCGTCCCAAAACTCCTGCACCTGATCACCCAGTGATTACATTTATATACACACACACACACAATGAATACTCCATCTTGTGGAGAAAGTTGGAACTGCATCATTCAAAATAAAGAAGTCGGAGCACGCTTAATTGCTTCGCTTTTACATAAAACAGCTCCGCTCCGGCCTTCCCGCGCAATGCGCGTGACCGGCAAGTGTTTTTGTTACGTGTGTGACCTGGGCATTCTGATGAGAGTGATAGATGACAGTATGCCAGGAGGTTGCCGTTTCAACGAGCGTTGGCTAGCAGAAGACAAATACAAGCCATGGCTAAGACGAGGGTCAAGCCCAAGAGTAGCCTCCTGCAAAGTGTGCAACAATAACGATGCGAGAGTCTGCGCTGACGCCACACACCACACGAAAGGTACGCCATAGTAGAGCATTTTAGATTAGGCTATCGTTGCATGTAAAATACATGACACTTTTCTCTGTGTGCGGCAAAACAAGCTCGCCAAAATGGCTTCACTAGTCTGGCAGTATTTTAAGTGTCCGAAAATGACAATAAAATAGCGGCATGCAACGTGTGTGTGAAGCAGAAATCCTGCAGCTCCACCCGCTGTGACGGACCGGTGAGCGGAGCAGAACACACATTAAGAGTTAGACCTAACACACTTAGCTATTTTATCTACCTCTGGAACAAGCTGATTCCGGCGATCGGCCCCAAAATTGGCGATCGGAGCATCCCTAATAATTGTATATGATATGTTTTATAATGATTGATCATTAAAGTGTTATCAAAGCTGGTAAAGGTGCAGCTAGTTTGAATGACTTTGTATACTGCAGGGTAGCTTGTGGATTTACTCCAGGTGGAACTAAAGTTGGAACTGCATCATTAATTAAGCGTGCAGATAAAATACAAAGACACATGCATTATGGCTCCAACAGTTACAATAAAGCAAAGTCATACACAATATACAGTAAGTAGGTACACGAAACCTTTCCATGGCGTACAAGAGGGGGGGAAAAGCTGGGTATTAATGACTATTTTAACATGTTTTTCACAGGGGTCTACATGAGAACATCTGAGCAAAGAATAATACAAAATATAATAATTACATATAATGTAGACATGTTTTTCACAGGAGTCCACATAAAAACATCTGAGCGAAAAGTCATAAAAGAAAATGAACAATTCCTGAGAATAGTGTAAAGCTGCCAGTCGACAGCATCGTAGTAATAAACAAAAAGGCCACGGGTAACCCACTACCAACAAACAAATCACTGGGGATGGGTTTGCCCCACATCAGACACGAATAAGAATCACGCAGTCTTTACAGAGTAAGTCAAATACAAGCAGCAGCAGAGCTCTTTAATTCAATTATTAACGTCTTCCACACCTTAATGAAGCAACCCTGTGAATTCAGTGTGTTAGTGCGAATTTGCTCCATCCTAATGTGTGTTTTAATGATCCACATGTTCGTCTGGATGCAGCTCTCGCACAGTGACTCAATATCCACTGTTTTCTTTTTACAGTGGATCCATCAAAGGAGGCAACTTTCAAGGTGGCACCGTCGAAATGGGAAGCGGTGGATGAAGCCGAGTTAGAAGCTCAAGGTGAGACTACTCGTTTTTAACAACTTGTAAATACCTGATATTTGTCTCTCGTTCTGATGTGTGCATACTTTCCTGTCTTTCCTTTGCTTCTTAGCTGTGACAACTTCAAAATGGGAGGTATTTGAGCAGCCAGAAGAATCCAAAAAGTGAGTCTTGTCTGTGTCTACTACATTTTCAGTATTATTGCAAATCAAAAGTACACATTTTAATCTTATTAATGAACTGTTTCCACCTCTGCAGGAACGATCATGACAGTGATTACGATGACAGGAGCCCCCGCTCAGAGGACAACGGGACCTACTTCAACCCCTCCAGAGACGACACTGATGTGAAAGCCAAGATGTCTGAAATGAATGAGGAGAAACGCACCAAGCTCCGAGAGATAGAGGTACTTTATTGCTAACCCTAACCCGAGTGTTTTGAAGGCATATGACACGACGTAAATATCTTCATTGTCTTCATCACACAGGTTAAAGTCATGAAGTTCCAAGATGAGCTGGAGTCTGGGAAAAGACCCAAGAAGACGGGGCAGAGTATTCAGGAGCAGGTGGAGCACTACAGGGACAAACTACTACAAAAGGTACGGCTTCAAACCCCTCTGTGGATGTTCAGTGAAATACAGGAGTCTGAATTCTAAAACTTCGGCCGTTGTTTGTGTTCCTGTAGGAAAAGGAAAAGGAGAAACTCGAACGGGAGAAAGAGCGGGAGAGGAAAGAGAAGGAGAAAGCTGAGGCCCGGTTGAAAGAGTTGAAGAAGGAGAAGGAGAAGGAGGACACGCCCACCAGGAAGGAGAGGTGACATGACTTTTAGTGCTTTCTTTATAGGGTATACTTACAAACACTTTTAAAGATAACAGTGCCTGAATGGGGACATTTTAATGGAACTGTACAAAGTGTTTATCCCTCCTTTTGTACCGTAGCCATTTGTCCCTGCCTTTAACCAGTTCAGCCCCATGGCGTCTTGCAAGAAACAGCGTCTGAGGGCCATTTCATAAACTATGAATGTGTCATACCCACTTAACGGGAAGAAACTCAGCTATCAGACAATATTAACACACGCACGCACACACACACACACACACACAGGAAGTGTTTGTCGTGTTATTTTTGGACTTTTTCAGCGGCAGCTAACGAGCTAAAATACCCGAGTGTTTGAAGAGAGATCAAACACTCAGAGGAATATTTAGCGCCTGTCATTCATACACACTCTGTCCTTGTTTCCTCTTCTGTGTCCTTCTTTTCTTTTCAGCTATTTCCAGTTTGCATTTCCTCTTATCTTCTGTCCTTGTTTCCTGTCTTCTGTCCTTGTTTCCTCTCCTCTGTCCTTGTTTCCTGTCTTCTGTCCTTGTTTCCTCTCCTCTGTCCTTGTTTCCTGTCTTCTGTCCTTGTTTCCTCTCCTCTGTCCTTGTTTCCTGTCTTCTGTCCTTGTTTCCTCTCCTCTGTCCTTGTTTCCTGTCTTCTGTCCTTGTTTCCTCTCCCCTGTCCTCGTTTCCTCTCTTTGTTTCCTCTCTTCTGTCCTTGTTTCTTCTCCTCTGTCCTTGTTTCTTCTCCTCTGTCTTTTGTTTCCTCTGCTCCCTCTATGCTCTGTCCTTGTTTCCTCTCCCCTGTCCTCGTTTCCTCTCTTTGTTTCCTCTCTTCTGTCCTTGTTTCTTCTCCTCTGTCCTTGTTTCTTCTCCTCTGTCTTTTGTTTCCTCTGCTCTATCCTTGTTTCCTTGTTTCCTCTATGCTCTGTCCTTGTTTCCTCTCCCCTGAGTAATTAGCTGACGCAGAACTGTGCTTTATTAACTTTTATACAAAACAGTTTTAACACACACACGCACCTCATTTCCTTCATACTTTCTTGCCGTGAAATTGGTCTTAAATTCTATTCAAAGTGGTCTTAAAAAGTCTCACATTGGAGTTGGTGAAACCCTGATTTGTTTTCTTTCTTCTGCTGAGTCTCCTATTATTTTGGGGTTTCCTTCCTAACACTTAATCTGTTTCCTCTCTGGTTGATAGGAAGCGTCGCCACAGTGGTTCGCCCAGTCCGACGCGGAACAGCAGACGAGGTCGTTCAGCTTCTCCCCGTTCAGAACGATCGGAAAGATCTGAACGCTCCGAGCGCTCGTACTCTAAAGACACGTCGTCCCGCTCCACCCATAAAGACTCGCCCCGATCCAGCATCAAGAAGTCCGTGAAGAGGTAAGACTAAGAGACGGTCTGTTGTATTAACGCAGTGTGTTTGGTACAGGTTCAACTCTAATTCTACATCCTGTTGGTCCCACTAGATCTCCCTCACCTCGCACACCCAAACGATCCAGACGGTCGCGCTCAAAGACGCCCAAAAAGTCCACCAAGAAGTCCCGCTCCAAATCTAGGTCCCCTCATCGATCCCACAAAAAAGCAAAGAAAAGCAAACACTGACGTCTCCAAACCAGCCGTGTTGTATAAAAGGTTGACTGGATTTGCTGCATGGGTTGCCATCTGGTGTATGAAATGGATGGGGCCATTGTTTTATATTGTACAAAAAAAATAATGTGCTTTTGTGTCCTGATTTCCCCCCCCGCCCCGCCCCCCCAAATCACCTCCCAATGGAATTTATCCACGTGATGACAATAAGTCATGCTGTCATTTTCTGTTTTTGTAGTTCACAATAAAAAGGATTCCTAATAAACTAGTGTCTTTTTTAAATCCCGTGTCGGTGGTTCTCTGGATCCGTCACTCCTCTCCTCTCCAGCGAAACCTGGCCCCCCTATTTACCAAATTGCTTCTTTGTAAATGAAACAAGGTAGGGGTCTTTTCCAAAGGGTCCCTGACGCCCCCCCGTGCACGGTATCAGGCTCGTTATCCGGAGAGAAAAGGAGGTCTTGGATCCGGCTCGAAGGACCAATTAAAATATCACTCGACACCGGGTTGAGAATCAGTCAGGTACTCATTTATTCTTGCAAGAAGGAGCAGAGTTAAGTCACATGCAAAGGATATGGTTCAACTCACACACATCAGGTATGCTGCTCAAAGGAGCCGGAAGTAACATCAAGCTTATATAGTCTAAAGTCAGACAAACAGTGTCGGGAAGGCGTCGGGACATCTCTGGAAAGGCAGTGTTGCTCTTTGCCCCTCAAAGAGGACAGGAGACAACGTGTGTGTGCTCGGTATCAACAACATGCCTTCTATCTACGAAGAGGCAGCTGCGAGGTCACACAGTATCATGCCCATCAGAATAATAGAAGACACCTTGTATTTCCTCTAACACACCACAAGATATACACCACAAGATATACACCACTAATCGTGAGTAATTAGTTTATTTTTGTAGGCTAATGAATCACTCTTGTTGCAGCCACACGATGTTAATACTTCACAGCTTGGCCTTCTTCAGTTGATCCCTCAGCTCCAGATGAGCGATGGAGGACAGGTGCACCTCATCCGGTCCGTCAGCAATGCGCAGCGTCCGCACGTATGCATACCTTAGAGATACAGGTAACATCAGGAAGGAAAATAGGTATTGCATATTTTAGTATGTGATCAGGGGGATGTAGCTTACATCTGTGCGAGAGGGAAGTCTCCGGAAACACCTGCGCCTCCATGCACCTGGATGGCACAGTCCAGCACGTGGCAGGCCATCCTGGCTGCAGACACCTTGATCATAGCAATCTGGGGAGAGGAGCAGAATGTAAGAGCCTATGGGAAGTCTATCTGTGACCCAATTATATCAAAATCAGTTTCATTACTAAGTAGTTTACACATATGAGCAGGGTTCTTACGGTCATTACAAACCTGGAAAGGTCATGGAAATTCAAAATGCAAATTCCAGGCCCTGGAAAAGTTATGGAAAACAATATTTTTCCCAAGGTTTTGGAAAAGTCATGGAAATTTAACTAAAGTTGCATCAAATATAATTTATATTTTATCTAATCGCTGAAATAGTAATACTATAATAATACATACTGTATCGTATACTAATGAAACTGGCATTTAACTGACGAGGTATTTTGCCGGTGAGAGATTTTAGTAGAAGCTAGTAAGCCGCCTATTGGATTTGTTTTAGATAGGCACAACATGTTTCATATGCAGACCTTATTTTCCTGTTCCATGTTGAAATAAACAATTTTCAGTGGTACCGCTGAGAAAGAGTAATTTTTTTGGTCATGGAAAATTAGGTAAAGGTCATGGAGAAGTCATGGAAAATCATTGGTGAAAAAGTGTATGAACCCTGTATGAGGTATACATGCTATACATGCTATACTATTGACTTTTTTGTCATTTATTTCAACATGCTATTTTATCACTTTTGTCATTTTTAACGACATACGATACTACGCATGTTTCTACACACTATGCCTTATTTCCACATAAAATACCATGTTTTTTTTTTTGCATCTTTTTGACAAGACTTCTATTTTGAAATAAGGCACTGTATAGTGTGTAGAAACCAGGTGTAGTATCGTATGACGTTTAAAATAACAGAAAAGTCAAATGGCATGTTGAAAGAAATGACCAAAAAGTCCCCCCTTATGTCCGGAGCTAACTTTTTAGATAAGGGTCCCCTCTTATATATGTCTAAAAAAAAAAAACATGGTATTTTATGTGGAAAATAGGCACGGTATAGTGACTAGAAACCAGGCGTATGTCGTTAAAAATGACAGAAAAGTCATAAACTATGTGGAAAAAATGCCAGAAAAGGACAGTGTTTTATGTCGAAATAAGGCGTACGTTGATCAAAATGACAGAAACGAAATAATATACTATGTTGAATGTTCACATCTTGTTCATACTAATGAAAAGGTGTGGATTCAGGACACTTTAATACTGATTGTCTCTCAGATTATTGAGAGTCCCACCTGTCTGCGAGCCGCCCGGCCGCCCAGCGAGTCCAGAGCCTGAGCAGCGTGCAGCGTCAGCAGGCGGGTCTGATCGATCATCAGACGGCACTCTGCGATCCAGTGAGACACCACTTCCTACAAACACAGAAAAGGGAGCATGTTAACTCAAGCTGCATCTATAAGTAAGTCCACTAGGTGTCACCAGCAGCTCACATCTCAACCCTTTCAAGATGCAAGGCTTTTATTGTCATTTCTACGTTAGCTACAGTGTAGTTTAATGTCGATGAAAATCTTAGGCTCCAACAGTGCAAGATAATAAAATAGCCAAAAACCCAAGTACTCACATATTTGAATTAAGTGAAAGTAGAAAAACTACAAGTAAAAGTCAAGCATTTAAGACTGATATTAAATGTTATTTCATTTTTTGTGAAGCACTTTGAATTGCCTCGTGTTGAAAGCTGCTGTATAATAAACTCACCTTGGCTTACACTACAGCAGGGGTGTCCAAACTACGGCCCGGGGGCCAAATGCGACCCGCCCTCACTCAGCAAATTCAAAAAGTATAATGACTTAAGTATAATCAACTTCTGCTTGTCTTATATTGTGCTTCTTAAATATACATGTTCAAATATATTACACAGTATTCATGAGTTAAGAAGCCCAATTTTCAAATACATTCAGTCAATTGAAGTTGGAAACATGTTCTAATAAATCCAAGTTGATAAGAAAAAAAGCCCAATAACACATTTACATAACAACCTTGAAATACACCCTTCATATTTCTTCTTATGATAAGAAATCTGAAGTTTCTGTTTTAAGGAATGAGCTGCTATCAAAATAAATGAACCCTCTGGAGAGCTGTGATGTGAGTTCAAGTATCAAGAGTAATTGACCTACATTGGATTGATTTTTCCAACTTATAACTGAACTTATGAGGCGATATACCTCTAGAGAGCGGCCCAGCCCTTCGTATATTTAGGTGTTAGGTGTTCACTTACATGTTGGTACAGTTTCTTTCCGAATGTTTCCCTGGAGGCAGCTCGTCGGCAGAGCAGCTCCAGAGCGAACTCTGCCGCTCCGACAGCTCTCATGCAGTGGTGCAGCCGACCTGGACCCAGGCGACCCTGAGCGATCTCAAAGCCCCGGCCCTCGCCTGGAAAATGTTAGAAAAATCTCACTCGTCACCGGCTTGAGCTTCAATCACAGGATCCATGTATTTCTGATCCTCTCCAGAATGGAAGTAGTCATCACATTCAGAGCATCAACTAGTTCCTGAACAGTGTCCTTCACATGCTGATATCCAAGAGAGGGAGTTACACAGTCACAAGATGGAGGAATAGAAAGCAGTATTCAATGTTTACTTCAGATTAGCTCCACGTCAGAAATGAGCATGCTTGTCATATGTCTATCTCCATAGAGGCTGAATCATCATGTTAATCACATAGCTATCATATGCCTAAAACAGTCCTGAGCAGGGTTCGTACGGTCATTAAAAACTTGGAAAAGTCATGGAAATTCAAAATGCAAATTCCAGGCCGTGGAAAAGTTATGGAAAACAATATTTTACCCAAAGTTTTGGAAAAGTCATGGAAATGTAACTAAAGTTGCATCAAATATAATTTATATTTTAACTAATCGCCGAAATAGTAATACTATAATGATAATAAATACTGTATCGTATAGTAATGAAACATAAAATGGCATTTAACTGTCGAGGTATTTTGCCGGTGAGAGATTTTAGTAGAAGCTAGCCTATTGGATTTGTTTTAGATAGGCACAACATGTTTCATATGCAGACCTTATTTTTCTGTTCCATGTTAAAATAAACAATTTTCAGTGGTACCGCTGAGAAAGAGTAATTTCTTTGGTCATGGAAAATTAGGTAAAGGTCATGGAGAAGTCATTGGTGAAAAAGTGTATGAACCCTGCCTGATGCTCTTCTAGGTAATCATACATCCTGTCATGTACACAGCTGCAGTTGGGATACCTTTGTTATCATGTGTACTCTCATATTGGAAGAGGACATTCAGTATTTTCCCAACAGAAAACAACACAGTCGGAAATATGAGAAAAGACGACATATATAGCCTGCCGCAAAAAAGTTGTGCAGCATGTCGAACATTTCTTAAAGAATGTCAGTATATTCTGTTGAAAATCTTGAACAAATTATAGTATAAGTTGTATAAAGTCACAGTATCGTATTTTAGAAGAAACCTTAACCCTAACCCCTAAAGGATTGTACCTATAAACTATAAGAATTACAGTATAGTTTGCCATTAAAAGGGAAGAGTTACGATGACTCAGCCCAGGAGGGAAATGAAATCTGTGGCCTAGTGACCTCACACACACATTACTGCTGTGGCTGTAAAGGTGAAGTGGCTTCTGAAGAACAGTGAGATAAGTGGAAACACGCAGCGAGTCTCTTACCCAGAATGATGTTCGAGGCGGGGACTCGCACGTTTTCAAAGTGCACTTCGAAGTGGCCACCGTGGATGGCATCTGAAGACAGAAGAGAGGGAAAGATGTTGCTAATTCGCTCAGGAAAGCAAGGAAATAGAATATCAAAAGCACTTTTCCTACCATCCTGTCCAAACACAGTGAGCGGTCTGACGAGCTTTACCCCCGGTGTGTCCATGGGGACCAGGATCATGCTGTGCTGCCCATGCCTGAGGAACAACAAGGCGTTAAAAGTCCCCTATTATCAGTATATTATAGGTCTCAGATATATACAGAACATGTCTCTGATTGGCTGAAACACCAAACAGATCATTGCAGCATTACCCATAATCCCCTCTGTTTCAGCCCTGTTTCCAAAGTGCTGATTCTCTGTCTGTTACTTTAGATGAAAATAAGGAGCCCCTCCCCACGCCCCTCTGAGAGATATTTGGTTAAAAAGAACACTATAGAGTGGCGAAGTCACGCCCATCTACTTCCGCCCCATGGGACCTTATTTCGGAAAAATAATGTATTGAAGTCAATGGAGAGAGAAAACTTATCTTTCGATCCCGTTTGAATTGTGCCATGAATTACACATATGATGTTTGTCAATTTAAAAAAATAATTTCCATGTAAAAAAAGTCACAGTTTGTCGTAAAACTGTTGAAATATAAGACTATGAAAAATACGCAACTAGAAAGACTACAAATCCCAGAGTCGCGTAAGTGATGTCACAATTGTTTTCCTCCACTAAGAGATTGATTGATTGATTGAAAAGTTTATTAACAGCTTGTATATTGGGTACAGTACAGTACAGCTCAAAACATACAATTGTTAAGGGGATGCAGACCAGAGAAAGACTTTCGTCTTGTTTACATCAGGGTCCCCCATTTCCAATTCATCATATCATTTAAGACATATAAGACATATTTGACATACAGATGGCTTATTTACAATTTACATACAGGTGGTTTTTTACATACAGATGGCTTATTTACAATTTTCATTTTAGATAGCTAAGATCAGCGCCATATAGATAGAATCTATCTATATGGCGCTGGCTAAGATAAGATAACTTTAACAAGATGCCTGTGTGCTTAGTACCAGGTTGTTATTATACCAGCAATGGGTCTTGCTCGTTCTTTTGCTTCCCGTCTGATGAAAGGACCAGGAGTGTGTGGATCAAGCTAGCTAGTAGCTAGCACGTTAGTTAGCATTACAGCCTTGTCATTTGTATTAGCCTTAACATGAAGTAACATTAAGTAACCCAAAATGTTAAACAGTAAGAGTAGTAGTCATATTTCGTGAACCCTTTGAAGAGTACTGTCACCGGTGTGATCATTCTATAATACACCATTTAAGCCCGGGGGAGAAATGCTAACGCTAACGCTAGCGATCTTCTCTACTTCATGCTATCTGCACAAATGGTTGACATTAAACATTAAAACGACCAGGCAGTTCAGAGAGAATCAAAGGAAGGCAGGCAGGCAGCTTTGCATGACTTTCTTCAGGACGTGTTTCATTGTGGTGATAGTGAGGGTAGTCAATCGTTTTGTTGACAAGACAGTAGTGACGGCCATCTTGGTGACGTGTGTTGTTGACCAGAGATGTAGTTCATTGAGCGTTTCACACAAACAAATGTGTTACTTCACAGTTTTACGACACATTTTTATTTTTTTGACTTGCAAAATTATCTTTTAAATTGACAAACATCATATGTGTAATTCGTGGCACAATTCAAACGGGATTGAAAGATAATCTTTCTCTCTCCATTGACTTCAATACATCATTTTTCCGAAATAAGGTCCCATGGAGGTCCACCGGAAGGGGAGGGACTTCGCCACTCTATAGGTGATAAGGGGGGGGGGGGGGGGGGGGGGGGGGGGTTACCTTGGTTACTGATTGGCTAATGGTTACACAAGACAAAACATCGTTATGATATCATAAAGTGGCCCAAATCTGATCAGCTCATTTTCAGACAGGTTTTTATAGAAATGGATCAGGACAAAAAGAGAGAGAATCTATTTTAGATCTATGACTCCACAGTAACCATTGTGACTACGTTTTTTGTTAACAAGGTTGGGTGTGTGCCTGGATACACACTGACGTAACCAGGAGAAAGTGCATTACAGATCTCGGGCGTGGTACAACTTAAATGTTTCTAACTGTAAAGCCACACGATTTAACGGATTAAACAAGTGTCAACAAGATGAAGTTGAAACATTTGACTGTCATGTGATCCAAACCTCCAGGCAGAAAGACGAGGAGGAGGACAACACTGCAAGTAACCAAAGTCATTTTCTATTATTATAGTGGCACGGAAGAAGAAAATACTCTGCAAAGAGAAGTGTAATCGAACACTGAGAGCAGAGGATTGGAAACTGTTTATAAGGCATAACGACATAGTATACTAAATCCAAAAATGAAACAAAACGACAATGTTTTATGTCAAAATAAGGCATAGTTGATAAAAATGACAGAAACAACAGTGTTGGGGAATAATTTGCCCTCTGACGCAGCTGACCAACCTTGAGCAGCCGCTATCTCCCATAAGGAGGGGCTGCCCTAGCATGTTGTTGTTGTTGCCAGTTTGTGACCGGGCACCTCTCGGTCAGAGATAGTCATTGTTGTGGGACACCTGGAACACATCCTTCTCGGGGTGTAGATGACCTCGAGCCATAAGCGACAACAGCTGTGATTCAGTGTCCTCAGCTGTTTAGTCTATCTATTGAAGAATGTTGATTATTACACTCTGAACTAGTTAAAACCTGGAGCATACAAAATTGATGGTGGCATCTCATCCGTGTAGTCAGACCGCGGCCCGTGACATGTCTTGTGAATTCTCCGGCCGAAGCTCCAAATAAACCGTCAGTGTTCGCCATCAAAGCTCCAGCTCTCCTCGTGTCTCTCTCTGAGTCCTGACTCCATCAAAGCTCCAGCTCTCCTCGTGTCTCTCTCTGAGTCCTGACTCCATCAAAGCTCCAGCTCTCCTCGTGTCTCTCTCTGAGTCCTGACTCCATCAAAGCTCCAGCTCTCCTTGTGTCTCTCTGAGTCCTGACTCCATCAAAGCTCCAGCTCTCCTCGTGTCTCTCTCTGAGTCCTGACTCCATCAAAGCTCCAGCTCTCCTCGTGTCTCTCTCTGAGTCCTGACTCCATCAAAGCTCCAGCTCTCCTCGTGTCTCTCTCTGAGTCCTGACTCCATCAAAGCTCCAGCTCTCCTCGTGTCTCTCTCTGAGTCCTGTCTCCATCAAAGCTCCAGCTCTCCTCGTGTCTCTCTCTGAGTCCTGACTCCATCAAAGCTCCAGCTCTCCTCGTGTCTCTCTCTGAGTCCTGACTCCATCAAAGCTCCAGCTCTCCTCGTGTCTCTCTGAGTCCTGACTCCATCAAAGCTCCAGCTCTCCTCGTGTCTCTCTGAGTCCTGACTCCATCAAAGCTCCAGCTCTCCTCGTGTCTCTCTCTGAGTCCTGACTCCAATTGCTTCAGAAGTTTCCCCCACACACATAATATACTTTGTCGAAAAATTTAAAAAAAACGACAGTGTTTTATGTTGAAATAAGGCTCGTTATAGCAGAGAATTGGAAAACTGCTTACAACATTTTGGAATAATAATACCTGTAGTCAGGGTTCGAGTTATAATCTGAGCTTTACTAACATTAGGGGCGGAGATAAATATATCAATAACAGCCGGGTAATAGCGTAAATAACGGGTGATATTTGTATACCTTGGAGGTGAAGTGCAGGCATATTGTCACTCAAGAGAGAATACGATGCGTAGTTCTTTTGGAAAACATGTTTTTCTTTGAGCCTATTTACCTCGTTAACGTAAATAATACTCATTACATTGTAAATTGCATTATTTGTGATTAAAATAATGGTTGTTGGTAATGTATTAGCGACCCCCACAGATGTATGATTTCACTGCTTTCATAGGAGCTCAGACGCCTCCTTATGGGAGCTCATTGGCTTCCACATAACTCCAACCCTGCCTGTAGTTGATAACATGAAATGAGATAATCAATGTTTCTCTGACCTGCTGCTCACATCCTGAGAGGTGCTCCTGCACATCACGATGGCCACTTTGCACTGAGGATTACCAGCACCTGCGGGGAAAAGTCAGAAATGTAGAGGTTAAAAAAGCATCTGATGGTCTAACAAACAATGAGAGAAGAAGCGTTTTAAACTCTGACTGTCACTGTGGGTTTCAAAAAATGTAATGGAGTTTGTGACAGATTGATGGCAGCGGAGACAGCCACAGGTTGATTTACATTTCCTGAGTTGGATTCTTTCACAATGAGCAACATGGGTAGTTTGTCATTAGGAGATGTTTTTGTTAGAAACTGAACTTTCTCAATAAAATGCCTGCAAAAACAAAATACTTGGGAAAAGAGCCATCATATTAATAAATGTACAAGATACCACAGAAATTAGATGTCAAGTGATCTGGATAGCTGACCAAATCTAGAATTCCTCGGTATTTCCCATGCTGGGAGTGCACTCTCAGAGAAACAGTCTCTAATGTGGCTTTGTGTCCCAGAGGCATAGACAGGGCGACCAATCGTCTGCCTTCCTGTTTAGATTTATGTCCAAAGTGGCAAAAGTGTCCCCTGAGGAAAGGACATCTGGCCACCAGACAGCGACAAGCAAGACATCAACGGTCTGAGTATTCACATTATAGAGGACACATTCTGTGGAGGGAACACAGGGATTTGAGTCTTTGCAAACACAAACCTGAAGAACCACTACAGGCTAAGGAAACCCCCGCAAAAGCATCATAGGGTCTCTTTTTGATTATAAAACTATGAGTAAATGTGACCGAAAAACATTAAGTGATTAAGCTTGTAATAACCGTTTGTAATAGAGGATTTTAAAGGTCCCCTATTATACTGTTTTTCATCAATATATTACAGGTCTCAGATATAAACAGAACATGTCTCTGATTGGCTGAAACACCAAACAGATCATTGCAGCATCCCATAATCCCCTCTGTTTCAGCCCTGTTTCCAAAGTGCTGATTCTCTGTCTGTTACTTTAGATGAAAATAAGGAGCCCTTAGGAGGGGGGGGGGGGGGGTTACCTTGGTTGCTGATTGGCTAAACAAGACAAGACAAAACATCGTTATGACATCATCAAGTTACCAAAATCTGATCAGCTCATTTTCAGACAGGTTTTTATAGAAATGGATCAGGACAAAAAGAGAGAATCTTTGTTCCTGAAACTTTCAGAGTCTCTTTCCACAGAGGGGACACATGTTGATGAAGAAGAGACATGAAGAAGAGGGGACACATGTTGATGTAGAAGAGACATGAAGAAGAGGGGACACATGTTGATGTAGAAGAGACATGAAGAAGAGGGGACACATGTTGATGTAGAAGAGACATGAAGAAGAGGGGACACATGTTGATGTAGAAGAGACATGAAGAAGAGGGGACACATGTTGATGTAGAAGAGACATGAAGAAGAGGGGACACATGTTGATGTAGAAGAGACATGAAGAAGAGGGGACACATGTTGATGTAGAAGAGACATGAAGAAGAGGGGACACATGTTGATGTAGAAGAGACATGAAGAAGAGGGGACACATGTTGATGTAGAAGAGACATGAAGAAGAGGGGACACATGTTGATGTAGAAGAGACATGAAGAAGAGGGGACACATGTTGATGTAGAAGAGACATGGAGAAGAGGGGACACATGTTGATGTAGAAGAGACATGAAGAAGAGGGGACACATGTTGATGTAGAAGAGACATGAAGAAGAGGGGACACATGTTGATGTAGAAGAGACATGGAGAAGAGGGGACACATGTTGATGTAGAAGAGACATGAAGAAGAGGGGACACATGTTGATGTAGAAGAGACATGAAGAAGAGGGGACACATGTTGATGTAGAAGAGACATGAAGAAGAGGGGACACATGTTGATGTAGAAGAGACATGAAGAAGGGGACACATGTTGATGTAGAAGAGACATGAAGAAGAGGGGACACATGTTGATGTAGAAGAGACATGAAGAAGAGGGGACACATGTTGATGTAGAAGAGACATGAAGAAGAGGGGACACATGTTGATGAGAAGAGACATGAAGAAGAGGGGACACATGTTGATGTAGAAGAGACATGAAGAAGAGGGGACACATGTTGATGTAGAAGAGACATGAAGAAGAGGGGACACATGTTGATGTAGAAGAGACATGAAGAAGAGGGGACACATGTTGATGTAGAAGAGACATGAAGAAGAGGGGACACATGTTGATGTAGAAGAGACATGAAGAAGAGGGGACACATGTTGATGAAGAAGAGACATGAAGAAGAGGGGACACATGTTGATGAAGAAGAGACATGAAGAAGAGGGGACACATGCTGATGTAGAAGAGACATGAAGAAGAGGGGACACATGTTGATGTAGAAGAGACATGAAGAAGAGGGGACACATGTTGATGTAGAAGAGACATGAAGAAGAGGGGACACATGTTGATGTAGAAGAGACATGAAGAAGAGGGGGACACATGTTGATGTAGAAGAGACATGAAGAAGAGGGGACACATGTTGATGTAGAAGAGACGTGAAGAAGAGGGGACACATGTTGATGTAGAAGAGACATGAAGAAGAGGGGACACATGTTGATGTAGAAGAGACGTGAAGAAGAGGGGACACATGTTGATGTAGAAGAGACGTGAAGAAGAGGGGACACATGTTGATGTAGAAGAGACATGAAGAAGAGGGGACACATGTTGATGTAGAAAAGACATGAAAAAGTGGATTTTGCATAATAGGTGACCTTTAAAAAAATACCTCCACCTCTTGCCACACTAAGAGCCACACTAAGGGGAAGCGCGGCACGGAGGGATTGCCTGTGAACTTTACATAACTTGTGTTGGTCCCTGGTACGAGGTGAACTTCAGTCAGGCCCCAACACGTCCTGTCACACTGGAATGAAAACCAAACCTCAGCCCAGTGATCCATCTTCCAGGGAATGTGACATTCAAATATTCAAGAAAAACGTGCACGTTAGCGTGACGTGCGATAAAAACACAAACGCCTTTTTCCCTTGCCGGGAATGTCTGACTTTAAACACATATTTTATGGGAGCATACTTTTCTGTGACTTTTTAGAGTTACCAAATTATTTTTGCTTTGTTTATTTCTCAGTAAATGCATGTATGAGTATAACAGAGGGAGATACAAAGTAGTTAAGGAAGTTGAAAAAGGAACCGTAATCACTAGAAAAACCACAGGAGGAAACCAACACACTGAATTTCCTTTCAAGTTAAAAGCCACATTAGTCCACTGAAGTGAATGTAGAGTGTGAGTGAGGTTGGTAAATAATATACACAACACACAATGCCTACATTCCAGTGAACAATAAACAGTTTAAATGGGACTAACATTCACATCCAAATGTGAATGTTATTCTATGCATCTTTTAATTCCTCGTAGAAAAGAGATAAAGTGCTGATCTGTCAGGGAGTGCCGGTGAAACTGCTTCTGTCTGTGCCACACACACACACACACACACACACACACACACACACACACACACACACACACACACACACACACACACACACACACACACACACACACACACACACACACACACACACACACACACACACACACACACACACACACACACACACACACACACACACACACACACACACACACACACACACACACACACACACACACACACACACACACACACACACACACACACACACACACACACACACACACACACACACACACACACACACACACACACACACACACACACACACACACACACACACACACACACACACACACACACACACAGCAGAGTGGGTGGAGAGTCACTTCAGTCCTCTGCTGCTCAAACCTCTCCTCAGGACTAACCAGCTGGTAGTTTGGGATTAAAGCAGGATATCAACGACTCTACAAACTCCACAGAGGATCAGAAACAAGGTAGGAATAAGTTCTTAACTTTAACTACCACTTTATTCCTTCTTCTTACTGTTACCTTTTCCATAACTACAAAACAAACGGTTACTTAAAACATCTTGGAAAGTATTTGCTTCTGTATATGAACTACATTGTGTGATATGTACTCTTAACTCTAAGTTAATATATTGGCTTCAAATGCATTTTACATTTGACTTAAACACCATCAATAACAAACTGTGTCTTGTTTTTCCGGTAGTCAAGGTTCATTTACTGTAAACCTCACAGTCAAAGTCCTGCATTTTATGACATTATTATAACCATAGTGAAGCGAAGATAACGAGCTAAATCAATTTGTTTTCAGCGCCTCAGTGCCATGGTTTGCTTTGTTAAAACAAGCTGTGTTGTTTTTCTGAGGCTACCACGTAAAAATAGAGGCATTTTGAAAGTTTTTTTTAAATACTATGTGCCATGTCTGATCCGAATTGAGACAGAACAGTCACATCATAACCAAAACCATAAGAAAACAACCTCCCTCTGGATGGATCTGTTCAGCCTTTGCAGACCATTGACATGCACACAAACCTAGAACACACCGCAGGGAAGAGGAATCCCCAACAAGCAGAATAGGGTCTCGTTAAGCAAGCTGATATCTTGAAACTAATTCATTACTCATCATAGATTTATTGAACTAATGAATTGTTTATCCAACCTGTTATTCGGGCTCTAACTACACGTAGCGTCTCTATTTAGCTCCAGGCGACAAATAAGTAAAACAGCCTAATTCAAAACATGTATCAACACATTACGCTGCTCTCACATGTGAGCAGCAGCTGTTGACAGATGGGATACTCGACATATTTCCAGTGAACAGCTGCTTCAGAAACCACTGCTCCTCGCATAATGAAGATAATAACTCCTTATATAACAAACCTGGAAACCTTTCAGAAAACCGCTGGTGTCCTTTCAGAGTGATCTGCCAAAAAAAGGAAGGGAAATATTCCATGCATGAAACTCAGCCAGGATTCAAATCATGCGGCACGTAATGTGTTTTGCAGAATTCCATGAATTCCACTTGTTAGTGAATCAAATAAACAACAAAATATGATATTAATATGCATGTACACACAGCTAGACGAGTGCTTTTAACTCAGGTTGTTCAGGTTGTTCCTCAAGAGATCGTTAGATAAGTGGATAAAATTATCAGTTTGATCGTAACTAACCCTTATACACACACGCCTGTATTATCTCAGTCCTAGTAGACACAACATAGAGTAGAATAGGGAGGGATGAAACCCTCTGTAATGGTCACACATGCAGAGCACACAACACGCACAGTGACATTTGGCCTCTGCATTCAACCCACCCTAGCACCAGGAGTCTAGCACCAGGAGTCTAGCACCAGGAGTCTAGCACCAGGAGTCTAGTACCAGGAGTCTAGTACCAGGAGACTAGTACCAGGAGTCTAGCACCAGGAGTCTAGCACCAGGAGTCTAGCACCAGGAGTCTAGCGAGTCTAGCGCCAGGAGTCTAGCGCCAGGAGTCTAGCACCAGGAGTCTAGCACCAGGAGTCTAGCACCAGGAGTCTAGCACCAGGAGTCTAGTACCAGGAGTCTAGAACCAGGAGTCTAGTACCAGGAGTCTAGCACCAGGAGTCTAGCACCAGGAGTCTAGCACCAGGAGTCTAGTACTAGGAGTCTAGCACCAGGAGTCTAGAACCAGGAGTCTAGTACCAGGAGTCTAGCACCAGGAGTCTAGCACCAGGAGTCTAGCACCAGGAGTCTAGCACCAGGAGTCTAGTACCAGGAGTCTAGAACCAGGAGTCTAGCACTAGGAGTCTAGCACCAGGAGTCTACCACCAGGAGTCTAGCACCAGGAGTCTAGAGCCAGGAGTCTAGCACCAGGAGTCTAGCTCCAGGAGTCTAGAGCCAGGAGTCTAGAGCCAGGAGTCTAGTACCAGGAGTCTAGTACCAGGAGTCTAGCACCAGGAGTCTAGCACCAGGAGTCTAGTACCAGGAGTCTAGCACCAGGAGTCTAGCACCAGGAGTCTAGTACCAGGACTCTAGTACCAGGAGTATAGTGCCAGGAGTCTAGCACCAGGAGTCTAGTACCAGGAGTCTAGTGCCAGGAGTCTAGTGCCAGGAGTCTAGTACCAGGAGTCTAGTACCAGGAGTCTAGTACCAGGAGTCTAGTACCAGGAGTCTAGTACCAGGAGTCTAGCACCAGGAGTCTAGCACCAGGAGTCTAGTACCAGGAGTATAGTGCCAGGAGTCTAGTGCCAGGAGTCTAGCACCAGGAGTCTAGAACCAGGAGTCTAGTACCAGGAGTCTAGAACCAGGAGTCTAGCACCAGGAGTCTAGAACCAGGAGTCTAGTACCAGGAGTCTAGCACCAGGAGTCTAGCACCAGGAGTCTAGCACCAGGAGTCTAGCACCAGGAGTCTAGCACCAGGAGTCTAGCACCAGGAGTCTAGCACTAGGAGCAGTGGGCAGCTATTGTACAGCGCCCAGGGAGCAATGGGAGTGAGGGGGGAAGGGGGGTACCCGGTGCCTTGCTCAAGGGCACCACGGCAGGGCCCAGGAGGTGAACTGGGACCTCTCCAAGTAGCAGTCCACACTCCATATTTGAGGTCTGGTCGGGGACTACATGAGGGAGATAACTGTCTTCATATCTCCAATGGGATATCCTGTTGAACGAACACACACCATATACAGTCAAGGCCACATCCTGGATTTGAACCTCTCGAGACCTAAGCTGCACTTTCCTGTCATCCTCATACTTCCTGTCAGCCTTGCCTTTGTCTCGAAAAACACGACATCACGAAAAAGAAAGCGCAGAAATTGGAAGTGTTCACAGATCAGATAAGGACTAAAAGCTGTGAACGGATTGTCTCGTAATGCCCAGTAGTATCTTATCAGTATGCTGCCAAATAAAGAGCTTTATTATCCAACAGAAATACAACTAAATCCAAAAAGAGCATTCCTTGTTTTGCACGTGTCGTCCTCTCCGTGTTCCCTGGGGTGGTTCAGGCTCACACGAGGCTCAGACAGACGCAGCTTAAGCCATTAGGGAAGCCATGCAAGAAGAAAGAAAGAATTCCCTCTTCCTGTCTCTGATGGAAAGCAGACCGTGGCTTACACATGTACTCTGCTGTCGCTGGGTTCAAACTACAGACAAATGGATTCAATTATGAAACCCATATTTCATCATCATGTACAATTAAAAAGGACAAGTTTGTAATATAAGACAAATGCTTCCCTTAATTGTCATTTCTTTCCTTTTTTCTCTGTACAGCAAACAACAGAAATGGATTACGACTACGACGAGGACGACGACTCAAATGGCACGTACGATTACAGCCCTGAACACAGTGTTTGTGACAAGGAGGCGGTGCGCTCCTTCGCCAGCGTCTTCCTCCCGGTGATCTACGCCCTGGCTCTGGTGGTGGGCCTGGCTGGGAACGCGCTGGTCGTGGTGGTCTACGCCTCAAAGCTGCGTCTGCGCACCCTGACAGACGTGTGCATCCTGAACCTGGCCATCTCAGACCTGCTGCTGCTCTTAACGCTGCCCTTCTGGGCCGCAGACGCCGTGCACGGGTGGATGTTGGGCACGGCAGCCTGCAAGATCACCTCCTTCCTCTACAGTATGAACTTCAGCTGTGGGATGCTGATGCTGGCGTGTATTAGCGTGGATCGATACCGCGCTGTAGCCCACAATGCAGCAGGCAGGAGTGGACCCCGGGTTCGGAGACAGTGGCTCATAGTGTGCGTGGTGCTGTGGGTGACAGCCAGCTTCCTTGGCCTTCCTGAGCTCATCTTCTCCACGGTGAAGCACTCCCATCACAGGATGGCGTGTACAGCCGTGTATCCGCACAGCATGGCCCGCCCTGCTAAAGCCGCCCTGGAGCTCATGGAGGTGATCCTGAGATTCTTGCTTCCTTTCGTGGTCATGGTGGTGTGTTACTGCTGGGTTTGGCGCGCGCTCAGTCGGGCAGCCGGGGTGCGGAGAGAGAGGAAATGGCGCGCCCTGAGAGTCCTGCTGGCTGTGGTGGCCGTGTTCCTGCTCACCCAGCTGCCCTACAACGTGGTGAAGCTGTGCCGAGCCATGGACATCCTCTACATGCTGGTGACGGACTGCGAGGTCAGCAAGGCTCTGGACCGAGCGGTGCAGGTGACGGAGAGCCTGGCGCTGGCCCACGCCTGCATCAACCCGCTCCTCTACGCTTTCATCGGATCCTCCTTCAGGGGACATGTGCTAAAAGCTGCAAAGCACCTCGGACAGCGCCTGGGGAGACACCCGAGACACACGGAGGAGCCGGCGGTGGAGATCGCTCTCAACACGCGCACGAAGACACAATCCCAGTCTGGTTCAGAGGACCAGGACACCAGCACCTTCACCATTTAAGACTCAGAACATATCCCTTTTCCTGTAAGCACCTAATAGTATGTCTCTGTATATATATTTACACATCATCATTATTATTATTAATATTATAAGGGATGGATGTCAATTGTAATAAAAAACATATGTACAGTGAGTTTATATGCACTAACCAAGCAAAGCATTTTGTATAATATATGTATTTTGTTAAATAAAAGACACATTTTCAGTGACGCATCGACCGACATCTGTTGCTATTAAATGCAGCTGAAACTCAACACGAGCACCTCTCTGTGTCCTCACAACAAATACAACCTTACAGTCTGTGCTGCCTGCATCTCATTTTGTCACATCCTGTGGCTTCGGGTTGGGTTGGCAAGGTGGGCCACAGATTAAATTAAAACAAAGAGAAACCCAACAGAAGGACTCCTCCGTGGAAAAACTATTTCACAGGCGTTTTATGTCCACTTTGCAATAAAATGAGCTTGAAAGAGCAAATGGTTTGGAGTTGGGCGCAGTTTCTAATTCCCTAAACATTTACTTCCAAATAAATGCTCTCTTCAAACTGTGAAAACATGTTGATTGTCTTAGATGAAGTAGTGTATACAGGCTTGATTAAAGCACTGTTTACTTTAGGGGGGAATATTACAGAGAGGATCAGCTCCATTGAGCAAAACCTCCTGACCAGACCCATAAAGGTCTGTATTGTTTACCCTTCTTTCCATCTGCCCTACCTGTTAGTCATCCCCTCTCCGCTGTGAGGGCTTACAGCTCAGATGTGTGGGAGTTCAAGGACAGACTTGTTGTGTTTGCTTGGAGACTTTTCAAACTGTAGCCTAAACAATATGTTCAGTCAGAGCAATGAGTCGGCCTGAACAAAGTATTCAAAGCGGCTCCATTATGCTTGTTGCGCTCTCCTGTAGTGTGTTAAATAGGTTTTTCATGCATGTAAATGTCCTGCAAAGGCTCAAATACACATATGAAGCTGAACATTAGCATAATATGTCTTCTTTAAGTTGCATGTCACACGGCTAAATAGGTAAATAGGTAAACAAGGGACAAAGCCATAGTGAAACTCTGCTGTTACAGTCTGCTTTAACTCATGTAAGTACTTTAAGAACCAAAATGATGATGACTTATTACGTTTTCTTTTAACAAGCAACTAATGTGAAACATGTGTACCCGTTTTCTTTTTGTGAGAGCATGTATGCAAATGCAGGTCTGGGAATAATTAGTGTACATTATCATGCCCACGGGGTCCTTTAAAAGCTTCCACACAACGGAGCTGCCCTGATAGCATCTACAGGAAAGACCCAACACACATCAGGCAGTGCATGTGGCTTACACACAACTTGTTCATGAAGTGGATAAACCCATATTCCAGTAAACTCAATTTATGGTTGGGTTATTCCATGATAAGTTATCTAAAAAAACGACTTCAGCCTAACGGGAGAACTGCAGTGAAATACAGCAAACAAGCCACACAGATGACAGCGCTCTACTTTCTGTGGAAGAATACAAATCTACGCAAACGCACAGATTCTCCTTGAGGGAAAATGCCCTGAAGGCTGCCAAGGGCCTTGGAGAGCGGATTAGGAAACACCCGTAATGAGAGAAGAGCTGGCAGAGAACACTTCATTTGATACTTGGAAAAAATGACAGAGACCATAGCAGAACATTACCTTCGGAACAATTTCAATAAAAAGTTTGACGTCCCCTGTTGTGCTTATTGGGGTTTTCCCTTTCCTGTAGTCTGTTCTATCGGTTTATGTGCATGTAAATGGTCTGCAGAGGCTACAATCAAGTGACATCCCTATGGAACAGTCGCGCTTAACAAATTGTATGTGATAAGGGTACTGAGCTCTGGTTTCAGACAGAGGGTGAAAAGAGGTGCTGCAGCACAGACAGTATGAGAGAAATAAAGAGCTTTTTGAACATTAAAGCATGGAGACATGTAGAGACACTACATACTGATATACACCTGAACATCAGCAGGAGAGGACTCTTTAAAGTAGAGACACTACATACTGATATACACCTGAACATCAGCAGGAGAGAACTCTTTAAAGTAGAGACACTACATACTGATATACACCTGAACATCAGCAGGAGAGAACTCTTTAAAGTAGAGACACTACATACTGATATACACCTGAACATCAGCAGGAGAGGACTCTTTAAAGTAGAGACACTACATACTGATATACACCTGAACATCAGCAGGAGAGGACTCTTTAAAGTAGAGACACTACATACTGATATACACCTGAACATCAGCAGGAGAGGACTCTTTAAAGTAGAGACACTACATACTGATATACACCTGAACATGAGCAGGAGAGGACTCTTTAAAGTAGAGACACTACATACTGATATACACCTGAACATCAGCAGGAGAGCACTCTTTAAAGTAGAGACACTACATACTGATATACACCTGAACATCAGCAGGAGAGGACTCTTTAAAGTAGAGACACTACATACTGATATACACCTGAACATCAGCAGGAGAGGACTCTTTAAAGTAGAGACACTACATACTGATATACACCTGAACATCAGCAGGAGAGGACTCTTTAAAGTAGAGACACTACATACTGATATACACCTGGACATCAGCAGGAGAGGACTCTTTAAAGTAGAGACACTACTGATATACACATGTTACTATATTTTCTTATAATACTGTAGTTCTCTATCTGTGTTTTCAATTTTTTTACTTTTATGTACGCACCATGTCATCAAGTCAAATTCCTCGTACGTGTAAACCTACCTGGTGATAAAGCTTCTGATTCTGTAAGTATGAAAGTCTTCTTTAATATCAGATTGAGTGTCTAGACAGTGCAGAGGAACAAAACACTCTTTCATATTATGGTTTGCCACAAAGTCAGTCCAAGGTCACAGGAAGAATGAACTGGCCTTGGACATCATGCTTTCCCAACAGAGAGGTTTATTTATGCGGGCAGAGAACATTCTTACAAACCAAGGTTGTTGTTTTTTTACTGATGGAAATGTCCTTTCCAAATAAAAGAGAAACGGAAACTACAGACGGATGTGGAAATGACAATGATGCTTTTTCTCGGTAAACCATAGCACTTCAAGTTTTCAACGACGAGAAAGAATTCCTTGCAGATTTTCGGGGGAAAAAAACAACAGAAACAACAACAACAACAGGCCACTGTTTCCCGTTAAACTGGGAGTCAGACCTCAGACCACATCTGTGTCAGCGGAAACATCTGGAATGTCTTTCCGTCCTCAGAGAGTTAGGAGAACTCGATTAAACATTTTAAAACACTAATACGAGTTTTGGAACGGTCTAATCTTGTGACTTAATTTGCAGAAAACTTCTCTACATCACAGTATGTTGTTTATTACATTTCAAAGGATAATACAAACCAAATGTATTTATGGAGCCAATTACAGGCAGATATTAAACTGCACTACAAATCAAGAGTGAGTTATCCATTTAGATTTATTTTAAGGGCATGTTGTTCACCTTGAATCAGTTATAATATCTAATCAGGTGGAGGTTTAAATGCCAGTTGATAAACACACACTGACTGCGTGTTGAGTTCTGAATCAGTGACCTTTCACTGTTCCAACCAAAACTGCTCTGAGACATATTTTCCACTTTTGTTGGAAGTTTGGGTGATTTTACTGTAGTGCTTTGAGGCCACATCTTTATAACATTAAAAGGACGATAAACTTTGAGGATTTACTCTTTTTAAAACATTCTTTGGTTTAATTGGAGTTGCCTCAATGATTTAGAGAGGTCATATTCTGCTGATGTTCAGGTGTATATCAGTATGTAGTGTCTCTACTTTAAAGAGTCCTCTCCTGCTGATGTTCAGGTGTATATCAGTATGTAGTGTCTCTACTTTAAAGAGTCCTCTCCTGCTGATGTTCAGGTGTATATCAGTATGTAGTGTCTCTACTTTAAAGAGTCCTCTCCTGCTGATGTTCAGGTGTATATCAGTATGTAGTGTCTCTACTTTAAAGAGTCCTCTCCTGCTGATGTTCAGGTGTATATCAGTATGTAGTGTCTCTACTTTAAAGAGTCCTCTCCTGCTGATGTTCAAGTGTATATCAGTATGTAGTGTCTCTACTTTAAAGAGTCCTCTCCTGCTGATGTTCAGGTGTATATCAGTATGTAGTGTCTCTACTTTAAAGAGTCCTCTCCTGCTGATGTTCAGGTGTATATCAGTATGTAGTGTCTCTACTTTAAAGAGTCCTCTCCTGCTGATGTTCAGGTGTATATCAGTATGTAGTGTCTCTACTTTAAAGAGTCCTCTCCTGCTGATGTTCAGGTGTATATCAGTATGTAGTGTCTCTACTTTAAAGAGTCCTCTCCTGCTGATGTTCAGGTGTATATCAGTATGTAGTGTCTCTACTTTAAAGAGTCCTCTCCTGCTGATGTTCAGGTGTATATCAGTATGTAGTGTCTCTACTTTAAAGAGTCCTCTCCAGCTGATGTTCAGGTGTATATCAGTATGTAGTGTCTCTACTGGGACATGTCTCCATGCTATAATGTTAAAAAATCTCTTTATTTTTCTCATACTCATACTGCAGCTTAGCCTATCACGTACAATGTGTTGGAGCGCTAGCCAATAGAAGCGCGAGTGTTACATAGTGAGTAAACAAAGGAGTCCAATGGAGGCGTTGGAGGTCTCTTTAGAGCAAGTCAAACGGAGCAGACCTCCTCCACAGAGTTCTTGGTGGGATAATATATATATTGTTGTGTTCTTATACAGTCAACAGAAACAGAAACAGACTTACCGCTGCTCCACCATTTCTTGCCGTCGATGACGAAGTCGTCTCCATCCCTGCGAAGCGTGCACTGCATGTTTGTTGCATCACTGGAGGCCACATCCGGCTCTGGGGAACGGACCACAGGAAAGACTCAAAACACAACGTACAAACTGTTACTCAATTAAAGGGAAGCACTCATGAGTCACACAAACTGGGTTTTTCCAAACATTGTGGAGACTAAGGGTCACTGAAGGGGCAGCAGAGGACTCCTAACAACGACAACTGTTTATCACCACAAGACGGAGGACCCTGTTCCTCGTCATCCAAACTGGTGACAAAAAGCATCACCAAAGCACAGCTGATCACCATCTGTGTTTATAAGGAGAACCATAGGGACGTTCACACCCACGGTAATCACCTCAGCATGCCGCGGTTTCCAGGCAGCGTGGAAAGCACAGAGGGGAAACAGGGAGAAATTACTCATAGGGCATTCGTCTTCTGCTGTTTCCATGAAGAATTTCCAAACGACAGAGCAACCGGCTCATTTGAAACCAGAACCAGAACTTGAATGTTTTCAAAAGCAGTACCTTGTTGTAACTACACCCGCTCTTAAAAAGGTACTTACAAAAAAGTGTTTCAAGATGCCTTTTCAAGCCTACACATTGTACCTTTTAATTTGACATCCCTTCCTGTTAAAGCACAGTGACATTTTGCACGTATTTGAAGCTGTTCCTGTGATGCTTGAGGACATATTTAAAGAGTTACCTGTCATACAGAAGCATGAGCGAATCTCCCCTCTGAGCAGAGGCTCCAGCCATTTCTTCTTCTGCTCCTCACTGCCAAACATGTGGAGCACCTCCATATTGCCTGTGTCTGTGGAGAAGCAGCATACAAACACTGTCTTACAGGATATCAGGGGAAAAGTTGGGAAATATAGAAGACCATAATCATACTGTTAAAAAAGGCTATAGTGAACAAACACAAAAATCGTTAGGATGTAAAAGGGGCCGACATTAGTTAGCATTTTGGGGAACATATTACTAGGCCAAATGTGTCAGCAACATAGTCAAATGTAATCTATGTTGTGTCTGCAAAGTGCAAGGTCATACTGTGAGTGTGTGACTGAGAAAACAGGAGATAATATTGACACAATTTATCTCCAGATCTGAAACCATGTGTTACCGGGAGCCTGGCAGTTGAAGACTTCAGGAGCGAAGAGGCAGCGTCCGGTCTCCTCTGCGATGAAGGCGTAGTCCAGCTGACTGAGACCGCTGACTGCAGACAGGAACAGGTTATACAGCCCGGCCTGCCTGGCTCTCCCCTGCACACACAGACACATGCTGGACTGACTGGAAGAGGTTTTGGGATGTTAACCTCCAACACAAGCCTCACATGAAAGTCAAACAGAAATGTCACATATCCATCCGTAAAGGTACAGATGATGACGTGCAATCATACTTGCCAACCTTGAGACCTCAGAAATCGGGAGCATTTCAAAACCACCGCGGGGTGGGGGGGGGGGGGAGCTGTATTAGATTAACATTAACATGCTTATTGTAGTTGTAAGGGCACTGCCTTGCGGCCTGTAGCACCATCCTTTATGGAGCATATGTGAAGGACAGGAGTGAGCAGAGGGTAGAGTTGTCGATTCTTGTTCTGTTTTCTGTGACTATTTTCCCCACCCTCTCAGACTTTCAGTTGCGCGCGCTACTAAAGAGACGCGCTACCATGGAAACCAAACAATGGTGTAGCTGTATTAAAGTCCGAGTGGAAACAGTCGTGAGTAAATCTGATTTAGTCAGAAATCTGGAGAAATGCGGGAGAAATATGACCCCGGGAGGAAACCGGGAGAGGGCAATGAAATCGGGAGTCTCCCGCGAAAATCGGGAGGGTTGGCAAGTATGCGTGCAATGTGTTGGAGCACAAGCCAATAGAAGTGCAAGTGTAGAATCGATTGACAGCTTTAAATTGAATATATTATATTCTGTTTATTGCTATATGTTGTTTGATTGCATCGCCTCCGCTGCCTTGGTCGTGTTAACCTGGTCTTGGTTGTGGCCACTAAATGAAACAAAACATTCAAATTAAATGTTAAAAAAAGTATCCTGACATACCTTTAGGTCCTCTATTATTTGGGGGGTGTGCCATCTCTGTGGAGACTGAGCGTGTTTGGTGTAGTACTCTGCAACTTCCTGTAGAAAAGAAACATATTTTTGAAAAAGCATAACCATAATAATCGTTTTTTTTTTAATCTACTCTCACTTGAGCTTGCTCTTCCTTAGTGGGAACCTTTACAAAAGAAAAATGTAGAACTATTTTGACTCACTTACGGTGTTAATAGTAGTTATTTCTGCAGGAGGAACTCATCTGTTCAATCTGCCCACTGCTCCCACATCAAAACTAACAACATTTCCAAAGCCATGGTGGTGATTCTGCTTCTGCATGCAATATCATGTAATCAATAGCCTCCTTGTTCTCCCACTCGAATCCTGACTGCATGAATGAGCGGCTCAGTCAAACGCTCTCATGTGAAAGTTAAAACTCCATCTGGACAAACACATCTCTCTCAGCTCAAAGCACTGACCTCCTGAGCAGGAAGCACGTATTGTCTCATGAAGTCTTTGACCTGCTGCAGAACAGCGCGCCCTTTAGCCGTCTGCAGGAACAGACCTTCTCCTGTTGGACCTGACACCGACCTGGCAACAAACACACGGTAGAAAGTCAGCAGGGAGTCTCTGAAGCAGCAGCTGGACGCCAAATTCAAACTGCTGCTGGCTAACATCCAGTCAGCAGGTGGAGTCAATCTGGTTCCATTCATAACAGAGTATTCTACGACTGATTATATGGGGATATCCATGGATTCAACTGAAATGACACCTATTAAACCATCTGGGACTTTTAAGAACTCATACCCAGTGTGTTAAAGGTCACCTATTATGCAAAATCCACTTCTTCATGTCTCTTCTACATCAACATGTGTCCCCTCTTCTTCATGTCTCTTCTACATCAACATGTGTCCCCTCTTCTTCATGTCTCTTCTACATCAACACGTGTCCCCTCTTCTTCATGTCTCTTCTACATCAACATGTGTCCCCTCTTCTTCATGTCTCTTCTACATCAACATGTGTCCCCTCTTCTTCATGTCTCTTCTACATCAACATGTGTCCCCTCTTCTCCATGTCTCTTCTACATCAACATGTGTCCCCTCTTCTTCATGTCTCTTCTACATCAACACGTGTCCCCTCTTCTTCATGTCTCTTCTACATCAACATGTGTCCCCTCTTCTTCATGTCTCTTCTACATCAACATGTGTCCCCTCTTCTTCATGTCTCTTCTACATCAACATGTGTCCCCTCTTCTTCATGTCTCTTCTACATCAACATGTGTCCCCTCTTCTTCATGTCTCTTCTACATCAACACGTGTCCCCTCTTCTTCATGTCTCTTCTACATCAACACGTGTCCCCTCTTCTTCATGTCTCTTCTACATCAACACGTGTCCCCTCTTCTTCATGTCTCTTCTACATCAACACGTGTCCCCTCTTCTCCATGTCTCTTCTACATCAACATGTGTCCCCTCTTCTTCATGTCTCTTCTACATCAACACGTGTCCCCTCTTCTTCATGTCTCTTCTACATCAACATGTGTCCCCTCTTCTTCATGTCTCTTCTACATCAACATGTGTCCCCTCTTCTTCATGTCTCTTCTACATCAACACGTGTCCCCTCTTCTTCATGTCTCTTCTACATCAACATGTGTCCCCTCTTCTTCATGTCTCTTCCACATCAACATGTGTCCCCTCTTCTTCATGTCTCTTCTACATCAACACGTGTCCCCTCTTCTTCATGTCTCTTCTACATCAACACGTGTCCCCTCTTCTTCATGTCTCTTCTACATCAACACGTGTCCCCTCTTCTTCATGTCTCTTCTACATCAACACGTGTCCCCTCTTCTCCATGTCTCTTCTACATCAACATGTGTCCCCTCTTCTCCATGTCTCTTCTACATCAACATGTGTCCCCTCTTCTTCATGTCTCTTCTACATCAACATGTGTCCCCTCTTCTTCATGTCTCTTCTACATCAACATGTGTCCCCTCTTCTTCATGTCTCTTCTACATCAGCATGTGTCCCCTCTTCTTCATGTCTCTTCTACATCAACATGTGTCCCCTCTTCTCCATGTCTCTTCTACATCAACATGTGTCCCCTCTGTGTAAAGAGACTTTTATTTGTAACCAAATCTCTCTCAGAGGGGCGTGGGGAGGGGCTCCTTATTTTCATCTAAAGTAACAGACAGAGAATCAGCACTTTGGAAACAGGGCTGAAACAGAGGGGATTATGGGTAATGCTGCAATGATCTGTTTGGTGTTTGGAGGCAAACACTTCAGAGACATGTTCTGTATATATCTGAGACCTATAATAAAGTAATGAAAAACAGTATAATGGGGGACCTTTAAAGTAAATCTAGCAAAGGCGATATGAGTCAGAGCGTCAACACACGCATCTTCTGAAAGTAATCATGGAGTCAGTGTTAAAGCCCGTATTAAAACAACAACAGGAACTTTGTCATGCAACTCAAGCAGCCGACCAACCTCTGAGCAAGCTGCAGGGCAATCTTAGCCAACGGCTCCACACACTGGCCGAACTCCTCTGCATTGGGAGCGCTCGCATTGCCCAGCAGGTGGCGTGCATAGATCCCCTGAGAGATAACATGGGGAATAAAGCAACAAATAAGATTTCTGTTACATTTCTTTAACAAATGGGGATAACTAGCAGGATTACAGTGTTATTAAAACCCCAAAAGAGCATCTAGTGTTTGTTGTAAAAGGATCAGATGTTATCTCTTCTCTGTGAGCTGTTCTGTTCTGTAGGATAATACTTTCAGTGTGAATTTATGTTCATAAAACAGTGTGTGTGTGAGCTTAACTGTGTGTGTTAAACTCAAACGGAGCATTATTGATATGTCTGTTCACTTGTCTTTATTTAGATTGCATTCGATATTGAGCTTATCCAAAAAGTAATGGATATCAGGTTGCATTACTGTTATAAGAAACCCTTGCAGGTGTATATAAACGGGTACAAACCTGGGCGATTCCTGCCATTTTAAACACCGACAAGGCCAGGTAGAAATTCAACTCTGGCAAAGCAGAAGGGATCCCTCGGCAGCGACAGTAAATGGAGATCAGGTCGGCCACATTTGGGATACCTGCACAAAATGTTTGATCACCGTTTGTCCATTTATTTGAGCCGTTTCCCATATTTCTCATGAGTTGTTCTTTCCTTACCTTCTATTCCTTTCAAGCTGCCCAGCGTGCTGATGATGTTCATGCTGGAGGGCCAGTAGTGAGGCATCAGGAAGTAGGCCAGGTCTGCCAGAGGCTGCCCGGTGGTGGACAGCTCCCAGTCCAACACGGCCATCACACGGGCCTGATGACAGGAGATAACCCCCCCAAAGAATAAGATGGGTGAAGCAGCTTTCGTCCACTACAGTACAAACTGTGGAGCACCATACCAGGAAATATATAAGTGGATATTTTTAAACTACTGCTGAAACATGTCTTTTTAGATTAGATTTTAATTTTATTGTATTTACTCAAGACAATTATTTCGTGAATTTTTGGATTATTACTATATATTATTTTGTATTTCTCTTGCTTCTTTTACCTCTTCGTATTCCTTGAAATCTTATAAATCTAAATAAATAGATGTGTGCGCGTGAGCTGTCGCTGTGTATTAAAAGTGCTTTACAAATAAAGCTTTATTGATTTTTATTTATCAAACGCACTTAGTCAAGCATTACAGTCACATGAAGGAGAAAGGTGAGAGTTCTTAAAAGTCTCACCTCTGTTGGATGGAATATCAGATTGTCCAATCGGAAATCTCCGTGGACAAGCGTGACCTCGTTGTCATTGGCCGGCAGATTCTTCATCAACCAATCAGAGAGCTCGTTCATGGCTGGGATGTCCCTGTGGGCGGCGGCTGTGTACTGCTTCGTCCATGTTGACACCTTTAGAGACACATTTTTTATGTTAACTACATTTTCTGAGATGATTCATACATTTATTTTAGATTAATGGCGCTGTGCTCACTTGTCTCTTGCAGTATCCGGCTCCTTTTCCAAACCCCTCCAGCTTCAGGGATGCCAGGTCCAATGAGTGGAGCTTTGCCAACGCTTCCACTGCAGCCACATATAGAGCTGTCCTCTCTGCTGCACTCACTCCAGGGAGACGGAGATCCCTGAATATACGGCCCTGATCAAAAGAAAGAAAGACTGTCTTTTGGTGGTAAAGTTTTATCAGCCTGTGCATGTCAATCAGCGGGTAAACACAGGTCCAAACTCCATCTTTCATCATAAGAATATAGAGCAAAGGCCAACCAAACAGCAATAAATACACACGATGCATGGACACTGTCTTGGTAGCACAAACGTACTTTCACATGCTCCATTAAGTAGAACTCTGTTCCGATGATTTCAGCGTCATCGCAGTGCAGGAGAGGCTGAGGAACGGGGAACCCGGCGGAGAACAGAGCCTTCTGCACCCGGTACTCCCTGTCCACCTGAACACAGTCACAAAGATGCACCGCTTTATAATAAAAACACTGTAAGCTTCAATATATTATTCCACATGACCCAAACGATTTCTTACACAGATACTGATATGTAGCAAGCAAGCTTCTGTGAAATGAATTTGTTATTTTGCATTTATTACAATACAATTGCAGACAGTATTCTCTTGGTACACAACCAATTTATTTATTCCAAATACATGTATACTGTTTGAAATGGTCACTACACACACTTTATGTACTTGTCTTCGGGTCAAATTTGACCGATTTACTACTTTCATCAATCATAACTTTTTTGTTTTACAACATATAAAATTGCTGATGACCACTTTCATTGAATTTTGGATGATTTAGTCAACTTTGTAACACACACACACACACACACACACACACACACACACACACACACACACACACACACACACACACACACACACACACACACACACACACACACACACACACACACACACACACACACACACACACCTAGCAAGTTTGATTTGGAATTAGTCCAAAAGTATTCAGATGGTATTAAATGTTTTGGTAATGTGTTGAACTTGAATGACTCGTTTGTTAGATGTGTGTTTACCTTGTGGGCTCCAGGCAGCAGCTCACCTGGAGGTTTCTTCCTGAGCACAAAGCTGTCTGAGGGGGTCTGAATCAGGAAGGTTGGGTTGGACTGACCAGCGCTGCGAAGACAACAGGAAACAGTTAGCACATTATCAGTTAGCATTTACACTACCAGCCTCTACCTGCTCTTTAATGTTGCAGAGAAACAAACTGTATTCACCTGTACTGTTTGACAGTCAGTGTGTCCTCAGTTGACACCCTTGACTTGACAGACAGATATTTGTGTAGTCTGCTAACACTGAATGCGTGTTGCTGTCGAACAGGAGTTGTGAGCTCCTCCATGTTTGTTAGTTAGATTTGATTAATCATTTCCAGCTGTATCGCTCAGATAACTTTCGAAGTGTTGTTACAGTCAGTCGGACCCTTTACGCATGCGCACACCTACGTCGTGTCTTCTTTATTTAACATCTTTAACGGAAAAAGGCATATATATATTTTTCGTAATATCTAATAGAAATTGAGCAGTTTAAAAATGCAGAATATTCTAATAGTCATCCTATTACGTTTAAAACAGTTGAAATAACCCAATAACAATGTAGGAACATTTTGAGGTAATTGTATTAGTTTCTACACGGACAGTATTTACGGGAGCACGCAGTCTGATTTCAGTTGTGAAGACGTGTACTTTCCGAGCAGATTATCTTATAGACAGTCAGTTTACTTCTTATATTACTGAAAATACATCCTATATTTCCTTCGCTTTGTTACGGGACATTTGTTACCGCAATGGCGACTGTGGAGGAGCTGAAGCTGCGCGTGAGGGAGCTGGAGAATGAATTAATAAAGTGTAAGCAGAAACAGAGTGCCATGGATAATGCTCACAACCAGGAGCAACACAGACCCAAGATTGACAAGATGAGTTCAGAAGTGGTGGATTCAAACCCATACAGGTACTTTTATATTGTATTATTTCATCTTTTGACAGGATTTGCAGTCTGCTTACTGAGAGACTACGCCTTATGACTCACTCATCCCATATGGTGGTTCTTCACAGAGGATAATCAGCTGTGTTTTTATTATTGCAGTCGTCTGATGGCTTTGAAGAGGATGGGCATCGTGAAGGATTATGAGGTATGATGTTTAAGGGTTGCTGCAATACAGCACCACGTTTTTATTTTGCTGCTCTATCGCCAACAGAAGGGATCAATACCACAACCATACGTTTTTACCTAACGGTTTTTTCAGTTTTCCACCTATGCCTGCTGCCTTTTATAGCAGGCCTCCTGTAGTGAACTAATGTTTTTTAAGCATTGCAAATATTAAATAATCACCTCAAATGTGTTGACAGAAAATCCGGACCTTCACAGTGGCAGTGGTTGGTGTCGGGGGGGTGGGCAGTGTGACAGCTGAAATGCTCACCAGATGTGGCATCGGTAAGGTAATGCAAACCCTTTCTTATTTATTCCACATTTACCTGGTCAGTAGATGGTCTTCCTCAACTCACCCTAATGTCCTCCATGCTCTCTCCATCACAGCTGATCCTCTTTGACTACGATAAAGTGGAGCTGGCCAACATGAACAGACTGTTCTTCCAGCCTCACCAGGCCGGCCTCAGTAAGGTGGAAGCAGCAGAACACACGCTCAGGTACACTACTGTCTGAGTCATCCACTTTTCCACCAAAATAAAGACACGTTGGTTACATATTTACTTAATTTACCCAACAGGAACATCAACCCAGACGTGTCATTCGAGACCCACAACTATAATATCACCACAATGGATAATTTTGCACATTTCATGGAGCGCATCAGGTGAGGATTTCTTCTCTCTTGTTGTATTACTCTCACCCCTCAGTGGTAAATTCATTCACAACAACCTACTGTGTCCTCTCAGTTTTGGAGGGCTGGAAGAAGGGAAGCCGGTGGATTTGATCCTGAGCTGCGTGGACAACTTTGAGGCTAGAATGGCGATAAATACAGTAAGTTCAGGATAAAAAAACCTCATGTCAAACACTGTTTTTTGTACCTTTTTACTCTTGCCGGCTGTATTCATTTTGTCATGTTTGTCACAGGCCTGTAATGAACTGGGTCAGATCTGGATGGAGTCGGGGGTGAGTGAGAATGCCGTGTCGGGACACATCCAGCTCATCATCCCTGGAGAGACGGCGTGTTTCGCTGTAAGTCTTAACACACTCACACACACACGCTTTCATTACATTGCTGTACATTTCTTAGCTTAGCTTCCTGTAGAACTTCAACAACAGCGAGAAAAACAACGGTCGTACTCACGGTTTAATACAGTACCTTCTCCTCCTTTGTTAGTGCGCTCCTCCTCTGATTGTGGCCACAAACATCGATGAGAAGACCCTAAAGAGAGAGGGTGTGTGTGCCGCCAGCTTACCCACAACCATGGGTGTGGTCGCAGGCATCCTGGTGCAAAATGTCCTCAAGTAAGATATTTTGTTGGCTTTTTGAAACCTAAAATCCGAAGTGTAGCGAGGGACTAAACAAAAGAAAAACATTGTCTGACGTTCAAGAAAGCAGTCTTTCCACTGGTATGCGTTTGACCTTTTATTTGCAAACGAAACAAGCAAACATACAATTCTTTCTAGTCCATATCCAGTATGTGATTGCGTATGCTGTCAACAAAAAGTGTCCTTCCCCAGCTCACTCCCCCTCCATCTATGACAAAGTGCACAAGTAAAAGCAACCGGATATAACCTCAAACGTCACCACACAAATCCAATAGACACGCCTACCACCTACTAAAGAATGTGACGTAACAAACACAGAAAATACTTTACATGTGGCTACTACACTTAGGTTTGTCCGTATATATTATAGTGGACCTATCATGCTATATTTGAATAATATAGTGTAGGACCATACCTATATAAGGCATATTTATACTTTTTTTTGCAAAATACCAAACAGATCATGCATTTTAGCCATGCCTCATTTTGCTCAATTTGACATTTTTTAGCTCTGTTTTTGCAAGGGCTGATTCTGTGAGAACAGCACCACCTACTGGCCTGGCATATGTACTACAGCGTCTCCAGCGCTTTCGAACGGCAATGGCCGTGGCTGTCTCTTCCTGATTGGTGGAGTTGGCCCAATAGCCGTAGCGCCACCGTCCTGACGTCAGGAAAGTGTTCAAATCTGGATCAGTTTTTATCAGATCCGTTGCAGCCCCTTTTTTAGAGATTTGGGTATGGAGGAAAATAGAGAGGGTTGTGTTTTCTGACACTTGGTGAGTTCCCTGGAACACCGGGGACACATATTCATGTAGAAAAGACGTACAAAAGTGCATTTTGCATGATAGGTCCCTTTTAAGTTACATTTTTGTTTTCAGGTATCTGTTGAAGTTTGGAACTGTCAGTCATTATCTCGGCTACAACGCCATGAAGGACTTCTTCCCCACCATGGCCATGAAAGCCAACCCTCAGTGTAACGACCGCTACTGCAGGATACAACAGGAGGAGTACAAGGTGGGTGTCTGGTGCTTTGTTTTCAAGTATTACAAAGTAGGACCTACCAAACATTACATTGCACATTGTTGTACTTGTAAGTAAACAGTGTGTGTGAATATTCCCCTTTTAGAAGAAAGAAGCCGAGCGGCCTAAAGTTGAAGTTGTAGAAGAAGAAGAGGAGGAGATCGTACACGAGGACAATGACTGGGGTGAGCAACACATTGCTATATCAGTGTCAGATCTGTAACCATTTGGCATTGTGTAATAACACACACTTCTGGCTGTGCAGGCATTGAAGTAGTGTCAGAGGTGACTGATATGGAGTTGGAGGCGGCATCAGGCGTTGTGCCCGACCTCCCAGAAGGCATCACTGTGGCGTACACCATTCCAGCTGAGGTTAGTATCATGTGACACAACACAGCTTAACAACAGTTTACATGTTAGACGCTGAAATACTTCTATGTGAGAATATTACGGACCTTTCCTGAAGAATGCAGAGAGAAGTCCGCGGGGTCTTAAACGTATTAAAAGTTGATACATTTAGCGAAAATGAAGGCTATTAAAAAGTATGAAACGGCATTTTCCAAGGTATTACATGTTGTAGCTTGTTTTCAATAAGTATATCAATTGTCCAAAGAGGTTGTATTCTACAGTCTGCCTGAATGTAATCATTGCGTAGGTGTGTAGTGTGATTCTGTGTAGTTTATTTATGGCATCCCGTTGGGTTTGACGTCATCTGAACAGGACATCGCACGCTCACTGCTTGATAAGCGCGCGAAGCTCCGTTTACGCCGGTTGTTAAACATCATCGTTATGGGGGAAATGCAAGTCTGCGTCCAAATGGTTGGAAGAGAAGGAGGAAGGACAATCAATACTGTAGATCAGGGGTACTCAAACTTTTTATTAAAGGTCCAGTTGCGAACTTTATACAAGGTCACTGGTCCGGATCAATGCCAGTAAAGTCCCGTCCCCCCCTGAAATTAAGAAGCAGTTTCTTGGCGCTCTATGCATGGAGTTTCCCGACATGTCGTTGCAGTAAATTAAAGGGTGTTTCATGTTGTCGTTGCTGTGGACCTTCTTAATCTACCTTCTTTGGGGGCCCCCTTCTGGTCCAAGCATTTGCCTGCCTTGCCTGTCGGTAAACGGCGCCCCTGTATACACACACACCTTCAATACATACATACAGTATGTCAAGGTAAACTTGCAGTTAACTTGCGGTCTGCTATGCGTGTCACGCTCGCGCACACAAGTAAATATAACAACGCGTCAGACACAAGACGCGCGTACATGATGATGTACATTAATTTATCAGAATCAGAATTTTTTTTTTTTTTTTTTTTTTTTTTTTTAATAATGGGGCACAGGGTTCGGTCCGGATTGATTTGCAGTTCGGTCCGGATCCGGACCTTGGTCCGGAGTTTGAGAAGCCCTGCTGTAGATAGTCAATGTGAGGTAAAGTGTGTCGCCAAGGTAACCGGTTAAAACTCAAAGTGGCGATGAGGTCTTAAAATGTATGGAAAGGGTCTTAAAAAAGGTCTTAAATTTGACTTCAGGATTCCTGCATATACCCTGAGTTAGCTAATTGTAATTCTGACAATTGTTTTCCCTCTTTTGACCCAGAATACAGCCAGTGGGGAGACAGTGGGGGAGACTGAGCAGAGCCTAGAAGAGCTGATGGCTCAGATGAGAAAGCTGTGAGCAAAAATCTGCGGAAACGTTTCTGTTATTCTGATACAACATGCCTTTTTTCATGTGTCTATTCCTTTCTTTGTTTCTAAAACAAGCATCCCATGAAAACAGCATTAATGACTAACTATGGATCTAATTCTTCTAACTGCTAAAGAACGGAACTGCATGAAAGTGCTTCAAATGACATGAAGGGAGTCTTAAATGTCGTTAAACCTAGGATAATATCACAATGTGTATTTTCTACGGTTTTGATGAATGGATGAGTGTCTCTACCTGTGATGTCATTCACTCAGCTTTAAGTAAATCAACATGTTTAGTCTCAATAAAGTATTTATTAGATGGAATACAATCTGCTCGATATAGTGTGTGATTTCTGTTGTTCTGTACAGCTTTTACAGATTTAAATTACATTACATTAATACATGAATATATAAAAACACTTAAGATGCACTTTATGTATATTGAGGCAAAGGTTTTGGCACACGGTCCCTTTGGGTTTCATGTACATTCAGTCATACAACCATTTCTTAATTGTACTTAGCATTGATACAAGTGGCACTATCTACACATGACTTATTGCAAATGAATAAAAGCTTTGTTTAAACAAACTCAATACCAGAGGTGATGTCTCTTTAGACACGTTTGAGGACACTTATCTTTGGTTCCCTTTTTGGATTACATACTGTACTCAATACTGCAAAGTAAACATGATGAATGTAAACATGGCATAGAAATAATCACATTTTTCACAATGTGCACATTTGATCTCAGAGACAGTCGCTCTATAGAGTATTTCAGTCAGTCTGATGTAGACATGTTAACAAATCAGTTTACGGTCATACTTCATCTATTTTACCTGTTTTAATGGATCATGCAAAATGCACTTTTTGATGTCTTTTATACATAAATGTCCCCAGTGTGTCGGGCAACTCACAAAGTGTCAGAAAATAAAACCCTTTCTCTTTTCCTCCGTACCCAAATCTTTTAAAAACGGGGGTACAACGAGCGGATACAGATTTGCTGCCGATATGACGTAATTTCGGATGGTGGACCCACGGAGAGTTTCTATCAGAAACAATGCCTGACGTGTTTTGGAAGTAATATGGTCTGTGTTTAAATTAGCAAGCCTCGCTAACACTCAGAGCTAACCTGTACTGGAGAGCACATGTGTTTAAAAAGCAGGAAATAAAAAAAGGAACTCACCTTGTGATAAACCCGGAAGAGAAAAAGCATTTGAGCTCCATACTGTTTCAGAAATAATCCTTGATGTGGTTTAGAACAGGATGGCGTTTTATCACAGCAGAATGTAACTTTATCTCCGGTTGAATACTTATCAGGCATTAGCTCCGCCTCCTAAGGACCCAAAAATCTGCGTTTCTCTAACAGCTGGAATAGAGGGATATGAGGGATTTCTAAAATGCATGATGTTTGTATTTTGAGCAAAACACAGAGACATGTTTTTAAATAGCATGATAGGTGCACTTTAATATTAAGGTGTTTGAAAAAGTGCATATAATGATATCGTCTGTACATTGGAAAGCACCTAATGTTCCTGGTTATTCTTAATTGTTTTATCAGTTATAATATTAAAGTGCCTTAATTAACTATAAGAGTAAACCTGAGTTCCATTTAGAAAGGACAGATTTAACAGAGGTTTCCTACACATGTGATTAAGTTGTAAATAATAATAAATACTTGAAGTTAAAACACAGGTTTCACAGATTAATAGGCGAGACTTCCACCAGGTTGCAGTCTAATTGACCGAACCCTTTAACCCTTCATTTAGAGAACAACGGGTGTTTCTCAATGTCGAGGAAGGATGCTCCAGAGCCACTATTTCAAGGATGCTACGTCATCGAGTCCCGCCGAAGGACTGTTCCAATATCCAGGCTCCTTGGAATTTTACCGAGGCCTGCGTCCTTCGTAGCGAGAAATTTCGAGGCTGCACATGTGTATCCTCCGCGGTCTTAAAATCCCCACAATGCTTTGCGCACGGACCAATTTCCAAAATCTGTGGCGGAAAATGTAAGGCGAGGCCTCTCATATGACGCCTGCACACTTGCTCGCCTGTTCCATTCTTCGTTCTCCGAATGCCAGGAAGGATTCTTGCCTAGCTTCTGAAGGACCTGACTCGGAAGACTTGTCCTACCAAGGAAGCGTCCTCGACATTGAGAAACACCCAACCACAGCGTGATGAGCAGAATGGTTCCCAGTTTGAAACCATGGGTCAAATGTTGTTATTCCAGTCTATATTGTTCCGTGGCTGAACAGAGTCACCTGGGGGCCTGTGGGAGGGGGGCAGGTCCTCTCAGACTGAACGTGTCCCCGCTGGAGGAGTGGCGGGACGGGGCGTTCCCGCACACCAGCGACGGATCCGCCTCCTTGATCTCCATCGCACGTTTGTAAAGCTCTGCCGCCTTCTCAAAGTCGCCCTCTTCGTAGCTATGAAGCAAGAAATACAAAACAAGAAATTATTTGAATAGTCAATAACATTCATGATTTAACTTCTGATCAGCCAAATGCTACTGCACCTCAACACAGCCAGGTTTTTCAGGGTCTCTCCGACCCGTGGGTGCGAACGTCCCAAACTATCCTCATACACTTTCAGCGCTCGCTCGTAAAGAGGCAAGGCGTCACTGTGGTTCTTCTGTGAAGGAAAAGTGAAGTTTAGTTTCTCTAAATAACTTGAATACACATACTCAGTCATTCAAATAATGTGTGTGAATATTCCTGAAGAATTATACAGGCTGAATGAAATCCTCCTCACCAGTTGGCAGTAGATCACAGCCAGGTTGACCAGTGCTGTGGCCACACTGGGATGTTTGGGCCCAAAACTCTTTTCCCTGATGTCCAGAGACAGCTCATACAGCGGCACGGCCTTCTCCAGCTTCCCCTGCACAACACACACACACATCTTCAAATCAGATCCCCCGCCAACACAGAACGAGCTGATCCACAGACAGAATCAGACACACGTCTCACTCTGCGTTTGTAGAGCATGGCCAGGTGTTTGAGAGTGTATGCCAGCGACGGGTGGTCCGGGGATAAAGCCCTCTTCCGGATGTCCAGCGCTCTCTCATACATGTCTTCGGCGGTCTCGTACTCCCGCCTCTCCGTGTGCAGAGCGGCCAGGTTGTTGAGGGACTGAGCGCAGTCAGGGTGGTCCGGACCGAGGACGCGCTGACGGGTCTCCAGAGAGCGGGTCAGGAACAGCTTAGCAGCACTGGGGAGGGCGGAGAGGGGGATGTTAGAGACACACAAAAAAGGACGTAGGAATGTTAATTTAAGGGAGACACAATTTGATCATTCATGTCTAAATGCAGGGGGTGTTATATAGGTTTACCTGTGTGCATCCTAGCTATGATATATCAGAGAGGGATGTAAGCGACACACAAAAAAGGACGTAGGAACACTTCCACTTGGATAGAATTTAAGGGAAACATAATTAGATCATTCATGTCCAAATGGGGTGTTCTATAGGTTTATCTGTGTGCATCCTAGCTATAACATATCGGTATATCACTCTGTTGTTTTTGTAGTTTGCTTGAATTCTTTGTAAATGTGGTTTGCATCTTAAAGGTCTTTCAAGAATAAAAAAAGGGTGAAGTGATGTGTGCCTTACTCCAGGTTGTTTTGGAGGTAGTACAGAACACCCAGTTCATTGAGTGTCTTGGCAGAGTCTGCAGAGTCTGTTCCCAGAGTGAGCTCCTCCAGCTGCAGAGCTCTGCGCCTCAGCAGTGTGAAGCCGTACTGAAAGGTGGATCCACAGAGGCATGAACATTACGACTAAGATTAGGTGAGAATGACTAAGCGTGCGGGTATCTTTAAATGCTCACCATATGGCCTTTCTGGCGAGCAGTCTTCTGGCGGATTTTTACTGACCTCTTCCTCAGTTTCTCTGCTTGTTCGTACCTGATTGTAAAACAGCCAGGTGTAAGCCATTAAACATACGTGTTATAAAATCAATAACATCGGTATGACGCCTCATTACCTGGCAGAAACAACCAATAAACTGTACTACAATAACAACAGTAATGAAAAACATCATGTAAAGGTCAGGAGATCCATTTACTTGTTCTGTTTCTGGTAGAGCATGGCGAGGGACTCCAGCTCTCGTGCTACGCTGGCGTGCTCGGCTCCGTAGGCGTTTTCACTGATCTCCAGTGCCTGCTTGTACAGCTGCTCAGCGTTGCCGTACTTCTTCCACTGAACGTAAACCGCGGCCAGCTGGTGCAGCGAGCGAGCCACGCTGGGGTGGTCCGGGTCCAAGGCCGTCTCCCTGATCTCCAGGGACCTTTGTAAAGGTGCTACAGCCTAGAAAACAGACAGAAACAGATACATTATGCAACTGTCAACATGTGCACTTACCTAATGGCAAAATCAGGATATGTAAGCAAAGGAAACAACAAAACTGCCACGCAAGGTGAGGCAGAAAAATATTGAGTTTGTTTAAAGGTCACCTATCATGCTATTTTTAGGCAATAGCACAGGATCTCAGATATATAAAAATATATAAAAAACATGTCTATGAAGTGTTTTGCTCAAAATACCAAACAGATCACCCATTCTAGCCATGCCTCATATCCCTCTATTTCACTTCCTGTTTCTAAAGTGCTGATTTGGGGTATAACGGTTTAAAAAAAATAAAAAGTAGGGGTCTGAGCTCATGGGGACCCGGCAGCTACTGTCTAAACTAAATACTGCCGTGATGAAACGCCATATCATGGATTATCAAGGATTGTTTCTGAAACAGTATGGAGCTCAAAGGCTTTCTCTCTTGCCGGTTATACCACAAGGTGAGTTCCTTTTTATTTCCTGCTTCTTCACACACATGCTCTCCAGTACAGGTTAGCTCTGAGTGTTAGCGATGCTAATGTAAACACCGACCATATTACGTCCAAAACAGTCGGGCATTGTTTCTGATAGCAACGTTTCTGATAGGGCCGTGGGTCCACATTTCAGATCGGACGCAAATCTGGATCAGCTCCGTTGTACCCCCGAGATTTGGGTACGGAGGAAAAGAGAGAGGGTTTTATTTTCCCTGACACACCGGGGACACATATTTATGTATAAAAGACATAAAAAAGTGCATTTTGCATGATAGGTCCCCTTTAAAAGAAAACCTGTTTTTTTTGTTGATATTTTAAAGATTTTGTAACCAAGCACGTACCTGACTGGGGAGGCCGAGGTCTTTGAGGAAACGTCCCAAAGTCTCGTACAGGTTTGCCAGCTTGGTCATGCTGTCTTCATTCTCACAGCTCTTCTCATATTGTTTCAGGGAGTCAAAGTACTCCGTGGCCATGGAGCTCTTGTCTTTGCCCACATACTGCCAATAGGCTAGCAGCTCAGAGAAATGACCCCTAGAAAGAGAGAACACACATCTGTAAAACGGTACTAACTTACATGTGGCAGGCTTTGCTATAACAGCACATAGGTATGGGTTTTGTACCTCTTGTAGAGGTTCTGGGAGACAAACAGGTTGAGGAGGCTGAGCTGTAGTTTGGTCCGATCGTCCTGCTGTTGGAGCAGCCAGGGCAGCTCGTCTGCAACACGCCACGTCACACGGTCCGGGCTACACACACACAAAGACAAAAACACAATGACATGACTAAGAAAATACTTTAAGCTGTGTTTTATGAGAAAAGATGGCTACAGTTAATGCACCTGAGCTGCTGACTGAAGTACTGAATGAGTTTCTCTCTGTAAGCAGCCGAGCTACTTCCTCCACCCAGGAACTCCAACCTTACAGCTTCCCAAGCCTGAAAGAAAAACTATGTTAAAGTTGTCTCTCCGAACATCTTCTATCCCAGGAATCTCATAGATTCTGATGCATGTTGTATGTGTAATGACTAGGGCTGCTCAATTCATCGTATTTTAATCGCAATTACGATTTTGGCTAGCAACGATTATGAAAACAACATAATCGAAATAAAACGATTATTTATTTTTAATTTTAATTTTTTAATTTATTTTTTAATTGTTTTTTCAGTTGAATTATACTTAAAGTTCAAGGTAATCAACTGTTAAAAACATACTGTTAAACATTTTTTTTCAATAAATGGATGTTTTCAAAGTAAATGGATAATCGTTTTTAATAATCGTGATATCAATTATTGACCCAAATAATCGAGATTATGATTTTTGCCATAATCGAGCCACCCTAGTAATGACCCTATCATGTTCTACTGGCCCGGTTACCTGCAGGTGTTGAAACCTGATGAGGCCGCAGCGCAGGGTCACGATGCAGAGTCTGTTCAGACGGTACAGCAGAGAGGACAGGACCGGCAGCTCCAGCTCTGTGAAAAGATCTAACACCTCTGACTCACTCACTCCATTATGGCTAGAACAAACGAGGCATAGGATCTGAAGAGAGACAAAACAAGCTCCTTTGTTACAGAGAAGAACATTCATTCAAGCAAAGGACAGTGAATGACGTCATGAGAACACAATAAAACATCTGATTTGCGGCACACAATGGCCATAATAAATGTAATGTGTTTCACTGAAGCATTTGGAGTATTAAGAACTGGGTGTCTTTCCCGGGACACATCACAAACAGCGACATTCTAAAGAAGTGAGATGCAGAAACACACCTGCAGATACTGCTTGAATAATTGTTATTAGGTCACCTCTCTCATGATGTGTCGCTCCCTGTCTGTGTTGAGGGAGTTCAGCGTCATCTTGAGGGCCAGGCGGTACAGAGACATGGTGTCCTGACACTGCAGACACTGCTCCAGGCTCTTCTCCAGAGGGCAACCGGATATACTGCTGGCCAGCAACAAAACAATGCACATGCTCCAATCAACAACATCTAAAAACACATGAAGCCACACAATCAGAGATAACAGTTTTGAGAGGAACTCTATTTGACCCAGATAAATGCATGTTTAAGATCTTTTTGGAATTAATTTACTTTGTCAAAGTGTCTGAAACTAACCTGATGATCATTCTTGCCAGCAGTGTGACATACAATGCGTTGCAGGTGGAGGCAGAGCGGCAGTGCCTCTCCAGCTTCTTCTCCTGCAACAAAACAATAGGTGTGGCATTCTCAGAAAATAAAAATACCTCTCAGGAACCAATTCCAAATATCTTTTACATTTATTTTGAAAATGCGGATGGTGGGATGCTAACTGACCTGGTCTTTGGTTAGTTTGAGTTCCATGCTCTGGCACTCTGCATTCACAACACTCCTCACCTCTCTGGGACTCAGAGGGTCCAGGTGTAGAGTGGGCCACAACCTAAACGGACATAATCACTGAATTACAGATAGTGATACTACAGGTACATGTTTGGAATCATATGTCCCTGCAATAAACAGCATTTTGAACCAGTGGAAGGGAAGGCAAGGCAAGTTTATTTATATAGCACTTTTCAGCACGCGGCAATTCAAAGTGGTTTACAAAACAAATTCAAATACTTTTTAGGAATAAACACAGTAAAAACACATTATATAATGGCATTTTACAACAGGCATTACAAAGCAAAGATAATAAAATAAACACAACAGGTATACAATACATGTTTAAATGGCATACTGTAGTGCGAATATGAGCAGCTCAATTAAAAGCAGCGGCAAAAAGATATGTTTTCAGTCACGATTTAAAAATAGTAAGAGTTTCTGCAGACGTGCATGATTCAGGCAGTTTGTTCCAGAGTGTCGGGGCATAATAGCTAAACGCTGCCTCTCCATGTTTTGTTTTTACTCTCGGAACCGATAGCAGACCCGTCCCAGAAGACCTGAGGCACCTTGATGGTTTGTAATCATGTAGGAGATCAACAATATACTTTGATCCTAAACCATGTAATGATTTAAAAACTAGCAATAGTACTTTAAAATCAATTCATAGACATAAACTCAAGCTGTGTCTCACCTCCACGCTTGAGGACACGTCTCTACATTGACAGACACCACCACTCTGACATTGACAGGAAGAGGGTCAATCAGCCACTTCATGTGTCTCTCTGCTTGCTGAAAAAAGGAGAGAACATAAGTGAGCTATGAGCTATTTCTAAATGAGACCAAATATGTGCAGCATATGCCTTATGTGGAGCGTACCTGTATTTGGTCAATGGAGTCGATGATAATGATGATGTTTCCTTGATGGCGTGCTGATAATCGTTCCAGCCAGCGGGGAAACTCCTCTAAGATCTTACTGGGCTCCATGGACAGACCGGATATGGACCAGAAGTGCTGCAGCAGCTACGTGACAGCAGAGAGAACTTATAGTTACAGTTGATCAGAAAGAGTGAGTGTCTTCACTGGAAGAGCCCTTACTTTGACCGTGAGGCGTTTGATGATGAGCACCGGCTCTGAGCTGGTGGAAAGCGGGCGACCGACGAAATGATAAAGAAACAAGGTGTTGGGAGACTGCTTCTGCTGCTGCTCGATCCTGAGGAGGAGTACAGAACGTAGACAAACGGTAAATAATGTCCTGTTCCATGATGTCACAGTGTAGGCCTAAGAGTGGTAAACTACTCACTCCTCCCTTCTAAAGCATACACAACACTTTAAATACAAAATAGCTTGATTTAAGAAGTGTCAGGGGAAATATTACACTCGACTGAATTAATCATTTCTCACCATTTGGAGAGCAGGAGAGACTTTCCTGAGCCTGGACCACCTGACACCAGCAGAGGAGGGGTGGGAGGAGGAGCAGCTATCATGTCATTCAGACGGTCTATATACTGAGGAGGACAGCACAGAGAGGTTAAAGAATAAAACATTGATAGGGGGGTGAGAGTAAAAAAGCGAAGAGGTCTGCCCCACCTTCTGGAAGCCCAGCTGGGAGGAGGTGCTGCTGCAGGCCTGCTGGTAGGACTCAATCTGCTCCTGCTCGTCATGCAGGTCCCACAGCACGTCTCCTGAGTCCTCCTCACGCCCCTCATCTATCCCAGAGTCCTTAGAGTCAACATCTGCTCCTTCAAGACACAGCAGCTCCTACATCAGGGTGGAAGTGGTGGAATCATGAGCAGGAATCACATACAGCACAAGAGAAATGATGAAACACTGATGCTGCTGACTGTCTGTACCTGTTTGATGACTTTTTCCAGTTGAGAATAAATTAGGTCAGCCCCTTCCTCTGCAGAACCACTGTGATCCACCACCTGGGCTCATTTGAAAAACACGTAAGTACAAGAACTGTTTGGCATTTGGCATCCAGGAATACACAGGAGCACACACATATTTGAATGACTATAAATGGCATTTACAGAATACACTTTATTGTCTGGCACTCACAAACCTTGACTTTAGCAGCCTTGTCTGCAGCGTTAATTCTCTCGAGCAGTTGTCTGGTGGGTCCGGTCAGAGTGTGGTCTTCTTCAGTCCTGAGGTAGAGCACCAGTGGATGGCCGTCTGGATTCTTCACAAAAGCCTCCTCACAATCCTCCACCACAGAGCTACACACATGAATGAACATGAACATATATGTTCTTAAATAAATACAATAATCAGTGTACAACATAACTAGTTAAGGTGAATATACGCTAGGACTTACTGTACCTGGTTACAGTCGATTTGACTAGAAGCACACACACAGAGCTTCTTTCAATCTCCTGTTTTCGCTCCACATCGTAGGAGGCAGCGCTTTCCTCTGGGAAGCACACGTTCAGGTAGAAATGTCCGAGACCCTCGCACATCTTCCGTAACACAGGTGAGTGTTTCTGTTGTGAAAACAGGAAGCAAAGCAACAATGGCATTCAGACAAGTCTTCAATCAACCACAATTTGTTCTTGAAAACAGATTAAAGGTAACGTAAGACTTAAAAACACCATGAAGCATAATGATTATTATTTCAGCAATGTTTTAGTAAAAACTTAGGAGAGCAACGCCATTTTAATTTAGATTTCTTGAACAATACCTCCTGAACAACAATATATTTATAGTTTTTTGACCCACATTGCCCATCTAACCGACCTTAATAAAGACATCCAGCTCAGGTTTGGTCTCCTGGGTGAAGATGAGGTAGCAGCGCACGGTGTTACTCCATAAGGCCTGGGGCACGTGAGGGGAGACCTGAAGCAGACTGGCCACGGCAGCGTCCCAGTCATCTGACACACACAGGGGAAAAGGTGTGAGAATAACACATGAAACATAATAATATTGATAAATAATTAGGTCATTTATGTAGAGGTTCATTTCTTGTTTCGCCAACAATTCTACAGATTTCTTAAATTTGACTCACCTCTGCCCACATTTGCAAAGGGTCCCTCCACATCTATCAAACTGTGGGCAAACTCAGGTCCTCTGAAGGTCTGCTGTAACTGCATCATGCTGCCCATAGAGGGCTCACTTCCCAGCACCCCACCAGACCAATAATCACACTGAGTCTCTGCAGCTGAAGACAAGAGTGAGAGAAATAATGCAATGCTTTTACAGATTTTAATCACACAAAACAAGAACTTATTTTTGTATTCTTGTGGCAAAACAGTACGGGTTAAGATTGAATTATAGATACACTTAAAAGTCCCAACACCTAGTTGTACCCCCCCCCCCGCAGGTCTTTCCTTCCTGCAGCGGTCAGACTATACAACCAGCACAGCCCCTAGTTGACCCCCCCCCACACACACACACCACAACACAGACTATATCACCCCTTGCTGCTAAATACCAACAAACTATGTGCAATATATAAATGCCGTTAATAACTGTGTAGTATATACCTGGCTGCTAAATCCTTAGAACTGTTACAAGGTGTGTATTTTGTATTTTGTATTTTGTAAATTGTGTAACTTGCTGCTGTTAAATACCAACCACCTATGTGCAATATGTGCTAGATGTGCAATATATATAAATGCCGTTAATAACTGTGTAATATATACCTGGCTGCTAAATCCTAAGAACTGTTACAGGATGTGTATTTTTTTAAATTATGTAACTTTTTTTTTTTTTATCATATTTTTTATTATATCATAACTTAGTACTTTTTTTTTAATGCATGTCACATATTTAACATATGTAACATTAAGCTGTCTGTGGCTCTTTTTCCAGCTGTAACTACGCACATTTCCCCTCCGTGGGACTAATAAAGGTATTCTGATTCTGATTGTGGATTTCTAGATCTTACCTGTGACAGTGGTTTGGTTGTCATCTGAGTCAGAATCATTTAAGTCATAGATCTGGATTCCCTGAGCCTGTAGCTGTTGCAGTTTGGCCTCCAAGTCCCTTTTGGCCCGCAGGAGATCCTGAATCTCTTTTTCTTTTGTCTCCCGGAAGATCTGGTGGTTATTAAGCACATTGGTTAGGGTTGCAGATAATCAGGATTACTGGAGAGAATGCTCCACAACACTATACAGGTGTGATTTACCTTAAACTGTCGTTTGACTTTGTCCCTGTCGTGTTCGAAGGTGGCAGCCCTCTCCATGGCTTGGTACTTTGCCTCAAGAGCGCTCTCTTTTTCTCTTAGGATCTTCTGGTAGGTCTTCTGCAGAGCCTGTTGTCACATTAAGATAATTAAAAGAACAGTAAAAACATCTGGAAACCTTGTAGCATCTGAATCTCAGTAGATACAGGATAATCATGTTACCTGTAGCTCAGCCCTCAGCCTCTTGTTCTCCTCATCCAGCTTGGCTTCCTTCTTTTGCATGGATGTTATCTCGTTGTTCTTGCTCACACGGAAGATTTCATACTCTTTTCGGAGTCGCTCATACTCAGCAGCGTACTCTAGATCCACAGAACCGGTGGATTTGAAGCTGGCCCCGATCACGCGAGGCGCTCTGCGGAAGGAGCTTCGGAGGAGCCTGGCTTTGGGCTTCACCTCCACCGGGATCACACAGGCTTCCCCTCCTTCACCTCCATACCCGTCCTCTATCACCTCTCCTGGGCTGACCAGGGACGATGCGGTGCCCATGGTGGCAGCCTTAGCTTTAAAAACAGAAAAAAGTGGCAGCAGTGAGCCTTCTGATGTCCATAGCTGATCACAGAGGTGGAACGTAACTAAATACATTTAGTTAAGTACTCATTTGAGGTACTGGAAGTAGAAGTAATTTATTTCTGTGACACGTCATACTTCTCTACAATTCAAGGGGAAATATTGTACTTTTTACTACATGACATTTATTTGATCAGTTCAGATTTTTACACACAACACTTAGGTAAAACTTGTGTGATATGATGCCATCCAACATTATATTTAAGTACCTGAAACAATAATTGGGTTAATGAAAAATGCACTGGTAGCTATTTGCTAATTGTTCAAGTAGTTAAGAAACATTTCACAGTTTCAGCTTCTCAAAAGTTAAGAGTAAAGTATTTTTCTGCAATAATTACCGTTACTCCTAATAATTTAAGTATATTTTCCTGTTCATACTTAAATACTTTGACTTAAGTACTTTTCTCAGTTTGTATAGTATTAGAACTTTTACATAAGTAAAGTATACCTTCTCCACCACTGGCTGCTCCTGTGCAATGGGATTTAATCAACCTAGGCTGTGAAATATGATTGTTAATGACATTTCTGGGTCCTTATTTGAGTTATCCGTGCTTTATTTTTAATGCAAAATAGCTCATCAATGTGTAGCTACAGCCACAAAACTAACATGCTTTCCTACTAATAGCAAAGGTTTAAAAACAATTAATGTGTCTATTTGTAGTCATGTCGTGTCTATGAAAAGTAATGAAGAGTTTTCATCAACCTAGGCTGTGAAGTATGATTGTTATTGACATGTCTGGGTCCTTATCTGGATTATCCGTGCTGTATTTTTAATGCAAAACAGCTAATTAATGTGTAGTTACAGCCACAAAGCTAACATACTTTCCTACTTTACCAACGGTTAAAAACGACCGTTGGTTTTATAACGGTTAACGCTCAAATGTTTGCAGTTGATGCTAGCTAATTAGTTAGCAATTCCAACACGGTGTTAAAGTTAACGTACTTGGTTAGCTAGCTAAAACCTATGAAAAAACTGCTCAACACGCTCGTCGCGACATGTTTTGGTGTCAAGACTTTTACACGTTTACTTTTGTATATTCTAGCTTGGTCATAACGTTGAATGAAACTCTGTGAAGACATTTGCAGTTACGTTAAACAAATAAAAATACACTCACAGTCCGCTCCCTTCACAGCTTCTCCCTGGCTGCCTTGGTAACAGGTCGAAAATATGGGAGCCCGCTCAGGTCAAACTTAGGAGACTCGCGTTACAGAAAAGTTATTCGGACTGCAAAGGTTACAAAAATAATTATGATTTGTTTTGGAGAATCCTAAAGAGTACTTATTGGTTATTAATAATCGTATTCTCTTATGTATAAATAATATATACACAGACAAGTTTCAGGAGGTGAAACATCATTTTTGTGTATTTTATATCGAGTTTCTTTACTTTTTAAAACCCCTTCAATTATGAAAAAAGAAGAATGCATGCAACACACAATAGAATAATATATATTTAACGTTTCATTTCGTGCATTTTTTTTAAAACAACCATTAAAATACAAAAAAAGTCAAGAAAAGTGATCTTGTAGTGTGGCAAGTATGCAGAGCCCACCTACTAAATAATGTAAATAATGGCTATGCTAGCCTGCTAATATATGTAATATGTTATAGAAATATTTAAAAACATGTGTTGGTGTCATATTTTTAAGAAATGTAATACCTTGATAAAATGTGCAGTAAATTGTCTGCATATCTTTTAACTTTCTCAAAAAGTGTTATGATCTAAATGTAGAAATAATCAGTTTCACAAGTATTTATTTATGGCCTTGCATATAAACTAAAGTGGAAGTTAATTGTTTGTGTCCTTAGCCAATTGCACAAAGAACAGCACACTTTTTTCATACAAATATTTATTATGTACATAGTTGTTTATTGATCATCTTCATGGTTTACAGAACAGCTGCAGCAGTTTGTCTCTGTAAACTCGGTTCAGGAAGAAGTACATGACGGGATCCAGGACCCCACTAACACAGGTGAGTGCAGATGTGATCCGATTGGCTCTTCCCAGCGACTCATGGCTTGCTGCAGTCAGATTACCATGCATGTGCATTTCAATATAGATCACCCTGCTCACATGGTAGGGCACAAACGCAAACAGGAAGTTCATGACAATCAGGACGATCATTCTTATGGCTTTGCTCTTCACCGGCCGTTCCTCTTGCTTCATTGCCCTCAGTTTCAGCAGAATCAGTATGTAGGAAACCACTATGGTGGTGAGGGGAATCACAAAGGCCACAACGGTTGAAACTAAAGCAGTGGGAGAAGTCTTCTCTAAGTACAGCTTGTTGCATGACCCAGTTGAGTTGTTCCTCACATTCCTTTTAGAGAAAAGTGTAGGACTCATAGACACAATAACAGTCACCCAAAGTATCCCCACTGCTACCTTTGCATACAAAACCTTCCTGACTGACTGAGATTTTATAGGAAGAACCACAGCCAGAAATCTGTGCAGGCTGATGAAGCTCATGAGGTACAGGCTGCAGTACATGTTGAGGTAAAAGAGGAAGCCCGCTAGCTGACAGATGACATGTCCGAAAGGCCAGTGGCTGTCGGACAGGTGGTAAACTATACGCATGGGTAAAATGAGGATGTAGGAGATGTCTGCCACAGAGAGGTGCCTCAGGAAGACCTTAGATGGAGATGTGCTGTGCTGACGAAAGAAGGCCCACAGCGCCAAGGCATTCCCAGGCACAGCAATGAGGAAAATCAGGATGTAATATGTGGCAAATATAATGTTCTCATGGTGGGAGTCACTGCCAAAGAAGCTCTGTGTCTCCTCCTCAGAGATGTTCATTGTGGAGAGGGTCGTCCTGTTGCAGCGTAGACACAAACAACCTGTCACGAAGACAGTCTCTTATCAAAACACAACTCAAAACCTTTGTATGACATAAAGATGGCTTGTATGACGTGAGAAAATATAAAAAACACATGCAACGTAATGTGTGAAAGCGGCTAAATATAATGTGTGAAAGCGGCTAAATAAGAACTGCAGGTACAGAGATACAGAAGACACCACTTGCCTAGTTTACAATTAATGCTATTGGTATTTTTATGATATAGTAGTTACAGTTATAGGTGATCAAAAAATGGATGTACATAACCTTTATATATTTAAAAATATAAATGAATTACAGAAATATTAAATATGTATTGAAGTCTTCCTCACAATTAATTGTCCTGCACAAGTCGTGTAAGCGAGCGTGGAAAAAAAATGTCAAACTTGAATCTCTTTTCTTTTTACCTCCGCTTTCAATTAGAGACCTTTTTATGTCATTTTCAGGTATATATATATATATATTAGTATTTAGTGTCTCTACTGTGACATGTCTCCATGCTTTAATGTTTATTTTCCTCATACTGCCTGCACTGCAGAAACTCTTTTCAACCTTAAACTCTTAGCCCTCAAATGTAACATTTAATCAATAATAGTTTATTTAATCTATATTATATTAATATTCTTACCTTGAATGATGGATAACGAATGTCTTCTTCTCACTAATCACTCATGTAAGACCAGTCAGGTAAGGTGGAAGTGAGAACTACTCTGTTATGTGGTACTGACACACTGATACACTGACACGCACACAGACACCAATGTTTTTGTTCCTTTTTTTACGGAAATGACAAGCTAGTTTCTTAACTATTTTGAAAAACAACATGTTGTGCAAGATTGACTTTGATGCTTGAAGCAGGACAGTTAGCCCACGATAGATCATGTGTAAAAAGACGAGAAAAACATACTTCTGAAATGCCATGACACAAAACACATGTTGTACTTTTCAATGCATTCAAAGAGTGCCACGACATGTTGGCTTTTCAGAACGGGCAAACGGCAACATGTTCAACATGTGGGCCGTCAACAGCTGAGAACTGGTTAAAAACTAAAGAGCCAGGGGTGGAAGAAGTATTCAGATCCTTTATTAAAGAAAACTTACTAATACTGCAATGGAAAAATACTCCATTATAAGTCATATATAGTTATAAGTACTGCGATTGTACTTGCAGGAAAATGAAAAGCACAACAATTAAACAACTTTCCACCACTGCAACAAGCATGTTAGTCGCAATGTCTGGAGCAAATGCAAGAAATATCTCTGTCTAAATCAAGAAAGGTGATCAGAAAGAGATAACAAACTATTATATTGTAAAGTGTCCAACCCTAGACCAGCCATTGCAACATCCTTGGAATTATTTAGAACTCAACTCAATTGACTGTATTCCTGTCAACAGAGCCTGAATGTCCACATCTGACTGGTGCATACCTTGTTCAAAGCAGGCCCACCGACAAACTAACCTGTTAGCACCTGTCAAAAACTTGCACAGTTACACACAGGCACAACAGGCACACACACACACACACACACACACACACACACACACACACACACACAACACACACACAACACACACACACACACACACACACACACACACACACCACACACACACACACACACACACACCACACACACACACACACACACCACACACACACCTTCTTTAGAGTTATTAGTTAATTCAAGATTAATTATTAAATTAAATGTGGTACATAAAATAAAATAAATAACTTTGACTTGATAGTTTTGTTCACAACATTAGACCTCTAATCTCTACTAGAATAAGATAAGTGTGCATTAAGTCAGTGCTAACAGGAACATAGATTTAACCACAAGAAAAAGGAGCTAGACATGAGCAGCATATCTAAAAACCCCTAAAGTGTTGTCTTCCTGTTCTTTTCACATGTTTAATCGCGGTACTTCTGCACCCAGGCTGCCCGTCACCATAACACTAACAGGAAGACACAGTTGATCGTCCTACACAGATAAGTGTTTTGCAAACACTGCAGTGTTCGAAGTAACCAAGAATACTAAGTAAGCAAAAATAAGGATAAACGATACACTGAGGATCAGTTAAAAGGGGATTTATGTCACAAGACAACATGTAGCATTTTAAATATTGTAAACATCATGCGAGTGTGTCTGTGGCTCTGGCTGGTGTACGGACTACACTGATCTGATGAATCCTCCCAACAAACACGAACAAATACACCAACAAACAGGGTTATCCCTTCGTGTATGAACTGTCTGAGACCATGACGCCCTGCAGAGCAGAACATCCCGGAGATTAGAGCGTGTAAAGCATCAGATCTACAAATTAAATGCAAGGCTATCTGGGCTGAGACCTGAAGGCAGAAGACAGAGTGCGTATCCCAAATGATCGTGAATACCTGTCATCGAGCAGAATTAAGCTAAGACAAATTGTAACCTTGGTTTACATACACACTAGGGATGCCAGCGATTATTCGATTATTCGAATATTCGTTACAGTCTCCATAATGGAAGATTATTTTTAAAATTCGATTTTATTTATATATATTTTTTATTAATATTTATGTTTTTTTTTTTTTTTCCTGGTTTGGTTTCAACCAAAATATAGACTAATGCTAATAATAGTAATAGTATTAATAATTGTAAATGACCATTGATCACACCACCAGTTTGCTTTACTGTAAACTTGGAGGAAGCCAGCAGCGCAGAGTGCAGACTGCTGCAGCCTGCTGCAGCCTGCTACACACCGACCCCGCCCCCCCCCCTCCCTCTCCGTCACACGTGCGATTGGGGGGGGGGGGGGTGTGTCGAATAATCGATTATTCGCCAGGGCTGTCCGATTTTCGATTTTGATCATGGTCAGTTTCTGGCATCCCTAATACACACCACACATTTCACAGGAAGCAAGAAACAAACACCAATAAAGACCGTGACGCTCGGTGCATAACAAGCATGCAGTTCTTTATTTTTGCTACTCCAACACAGTTTTTTGTCTTTACCACATTGCTCCTTAATAGTATGATTTAAAGCTTTACAAAAAAACAAGAGAAAACCAGATATTTACAAAATCTATCTGTGCAAACATAATTCTTCTTTTAACGCCACTCTCCTAAAGGATTTGAAAGGCATGCATACAAATAAACTTTGGTATGTTAACAAAACTACTTATTTTTCTTAGTAGAAGCTTCTATGTACATGTGGTAGAACCGATTCACTTTAGTACATTTAGACAACGAGACATGTTAACTTAACAAACCGGGACCAGCAGAACACTCTGAGGTCTCTTAAAAACTTCAGGCGTCACACAGGAGAGTGAGTCCTGTGACCGGGTGAGGCCTGAAGTGAGTCATTTTACAACAACTTTGGCAAAGAGGCACACTGAAATAAAACCTGTATTACTTATGATACCATCTGTAAAATAAATTGGCAGTTCATATGGGTGAAAATACTCTTAGAAAATAGAAGTTAATAATGCGTCTGTATACACTCAGAAAAAGGCATTTACAAGGGCTGTGTTTTAATGTCCGGCAACATAAGAATCATAGATTAAATATACTATTCAATCTCTGCTTTGAAAAATAAAACAACATTTCTTTTACACGGTGATTGTACATCAACTCTCTATTCCCTATTCAGAGCTACAGCAAGAAAAATAGATTTTTTTAACACCATTAAACTCGTCCACTTCTACTACAAAGTGGTAATGTTTTATTAGTTATAAAATAGTCTTTAACAGTAAAAACTGGAGATCTAAAGGAGATGGGTGCGAGAATGCCAGTGTCAAATAAAACAGGAAGTGGGGAGTGCATCACTTAATACTTTTATACAAAATGTTCAAAAACAGCAAACCATGACTATGCAAAAATAAAAACATGAGTAGGCTCTACCTGCTAAAGCCACGTGTAGTCTAGATGCCAGTTTAGTGAACCCGGTAATGTTGAGAACCCCAAAGTTTAATGATAGAAATGTATAGTACGAGTCCCTAGAACATAGAAACTGCCGGATGCTAACTTGCATGTATTTGGCAATTTGCACAATTAGCATAAATTGTGTTAATTAGCATTCACTATGAGTAGTGTTGTGACCATTGGCTATAGAGAGCACAAGATGAAAATGATTATCTCTACTGTGGACAATTTATCCGTATATATTCAAATAGATAAGCAATATGTTAAATCTGTGTCGTGGCTGAACCTGTCTCTGCGGTCCTGCCTGACTCTCATCATGCTGCTTCCCTGATGGCTCCCACAGGATTGTTGACATCCTCGTGGATTCATCTTCTTATTATAGACACATGCATTTCCAAACATTTGGTCTACCTATGTTGTAAATGTATTATCTATTCGATTTACACACGGCATCTATTGCACGTCTGTCCGTCCTGGGAGAGGGATCCCTCCTCTGTTGCTCTCCCTGAGGTTCCTCCCATGTTCCCCTTTAAACTGTGGGGTTTTCTCTGGAAGTGTTTCCTTGTACGATGTGAGGGTCTGAGGACAGAAGGTCTAAGGACAGAGGGTCTAAGGACAGAGGGTCTAAGGACAGAGGGTCTAAGGACAGAGGATCTAAGGACAGAGGGTGTCGTATTGTCATACTGATATTCTGTACAAACTGTGAAGTCCACTGAGACAAATGTAACATTTGTGATATTGGGCTATATAAATAAACATTGATTGATTGATTGATTGATTGAATCCAAATGAGTCCTCTAAATCTTCCAAATTGACCCAAAATGTAAAGAACTCAGCCCACAGAGTACAAATATTGCCTCTTTCTGGTTAAAACTGGCATGTTTGATTCTGAAAAGACCAGAAATGGACTCAATTATTCCAATAACGACTAATTATTAATTATTTAACTATTGTCAACACAAGCTGCTAATTAATGCTATTTAACGCAACGTCTGCAAGTTAGCATCTGGCAGTTTCTATGTGCTGGGGACCCGTACTATACATTTAAAGGATAAAACTTTGGAGTACTCAACATTTGGGGGGTTCACATCAGGACTTCTATGAGCTGCTAACAGACCACTGGGCGGTAAACGGGGCTTAGGAAGCGTCCTTAGCGGCGGTGGCTGTTGGGATGCAGGATTTGCCGTTGCTGCTGCTGCCGTTGTGGGCTCTGTAGCTGGTGAAGCTGGGGGTGTGTATGGTGCGGATGCTCTTTCCACCCGGGCCCAAAGGTGTGGGCGACAGAGGGGAGGGGGAGGATGAGGATGATGAGGAGGAGAATGAAGAGGTGGAAGAGGAGGAGTGCACTCGACCATTCTGCGAGGAGAACGAAAGAGTTTTACCTGTGTGTTGTGAGGGGAGTTTGAGGGATCCGTTAGACAGGGAGGGGATGTGGGAGGAGGGTTGGGAACCGGAGCGAGGAAGAGGAGAGGACAGGATGGAGGACTTTGTCGCAGAGGAGGAAGAGGAAGGGTTAATGGGATTAGTAGCATCTGAGTTTGGTGCAGACTGGGGGCTGCCTTTAGGAGAGCTAGGATAAAAAGCGGGGATTTTAGAGGTGGGAATAGTAGGGGAAGTAGTTTTATGATCCCCTCCCACTCTTTTAGCACTTCCGTTAGCCTGCAAACAGAGATGCCAAAACAGAGACTGGTCGTCAAAAAAGGAAACCTGGGTCAAATGATACATGTAAAAGGCAAGACGATGTTAAAAAAACACACTAATACTACACACACATGATATTACTGAGACTAACACCAACATGAACAGAAGGCTGTGTTTCTACGTTATTATATGAAGACACATTGAACTTGTTACCAGAACACTGCAGGAGTTAGACCGTGCGATGGCAGACAGGAAGGGTCTTTGTTAAGAGTTAGGCCTCGTAAAAATGGGCTGTGGGGGTGCATAGGAAGGCTGGAGAGAGGGTTAGATAACAGGGTGAGGAGGGGGGGGGGGGGGGGGGGGGGGGGGAGTGGGAGCAGACAGCGGAGACGTGGCCTCCACTGAAGGTGCAAGGTGGTGAGTTGTGGCGTGGTCTCGAGGGAGAGGAAATATATTACCGTGAGGTTATTAGGAAGCGGTGCAGTGGTGGTGGGTTTGAGCAAAAACAAGGTGCGTTGTGAGAAGGAGCATAGCCGAAAAGTCAGTTAGGTTTGTTTTTCAGAGCCAAAAGCATCCTGGGATATTTGGCAACACTGTTTAGGAGCTCAGCTGTGATGGGAACTGGAGGTGTGATGATGACAGCGTCCACTTTTTAATTTTTTTTAAGTCACCAACACAGTGAAAACCATGAGCAGTGTGGACATGCAGAAGCTTACAGTACAGTGATGTTATGGGGTAACAGTCAAAAGTCAAACATGCCTTCTTGTCAGAGCGAGAGAAACATTAACAGATCCACAGTCGTCACTTTGTTCGTGACTTTATTTATTTTTAAATCTCACAGCTTTGGTAGTCTTCCTCTAATCAGACATGCCTCATATGTTCCCTACATGTTTGATCCCCCTAAGGCCCTACAGTAAAACTACCTGTCGGAACTGCCTCTGAGCGTCCTGTAGTTTTTGCGGTTTTCCTGCTTTGTCAGTAGTACCCGGCGACTGCCTGGACTTCGCAGACAAAGGGACGGGCATCCGACTAGTAGGGGACGCGACACTGGTGTTCTGCAAGGGGATCCAAACGAAAAACAAAAACAAGAAATAAAACAAAAGAAAGAAAAAAACACACACCATACAGGAAGTATGAAAAATCAAGGCACTGACAGGTAACACCTCAAAACGATTTACACCAGGGAAAGATCATGCACCCAGTGGGACCCTCAATACACAGAAGGACATGCAGTCAGGGAAATATCAGAGCTTAATCATCATGAGAGTGTTTTTGATGACGCTGAAAACCACACAGGTTCAGCAAAGGAGAAGCCAGGAAGCCAACAAAAATGCCACCCCCAATCATGTCACCATGATTTCACAGAGGGGAAAAGCCACGGGGGACATTTTCCGATATTTCCTTTGGAGTGGATTAATGATTTTGTGATTTCGGGGGGGTTAAGTGAAGGTAAAAAAAAAAGGACCCAAAGCCTCCCGATAAGAGCTAGAGAGAGACCTGTTGTACGGTAGTTTCACTGGGGACAGTGGTGGTGCTGGTAGTAGGGACGACTACAGGGCGAGGGAGCAGCTGGGGTTTAGTCTTCTTCACCAGAATGCTTTTGCTGGGTGCCTTAGGGCCGGACCCCCTGGAGGTGGGCAGAGAGGAAGACCTCTTAAGCCCCGCTCCTTCTGAGATGTTCCCATTCCCCATGTTAGTTTCCTCCGTGGGGGAGACCGGCCCCATCTCGCTGATGGTGGTCTCCAGCTGCTTGATGGTCTGCTCCAGGCTGTCCATCGTCTTGTAGGCGTTCTTCCGGATCTCGTCCGTCCTGAAGAGGGACTCTGAGTTCTGCCTCTTCAGCACTGCCCCCTTGTGAGCCTCTGCTAGGGATTTAGAGCGCGTGATCTCAAATCTCTTGGCCTCCTTGTGCTGCTTGATCGTACCGTCTGATTCCTCCTCGTCTTCGTACACCACCACCTGTAAGGTCTTCTTTCCGGACTTGGTGCCGATGCGGATGGCCTGGGTGAACGCCGCCAGCTGTTTCTTAGGGAACTTAAACTTGAACTTCTTCTTACCGTCCGTCTTGGCGTCACCGTTTGAGCTCACTCCACTGTCTGCGGGCTCAGAGATCGATGAAGATGAGGATGATAAGCTAACGTGTTCAGCGTTGAGCTGTGAAGCGCTAGCGTCTTTGCCGTCAACCACCTCGCTCCCTCCTGCTTTAGCCTGCCGCCCGCTACCCTTCTCAGAGTCGGACTCCTCGCTCTCCTCCTCGATGCACTCGGCCGCTAACATCCTGTCCAGCTCCTCCTCACCTTCGAAGATGACGGACAGACGTTTGTACGCCGAACGGATGTCGATGGGCTCGTCGAAAATGATGATGACGGGCTTCTTGTTGTAGCGGTTATCATGTTGGAAATTGGGATCCATTGAGGCGTTCCCTCGGTTGTGAGCGCTACCTACAGTGACCGTCTGCACGCTTCCTTTCTTGGCGTTGACCAGGTCCTGGTACTCGCCGCAGGACAGGGCCTGCACTTTGGTGTTAGTGATCATAAATGCTATGTTGTCAGGAGGGGGAGGAGCCTCTTCTCCAGGTAAGTCAGGACTAAGACTGTCCTCCTCGTTAAAATCCACGTAGTTTGCTTTAGGCGGATCCTCACTGTGAGACTTTTTTAGTGAACTTTTTGGCGGCGCTTTGGTTGTTGTTGTTGTGGCCACAGGCTCAGGTATTATATTCTTACTTGAAGAAACATGCTGCAGGATTGATTTACTTTTCTTTTCAGTGTTAATTTTGTTGAGGATTTTCCCCTTCTCCATTTCTACGCTGCTCTTCAAGGACTCGGAGCGTTTCATTTGCTTCCTTGGAAGTTTGAATCCTTTCAGTCCCACGGGTTTGGGGGATATCGGTGGAGGTGTTATAGGAGATTTTGGCGGTGAAGACGGTAGTGGCTGCTGACTTGGAGAATTGTCGTTAACATTGACATTTGACACCTGTGATGGAGGCTGTGCGGTCTCTCGGTGTTCGTGGATCTCCTCCGTTCCGGACAGCGTTGGATGCTCTTTGGGAATCTGCCCGGTCACATAGTAAATGACCTGGAAAATGAACGAGTAGCTGTTTAATATCTCTTTGAATATTGCACATATACATGAATAAAATGTTATTAAGAGAAAGTGAGTCCTACCCCTTGGCTCTGTCGGAGAGTAGTGTTCCCATTTTCATCTGTGTCGGGATCTTTATCCTCCCGTGTGGACTCTGAGCTCTGCTAGGACAGTGTGTGAGGGAATAATATTACTCTGCAACTTGTGTGTAGGGTGGCTAAGGGTTAAGTGTGAACTCATATGGAGCTCGCAGTAGAATTGGCACTGCACTGGGATGTTACCTTGTAAAATGCAGCAAAATATGTACAGTATGTAGACTGATACACCATCAGACGTCACTTTTATATGCTGTCCTGCTATTAAATGCATGTAGGAAAAATGTAAACATATTACTGTTAAGACTATAAGCCGGTTTATTTAATAACAGCCAAATAAGGTTATTTCTGAAGGCTACAGTATATCCCTACCTGTACTTTTTTGCACTTTCACGTCACCTAGAGACTACTAATCTTTATACACTTAGTTTCCTGTCTTTTCATGAAGTCTACATGTTTACACCATGCAAGATGCCTCTTACACGGCTCACACTTAGGTTAAATAAGCTAGGCAATATCTGTTGTTTTGTTATCTATTACTAGTAGCTTAACATGTACTTAACTTATACTTACTTTCAGATCTCATGTTCTAACTTGGATGTGCACTTGATACATCAATTGAATAAATAAATCATTTTAAAATGTGCAAAAGTCAACCCTATATGTGAAGAAATATAGGGTTGTGCTACGGTGGTCCGACAGGTGCAGACGCGCTATAACAGCCCACAAAAAATGTCATTAGGAGAAACACACTGCAGTTTCATAAAATAACACAAATGTGCCAAAACACATGCATGTGTGTTAGGCCGTTGCAGCGCGTTTGCACCTGTCTGCCACCACATCGTGCTGGTTATATACGGTAGGTGTAAAGCCGGGAGAGCAAACTGGAGTGAAGTTGTGCAAGGACAAAGAGAAATAGAAAAGTGATCCCTGGGAAAGAAGTGGGGAGAGTAGCATGCAAAGTGGCCGGACTGACCTCTAGTGAACCAAGTCTGCAAAAACAGGATGTGTCTGCAAAGTGAGCTTTAACGTGTCTCTCATTACCAATCAGTTTTTGCATGAAGCAGGTAATTAAAGAAAGACACAAGACGGTTGAATTGCCTGTAGAACACAGTGCCGTGGTCTTTATTGATAATTAAACACATCATTGTCTGGTCAAGGCGCACAAAGGACACTTTTTTTATGCAGACTTAATCCTGAAATATATTCAAGCGGAGATATCCAGCAGAATCAAAAGAGGGAAGGAAACTGAGGCAGCGAGGAAAGGAAGTGTTTGTTTTGGAGGAAGCTGTTACAGGATTCTCTCGAGCCAAAGCAAGGGTGCAGAAGTTTGTGGAAGTGTTAAGGCAGCCATCGAGTGTCAGACAGTGTGGGCAGAGGCAGGCAGTTAGGAGGGTGGCTGCACGGCGAAAAGTATTTTACCTTTTTCTCTTTGAGAGGCAATAAGGGCCTCAGCTCTCTGATTTGCGGATCAATTCGAGAGGTGGGTTCTACCAAATGTTTCACCCCTACATCCTTAACTGTGCACTTCTGGAACACCTGAAGAGTGGAGAAAAGTGAAGGGGAAATGGGAACTTTGAGGAGGGAAGAGAAGTATCTCCCGAGAACCACCAGGGGATGAAATGACAGACCCACTCCCGCAGTGCAGAAGTCAAACAGAGACCTATTGATTGGTCCTGATTGCATGTTGGAGGGACTGTGTGTGTGTGTGTGTGTGTGGATGCTTGAGTGTAAGTATGTTTTTTACCTGAAGCTCAGCCATGATTTTGTCCCCTTCGTCCTCCTCTTCTGTGGGAACAGTGACGGGGGGCGGGGTGGCCGGCTTGGGCTTCGTCTCTGGAGGAACCTTGTTGGGTTTGGGTTGGGGGCTGGGAGGTGGTGTGTCCTCTTCACCCTCCTGTTGGAAATGATGAGAAGGAAACTATTTTATTAGCACTTTTACCAACCAGCCGTGTTAGCCGTTTGCCCGATTCCAACAAAGGTAATGTTATGCTAAGCTGATTGCTTCTCATCAGTACAAACACATATTTTCAAAGGTCAAAAAACTATATTGCTCCGTGATTCTTTTCTCTTTCTCATTCTAATTACCAGCAGCTGCAGTCGTATATGACGTCAATTTTACAAAGGCTGGTTTAAATAAATGATATAATAATACTTATTGTGGGGGAAACTACTGAAGCAAATGGAGTCAGGACTCAGAGAGAGACACGAGGAGAGCTGGAGCTTTGATGGAGTCAGGACTCAGAGAGACACGAGGAGAGCTGGAGCTTTGATGGAGTCAGGACTCAGAGAGACACGAGGAGAGCTGGAGCTTTGATGGAGTCAGGACTCAGAGAGACACGAGGAGAGCTGGAGCTTTGATGGAGTCAGGACTCAGAGAGACACGAGGAGAGCTGGAGCTTTGATGGAGTCAGGACTCAGAGAGAGACACGAGGAGAGCTGGAGCTTTGATGGAGTCAGGACTCAGAGAGAGACACGAGGAGAGCTGGAGCTTTGATGGCAAACACTGACGGTTTATTTGGAGCTTCGGCCGGAGAATTCACAAGACATGTCACGGGCCACGATCTGACCACACGGTTGAGATGCCACCATCAATTCTGAAGAGCCCTCCTGTAGCTCCAGGGTTTAACTAGTTCAGAGTGTAATAATCAACATTCTTCAATAGATAGACTAACAGCTGAGGACACTGAATCACAGCTGTTGTCGCTTATGGCTCGAGGTCATCTACACCCCGAGAAGGATGTGTTCCAGGTGTCCCACAACAATAACTATCTCTGACCGAGAGTTGCCGGTCACAAACTGGTAACAACAACAACTTGCTAGGGCAGCCCCTCCTTATGGGAGATAGCGGCTGATCAAGGTTGGTCAGCTGCGTCAGAGGGCGAAGGAGGACAGCAGGGGGAATTATTCCCCAACACTTATAACAAAGAATTACAATGTTCAAGTATATATATATATATATATATATACACATGATATATCAAATTATACATTTTAACATATGGCTCCTAGAGTAGTTATTAATCTATATTAAGCACACAAACATGAAAGTGGTATTTACTTGCTAATCCAATTAACACTATTAAATTAAACAAATCCAGCTTTTAGGAGACACAGAGATGGGCAACCTGTGTGGAAGACGCCGTAGGGACACAGTTTTTAAATGATATAACGTGCAACACAATAGAAAGAAAGGCGATCTAAGTTTGTATATAATTTTATTTGCCTCTTCTGTTTTGATTTGATCGACTATTGTAAAAACCTTAGCTAAACCTCAGCCTTAAAACACATCACCAGAAGCCAGATGTGTTAGAAAGTCTGTTTAAAAGGCGTCTGAGTGACAGGAAACTCAGGGAAGGGTTACTGACCTGTGCAGAGACGGAATCCCTCCTGCTGGTGTAGACCACCTCTCCGGAGCGAGTGGTGGTCATGCCTGAGCTGGAGCTGGGGGAGAAGGTCTTCCTGGGGGGGGGAGGTGGTGGGGGAGATTTGCTGGTCTTCTCACCCCCCTGCTTTGTTGTAAAACTGTCCGGGGACGCCGGCTTGGTGGCGGTCTTCGGGGGTGTCTCCAGAGCAGGTTTGGCTGGTTTCTCCATCACAGGCTTCGGGAGTTTCTCAGGAGCCTTCTTCTCCAGTTTGTCAGACTGAGGCTGAGACTGGAGCTCTTCTGCATTACAAAATAAGTCATTATATAAGAGGAGACACTTTAAAATGTGTTCACACAGCAATACATTTAGGCAATGTCTATTTCTGTCAGAGGAGTATCTTGAATAACCTTTAATGACTCCTGGAAAAAGGTTTCCCCGAGTTGTTTTAATATATATAGTTTCGTGACAAATCCATAGCTTCATATGTCCAGCATTTGAGCGAATCACACCAAACTAAATGGATTGTTTAAAAGCACGATAGGTAAGAGGAATAACATGTATTTTTGGGGTAAACTGTGCATTAAAAGGGACCATATTATGTTGTACATGGGAGACTTTTGGATTTTTGCCTTTGCAGACCATTTACATGCACAAAAACCCAAAATATAACACACTACAGGAAAGGGACAACCCCCAAAAAGCAGAATAGGACCTCTTTAAATCTGTGTTAGATGTGTACCTGTTGGTGACTCCACAGGCTTGGGGGTGTCTGCTGGTTCTGCTGGTTCTGCTGGTTCTGCGGTGGCAGTGGGGGGCAGAGCCTGGTTCTCCTCCACCTCCAGACTGGGGATGCCCTTCATCATGTTGGCCTGCGCCTCCAGGAGGATCTTCTCAAACTCTTTCCCATCGTAGTGACCCATGTTCTGCCTCCGCTCCTCCCACTCCTTCTCTGCTGCCTGTAGGGTGGAAATGAAAAGGAGAGAAAGTTAGGGACAGACAAATGGTTAACCTATGCCTTCTACAAGCCAGGCGCTCAATTGCTTTGTGTTGGAAACATGTTGGTTGCCCCTCCCTGGGCCACTGGTTAAACAATTGAACTTTGAGTCTGGCTCTTGAGAAACTCACATATATAGTAAGGAAGAAAGCTTGTTTTTGGAATTGATAGAAAATGGGGACATTGCAGAAGCGATGGAAGGTTAAATTGAAAAGACTGAACTACTGTGAGGAAATGTTGAATATGGTTAATCTATTTGGAGAATTGTAACTCTGCTCTGTTCGTGGATGTGCTTTTATTGGTTGAATTTGTTCATTTGCAAATGTAATTATATTCTTGGTCTGTACTTTAAACTGATTTCTAGTAACTGCACACTTTTTATTTGTAGCATTATTCTGTAATCTGCCATATGTCTAACGTTGGGTAATGTTCAATTGTGTTTGTGTAATGTGATAAATGTAAAAAAAAAATCTATAAATACATGTGAGGAGAGAAAGTTCCTTAAACGTTCTCTAAATCTGATGAAGCGGAGAAATAAGGAACTGTAGGGTTTGAGAGTCTTTACAAATGACAGCTTTACTATGTTGGAAGTAAATAAATAAAGACCCAATGACAATAATAAGGTGATTGAAGTACCTCTATGGAAATGGCTCTGCTCTTGTTCTTGCCCTGGCTGTTCTGCAGCTCCTCAATGACGAATCCCGGGCTGGTAGGGCCGTTTCCGTTATTCACCGGGTTCCCTCGAGTCTTCTTAAGACGTGCTGGACTCGGTGGATCCGAGGCGGCCCCTTTGGGAGACTCCCTGCCCTGGCTCTTGCCCGGGATGGGACTAGGGGTGTGAGAGGGGCTGGGGGTGAGAGGAGGACTGGGCTGAGCTGTCAGGGCTGCAGACTGCTGGGACTGCTGGATCAGAACCGGGGAGCTCTGCACGTGATGGATGATCACCGGGGAGGAAGGCATCACCTCAGATTTGATGGTGGAGCTCTGGGGCTCCAGAGGCTCTGCAGGGGCCGCTGCTGAAGGGCTGGCCTCCACGGGGACGCTGGGAGAGGGACTGGGTCCTTTCTGAGAGCCCTCAGAAGCACATCTGGAGAGGAGGGGAAACAGAATGTGATGTAAAATATTAAAGAGGACATTGTGCAGATTTTCAGGTTCATATTTGTACGTTATGCCTCTACTGGCGTTTTCCATGCTTTAATGTTCAAGCACCTCTTTTCACCCTCTGTCTGAAACCACAGCCCAGTCTCCCTTGTATGGGGTTTACAGACCATATACATGCACAAAAACCTTTATAACACACTACAGGAAAGGGAAAAGCACGATAGGGTCTATTCTTCCACTCTGTCATTTACTAATAAATGAATGCACTACAATGATAGAAATATTTTTGTCCACCTACATTTGTATTCATGGTCTTTTCTAACACCATGGGGTAAAAAAAAACTCCAAAAGCTAAAACTAGGTCAAAGACTTGGAGGGAGAGTGGGAGAAAAGTCAAGAGTGAACTAGTTTCTGTGTCATATTAAAATGGAAATGAAGCGCTGCAGTGTCCCCAAATGTAATTCTCTTATCGGTTCAGTGAAGCTCCTCTGTCCACGTGGAGTGACCCTTTGATGGGATGAAGGCGGTATAATCAAATAGAACAATCTGGATATCATAGAAACCCGTGAGCAGCAGATTCTCTTCAATCCCCTCTGACTCTCTTTTTCTGATCCCTACTTCTTCTCCACTGATATGTTTCTCACCTCCTCAGACCGCTGAGTGTGTCGGTCAGGCTCTTGACTCTCTTCAGCATGCTGTCCAGTTTGTGAGGCTCCTCCTTCAGAAACTTCACCGCATCCACCTCCACCCTGAGCACCGAGCGCATCCTGGTCTGCAGGGATGGAAACTCTCCTGAGGACACACATGGGAAAACATCGTCTATAAGGGTAAATTACATGACTAACTTTAAAGAAAATACACTTTTATGGTAGGTTTTAATAAGCCTGCAAAATTGTTCTTTATTGGCAATAATTGTATAATATCACAGCATGTTATGCCGGTGATATGATCCACCTGTTTTGTCCAAAATTGTTGTATCATTTATTTATAAATTCATGCATTCTCTTACTCTGTTCCTGTCTCTAAAATTCAGGGCTATTTATAATTGAAAACTGGCAAAATAAGTCATTAAAGTTCATGTTTTCATTCAAACATGTCAACATTTGGTCTCATGTTACCAATAACAGTGGAAAATACTTTAATACCTTCACTATTCGACAGTGTCTTTGCAAACATTTAACATCTGATGATACACTGTATTTTAATGTTAATAGATAGCAGGAAAACTATTTGGATATACCCCAGCCCGATTGGCAAAATATTGTACACACTTACTTACTTTAATAATATAATTGTGTGATTCTTATTTGCTAATGTTTATCTATATGTACTACTTCTCACACTTCTTAGCTAAGCTTGGGAACATTCCTTATTAAGAAGATTTGTTGCAATGATGACCTCAACTCAGGTGAACTGAGATCTTCCTGATACGGCCTCCCTAAACTTCCAGAATGCTCCTTCATCATCACCACGCTTCACCCCTCCCTTTCTCCTCTCTCTGTGTTTAAATATCCCCAACTCAGCTCTTCCACTCTGCAGACTGTCCGCTCTCTGTGTGACTGACTGAACTTTCTTGCAAGAAATAAAATACGACAAAGACAGTTTGGTTCTCTATCCACATTTGATACATACATCATTCAAATTAGTTGTTGTCTTACCTTTGAGCCCCGCCAGAGACTCTCCCACCTTCCTCAGAGTCACCGCTCCCTCCTCCACGTCCTTCAGGGTCACGACTCTCTGTGCCGCCGCCGAGTCGTTCTGCAGAGAGCCCACGTACTGCTCCAGATCTCTGCAGAGGATAACACACAATGAATAAGGACAACAACTGTTAGATTTGAGAGCATGAAGCACACAACAAGTTGTCAGTTAATAGCAAAAAAGGGTCTCTTGAAAGCAGAAACAGCAACTGCAGAGAACAATGGAAAAGGAAAACCATGATTAACTATTTTAATATATATATTTTCCTGTTATTCTGACATGCTTGGGAATGACTTTTCACACTACTTCTAACAGTGTATTTACATTTACAAACACCAGGGGGCAGGACACCATCATTTATCTATTCTAAAAGGTCATGTGGTGATACTGATGGGACAAAGGGGAAAGCAGACTTTGAAAAAAGATTAATTAAAAACTAAGCAAGTAAATCATATTTTAAATAGTTCAACGATCACCACAGACAATAAGCATTCCCACTGAACCATTTCCTGTCTATGTACTGTGGATTGCTTAGTCTAGATTGGATGTAATCCCACAACCGTGAATGTTTACACACTGAATATGGGTTTATTTCCTCACAGAGAAAGATGGCGACTCCACAGGGAAATGTGCTGAATGATAACATTGTGTGCAGGGTTGGATGGCGTTTCATTGTGGCCGTGTAACCCTTGAGAAACACTCTTTTATACAACTCCTCCTAAAGGGAGTGGGAAAAGTAATAATAGTGTTAAATGCCCTGCTATGCCAAGGCTTGTTGGTGATAAAACAGATGATGGGAAATTCCAGATGAGGACAAAGGAAACTGTTTTTTTTTTTATCAAACCTCTCTCAGACAAAAACAGATATCTGTCTTGGTGTGTCAGCACTTCCAGAAACCCTCATGAAACACTTAAGATTACACGGCTTATTTGAATACTCGACTCTGATTGGACAATTCCGACATTCCAGAGGTTGATCATTTTCCTCTAACAGACTAAGGAGAAAAAAAGTCTGGATAATTTAACGTCAACAAAACTAAACGGCAGAAGAAGACATGTATTTTGGCTCTTGTCTATAATCCACAAAATGATTATCCATCCTACTACTCCCTCACTTTTTAAAGTATTTTCTGTCCTTGGATTATACGCAAACTAATACAAGTAGTAGCAGTTTCATTATTTAATCCTTTTTTTGTTGCGACAGAGGTATACAAATGCTACAAAACGTGCCCCTATAGGTCATGATTGATATACTGCGCAGTGGTTTTTCACAGCACCTCCTCCCACTGGTGAGGCTCTAATCACCGGGCCGTTTTCTGCTGACTCACAGCTGGCTGAATACCAAGAGTAATCGAGAATCTAATCCACCGACTTCCGCCTGTTCATTCCTCAGAATCCACGAGCACATAGTGTTTATTGGAGCATATGTTCACCACTGTCTAGCAACACAACACTGTTTGACCTTGCATGTAAATCAAATAAAAATAAGATGAAATGACTGCTCCCTGCTGGCCACGTGACGCGAGAGAAGAGCAGGGTAGAGACTGTGCTCTCCTGTATGAACCTGTCGTTCGCAGGGCGTTGGCTTCTCAAACAGAGACACAGGTAAGCTGCTGAAATGAAGCCTTTTGGGGATTTCCTATAAAACGAAACACCTTGACGTGGGTTTACTAAATAAGTCTTGCACTAATGTACATTTGCAAAAGATATTGAAGTGACTGTTATTTTGTGTATATTGATTGTTGTGCTTTTATGTATGTCTTAATGTGTGCATATGTATACATGTGTCGTGTAAATATAGGATATACATATTTTATACATGTTTTTATACATATGTGTGTTGGGAAAATACTGAATGTCCTCTTCCAATATCAGAGTAACATGATAACAAAGGTATCCCAGCTGTAGCTGTGAACATGACAGGATGTATGATTACCTAGAAGAGCATCAGGACTGTTTGAGGCATATGATAGCTATGTGATTAACATGATGATTCAGCCTCTATGGAGATAGACATATGACAAGCATGATCATTTCTGACGTGGAGCTAATCTGAAGTAAACATTGAATACTGCTTTCTATTCCTCCATCTTGTGACTGTGTAACTCCCTCTCTTGGATATCAGCATATAAAGGACACTGTTCAGGAACTAGTTGATGCTCTGTATGTGATGACTACTTCCATTCTGGAGAGGATCACAAATACATGGATCCTGAGATTGTGTACAGCACAACTGTGTTTATTTATATAAAACACGGCTAAGGTGGGATTTGGGCAAACGTACCCGAGTTGTGAGAGCACTCGCTCCTCCAGGCCCAGGTACTTGTGCCGGTCTTCTTCTACCAGCGCTCTCTGCCTCTGCACGGGATCCTCCAGACCCCGCATGGCCTCGGCAAGTTTCACACTGATTTCCTGCTCGGCGCGCCTCAGCTGGACCCGTAGTGCCTCCTGGTTCTGGAGCTGAGGGGGTGAAGACAGTGGGAAAGAGATATTAGAAAGACCTGATCTACTACTCAACATATAGAGCCTGGGGGGGGAAGTAACCTGATTACTTTCCGTTACTTATGGACCTTAATATCAAATGCAATGCAAATAAATCCAAGAGTAAAGAAGGGAGTTTGCTTTTTACGTAACCCTGTAGTCCTTTACTCCATAAACCTGCTACTGACACACTTGGAAATGTATTAAAAGCAGAAAGAGGTCTTGCCTGTTGCTGTCTCATCTGATGGAGTTGCATCCTGAGGTCAGAAACATTCTTCCGGAACTGCAGGAGGTTGACTTTGATGGGAACCGGGCTCTTGTTAGATGGAGAAGCGCCGCTCTTTGGAGCCAAGACAGGGGAACCGCCTGCATGGGGGGGACAAACAAAGAGCTTTTTACTTAAGAAAACTGAAACGATAAAAGGCACATACAAGAAGAAATATGTCCTCCCTGAGGGGGGAGGGGAGTTGTTCGTTTCCAAACCCTCACTCTGTCTGACTTCACTTGACAAATGACTGGTTAGATCCTGCATGTCTGCAAACACATTCTCCCTGGCAACACTCGGCTCTGAGGGATCCTAATGTTCGGTAATGATTGCCTGAACTCTCTGAGGCTGTGTTTTTCCATCCTGCTCAATAAGCTCACGTATATATCGGCTGCACCTCTGAGATGCCTGTCATCCGATTTTTCGGCATTTCGCTAGAGATGGAGGAGAAGTTGAAACCATGGAAACCTAGCGAGCGATATTTGTGCTTTTGGGTGAGCATCCCTAAAACGGCCAAATGTAATTGCGAGAGAACATATTATGTGTGTTTTCAGGTTCGTTAGTGCTTCTACTGTGACATGTTTCCAAGCTTTAATGTTCAAAAAGCATGAAGGGAACATGGGGATTTTAGCCTTTGCACACCATTTACATGCACACAAACCTATATAACACACTAAGGGTAAGGGTAGCCACAAAAAACATAAAAGGGCTGTTTAACCCTTTGGAGACCTGGGCTAATTTGGCCGTTTTTGCATACTTTTGATTTGTCTTACTAAACCCCATTAAGAAATGAGACAAATGTGTGTGTGTCGATTTGAAGACCTCAACATTAAAAGGTTTGAAGGTAGCTTTCAATGCTGTGAAAACCACAAATGAAAAGTCATTCAGCGTGAGTGAATGCAACCAATACTACGTGCTTGGCTTTGTAACATTAGTGGCGTCAAAATATTTGTTTTGTAATTTGAGAGAACCAATCCTTTGACTTCAGAAACATGGGGTCCATTAAAGTAAGCAAAGTGAAGTACAGAAAAGGTCAGGGCATGTTCACAGAGCACTCTAAGCTCCCCTGACTCTCCCTCTGTTGGTGTAGAACAATCTTTTGTCTTTGTAATCCCAAAACTCTTTGCAAAACATATTCCTTACAAAGTCCCCGACAGCTGCCTAGACCTGAAGGACAGGTTACAGTGAACACCGCTGCGAGTGTTCAGGGACACAGTGTCCGTCATGTGTGATGTCAGGGAGGAATCAAAGCCCTCACTGTAACTGTTATGATGTTTTGGAGATTGCTCCAAGCACAACATGACAAGTAAATCCCTGTGAAAGCTACACATTAAGCGTGTCACGAGAAGAGAGATTAGCCCTGTGAATAATGTTGTGTGTTCGTTCTGCTCGTGGGGAGGTCTTTTTTTTTAATCAAGCGTTGATCTGGCCACAGACCCCTAGAGAGCAGAGATCTTGGCAGGATAAGGAGTAATAGCGTCTTGTTTTAAGTAGCGCTTTAAGGAGCTTGTGTTAGCTCTGCTCTATTAAACTGGGTGTACAGGGGAAGGGGTTGTAATGAGAAGCAAAGACTTGGTTTTCCCTGTTCATTGCAGACTGTTTGATTGACACCGGTGTGTGGGCGTGTCTGCGCTTAGGAGGAACAACAGTCATGAAATAGAAGAGAAGATGCTAACCTGAGCTGTGTGCGCTGTGAGCTGGAGACGAAGTCTTCGAGGGTCGCTCACTGCAGCCGAGAGAAACATTTATAAGAGCAGGAATTTGGTGGCAACACACACACAAAAAAAAATCAGCATTTGGAGGTTTATAGGTTTGTATTAGTAAGAACAAACACAACAAAGGATGATGGGAAAGACAAACACGAGAGGTTAAAATGATGTTAACAAGCTTCATCAAAAACAGACTGTCAGGCAAAGAGTTGAAATGCAGCCAGATAAACCAAACACAGTGTATCCCATTAAGACCTAGTTCCTCTTACTCCTAGTTCCTATTTAACCTCCTATGGCCGTTATAGAGGGAATACTTTCTCGCTGTTTTCTCCTGAAGCTTCACTCGTTCCTATGCTGTTGATGCTTACCTTAGTAGCTCCTTGCTGCCACTAGTGTTTGGCTCCTTTAAAAGTGCATGCTGAACAAGACCAGTCAAGCTGGCAATCTGTTGCTCCATAGCCTTCATTCGCACTCTGCAGAAACATCAGAAAATTCTACTTTTATCACTGAGGACCTATTGGATATCACAGCTGCCACCAGAGCAAATATCAGCTCAGAATGGAAATGGAGGCACAGCTAAATCAATTAAATGTGATGTTTTTTGTTATTTTAAAAGGATAACAAAGTGGAATTGATTTGCAATTGTGCCCCTGAGTAAATATTGATGAAGTAAATAGTGTCTGAATCACAACAATGCAGCACCCCTTGACTTGAGTCTTTCCACAATCAGAAAGACGCTTGAGTCCAAATGGAGAAAAAAATAAGACGGACGACTTAAGATGAGAGAAAAGCCCTGAGGTCGAGATGGGGTCATTTTGTTTTTTTAAATAAAACGAGCGTTTGTCACAAGTGGTGGTCGCCCAGAAGACAATTGGATAAATACACTGCCTAAAGAAAGCCGAACACCAGAGGGATGACGAGTAGAACTAACACCCAGATTGCTTGGTGAGCCTACAGGTTGTTTTTTAGATTGTTTATCTTGAGGAAGGACAGGCGGTCAGCTGAGGACTCGGTGTGGTTTTAGAGACAATAGACAGACAATAGGTCGGCCGAACCTCAGCATATTTCACATGTTGGGACTATGTTTATTTAGAAAGGTAAGTACAGTACTTTCCCACTCAAACTCCAACACTTTCTTCTCCCAGGGTGCCCAGGTGGTCCGGCCTGATCGCTTTGACTGATTGAGCCATTTCAAATACTTATTCAACCCTGGTCCATATTTTCTTTGGTTTTCCTAGGTAAGCAAATAGCCTCCCTTTAGTAAAACCCACGTTTGTCCTGCTAAGTGGCAACAATCCATCTTTCTATGTTTATGTGCTCTCAGTCAGACTGGATAAACCGAACCCAGGTACCAAAACGTCTGCAGTGGGTTTGTTGTTAGAACAATAGCCACAGAGTAACAGAATAATATACAGCGGATTAATGGGGTCTCCAGATGCTATACGGTTTCAGTGGTTGCAGCTACGTCTGGGTCTACATATTCCGTAATAACCAACAGAGACTGTGAAAACAAGGGTCAGATAAGCAGAACTTGTTATACACACAAACCAAACTGATGCATAATCATGTCTGCAGAACCTGACGCTCAACACACGCTGGGTTATAGTTTTGGATGATGGAACAGCCAGCAGCTCGTTGTTAGGATGAATCTGGGATGCAGAGTTAGTCCATGCTCCCATGCAACGTCTAAATAACATTATATTTAACCAGCCTATTCGTCCTCCTTACCGTGTGTGGTGCTCATTGACCGGTGGGATGGGCCCCTGCAGGTGGCCCTGGATGTCGGACACCACAGGGGATCCCATGTTGTTTCGAGGCTTGGTTCCTGACACTTCCTCCTTCCTGAAGGACTGGCGCACAGGTGAGCTTCTCTCCATGGGAACGCCATGAGGAGGAACGCCATGAGGAGGAACGCCATGAGGAGGGGGCATCCCATGAGGAGGTACGCCATGAGGAGGCATCCCATGAGGAGGAACGCCATGAGGAGGCATCCCATGAGGTGGAACGCCATGAGGAGGAACGCCATGAGGAGGCATCCCATGAGGTGGCATGCCGTGAGGAGGCATCCCATGAGGAGGCATCCCATGAGGTGGCATGCCGTGAATAGGCATCCCATGAGGAGGCGGGCCATGAGGATGTCCCCCATGGATGTCAATCATCCGTACCTCAGCCATGCGGTGCGGGGATGGCGGAGGAGTCTTGGATCCCAGAGTTGGAAGCTGGCTGTTTCTGGACTTCTGCCTGTAGAGGGAGGGATGCTCCATACTGTCTGTGGGACTCGGTCCGCTGTAAGAGCCTGTGGAGCGGATGGAGGCTCTGTGAAATCCCCCCATGCCATGATCTGGAACATCAGAACCAGGATTGGGGTGCGGTCCGTGAGCCATCCTGCCATCTTGGAGCAAGTATGGATCCGCGTACAAGCCCTCGTTCCCCCTGGACAAACTGTGGCTTTTACCCCCTCTGTCTTCATCCGGTTTGACGTCCCTTCTCTCCAGGATGGCGCTGGGACACGGGGAGATGGAGCGAGGACTGGCGTTAGGAAGACGCTCTCTTGGGATGGTGGCGGTTCCAGGTAGGGGGCCCTGTCGCGGGCCGAAGGGGATTCTGGAGGGGGACGGGGGCATGGAGTGGGGGGTCGGGGGAGGTGCTCCCTGCATGGGGTGGTGAGCGGGGGGACCCATGGGGGGCTGTCTCAGAGGGTGAGGCCCATCACGACCAGCATGCACCATCTCGCTGTGCATCTGGAGAAGCACAAAAGCAAATGGACAGGCTGTTAGTGCAGTCCAAAGTGCTTCACATACACATTTCACAGAACATTAACATCATACACAATACAGATACCAGTAAAAGACAAACAAACTACAAATAATATTGTATTCTTGCTTTGATCAGTCCTGTATGTTCTATGACTGTGTGTTTTTATGTTTTAGGTGGAGGTCTATGAGTCCCATCATGAAGCTGCTGTTGAAGATTAAACCTGGAACATCACCCATGAGAAAGGTTTGTTGTAAACTTATTATGAATCTTTTTGTTGTAAATTTATAAACACATACACACCCTTCAACACCGTATTAAAAAACAGAAATGCTGTTATCATTCTTGTATTTTATTATTATTGTATTCTTGATTTATTCAGTCCTACTCTGATTATTACCTGGGAAGGGGGAGATAAGTATTGTTTTTAGTTATTGTAAATTGAGTGTGTTTGGTTTGTGAAGCACTTTGAGTTACCTTTGAGTATGAAAAGTAAAAAATCCTTTATTTGTAGGTCTCTCCAATAAACCAGACGCATGCATATTTCTTCCAGCTTGAGGGCTTCAGCTACTGTTTATTTTGTATATATTCTGTATTTCTTGACTGAAGTGGCCTTGAAACAAAAACATCCAGCTAACTCGGTTTACACTGTTGCTTTTCAAAGAAACTCTGCTCGTCAGCAATTTCTCCAGAAGCAGACAATAGTTACTCACAAGGCTACAATCCCCAGATACACAGTATAGCATTTCGCTCAAAGTCCTGGATCTTATGCCCACAGGCTTTTATAAAAACAATATTATAATACATGAACGGTATACTATTTATTCTGTATTCCTAAAGTGAATTTACTTTTTTCAACTTCAAACAAAGCTGTGATTGCTGTCTTTGAGATACGATTGGTGCTTTTATAAATAGGTCACATGTGCACCTGCAAGAGGTACTTTGGTTAATTTTCAACAACATCAATCTATTCAAACAGTCAGCATATTTGGGACGCTGTTTTTTGCACCAACACCCATAAAGGACCCTTGGAGGCTTATGTGCAATAAACCTCATTTAACTGCAGTGGCTTTCCGAGTTATACGAGTGCTCAGGCTGTGGTGGTAACACTACAAACAACGAGGTGAAACCTTTACATGTACATAGATGAAGTAAAAGGACATCTGGTTTATGTGGTGAACCACCCGATGTGTCAAGTAAAACAAGTTTTGATTACATTTCTTGGCAGTTATCTTCGTAAGAATCTTTGCTTCCTTATATGTGGCTAGGCTACTGAAAGTGAGACTGTGATTTTTCAAAAAATACACTACGCTGTCTTCTTTATGCAAGTGCAAAGTTGAACTGATAAGCAGCAAAAACAAACTTATTACACAACACTTAGATGCTATAGTAGCCTGCTGTAGCTAGGGTTAGCTTATTTTAGCTAATTTAGCTAAGTTATGGTTTAGATAGTGTACTGACATGTAACCCATTGAGTCATTTTGATAACTTTATGCTCAAAAGAAGAAGCATTATCTCGCAGTTACCAAAATGAGGCAAAAATGTGTGGACAATGGAAACTATGTATGAGCTTATGGTGGCTAACAGTAGCTAACATTAGCATTTAGGCCTACTTTCGATACTGTAGGCTATCTGGTATTGAGTTAACTTAAAAAGTATATTTATTCCAAGTTTGAGTTCATTTTGCATTTGTTTAAACATTTCTCTGATAGCTAGCACATCTGAAATGCAGTATGTCAACAGGGATATAGACCGTGAATATGTGAAATGCCAACGCTATAGTAGCCTGCTGTAGCTAGGGTTAGCTTATTTGAGCTAATTTAGCTAAGTTATGGTTTAGATATTGTACTGTCATGTAACCCACTGAGTCATTTTGATAACCTTATGCTCAAAAGAAGAAGCATTATCTCGCAGTTACCAAAATGAGGCAAAAATGTGTGGACAATGGAAACTATGTATGAGCTTATGGTGGCTAACAGTAGCTAACATTAGCATTTAGGCCTACTTTCGATACTGTTTCTGGTTTGAGTCAACTTAAAACTTAAAAAGTATATTTATTCCAAGTTTGCATTCATTTTGCATTTGTTTAAACATTTCTCTGATAGCTAGCACACCTGAAATGCAGTATGTCAACAGGGATATAGGCCGTGAATATGTGAAATGCTGCTTATGATAACACTGAGCTGAGAAGCTTCTCATGCAGCAGGATGGATCCAATTCATCTTTCTTCCCGTCTAAACCCTCTGTTGCTGTCAAACAAACAAGCTATTGTTCCTTCCAGGTGTGACTCATGGGTTACACCTACATAGGAAGACAAGTCGAAACCCAATGCAGTTCAGTCTTTGACACTTTCTTTTTTGTGTGTTCCCTTTACTTAATTATTTCCCCTGACACGCTACAGATTAATACAGCAGAGGGAATAATACAGAGGGTGTGAGTGACATGTGTGTGTGTGTGTGTGTGTGTGTGTGTGTGTGTGTGTGTGTGTGTGTGTGTGTGTGTGTGTGTGTGTGTGTGTGTGTGTGTGTGTGTGTGTGTATACTGGAAAACAACAACCGCTCAAACAGTAGTAACAAAAGCTTGGATAACAAAGGGGAAGAAAGAAAGTTGTCAGTGAAAGCAACACAGCCCATAAATATAACAAGACTGGCCAAGCAACAAAACATATAATAGGAAATCTAAGAAGCACAGAGCCCCTGGAGACCCTCATCAAACCCTAATGACTTCAACTATCAGAGCTGCCTACACACACAAAGAGAAACATTTAATTCTTCTGCAGGAATTTCTCTGGAGCATTGAATAGCCTCACATCTCTGACTGCTCCAGCACAGCCTCATGGGAACGAATCAAGCCAAAAGGCACGACTCGCCAATCCCAAACTGATTTAATAAGACTTAAAATATGCTTAAAATACATCGACTTTATCAAGACCGTCTGTATTTGTGTGCAGAACATGCCTACATTTCTGCTTGGAGACAAAACAGAGGGGTAAAGGCTAGAAAAATAAACACACGAGAAAAGCTTTGAGACGCATATGGTTTGAGTTCGACTTACTCTCTTTGTTTGCACCGTGTTCATAAGCTTCTAATAATGAGGGCAGTGTGTCTGGTGGAAATGCACACAGCGCCTCGATGGCCTGCCATGCTGATCGAGTTCCTAAACTGATTCACAAACTGCAGAGTTTGCAGAACTGTGTCAACATTTAAATAGCTGGCTGCATGAACTATGCTGCTGTGTACATAATGGCAGTGCAAAAAAGGCGAGGGTCTCCTTATAATTGTGGTATAATATTCATAAAAACGTCAAATGTTTCCTCAAAATAAGATTGATTGCACTGAGGAGAACCGATCAGAGGTTAGCCAAAAACTGAACCTCTGTTTACTAAATATCTCCTCCAGCTTTGTGTACATCTGACAGCCACTATTGACTATCCTATGAATACAAAGCAACGCTCTTGGCACAATCCCTTACATGGGAACGGATTCATATTTGAAACATGACAAAAGAGCAGCTTCAAATGCAAGAAAATACCACTTTATTCTCACAGTCTAACGTCTATTCTACGGTTACTTAGTATATCTGCGCACCTTATATCTAATACAGACAGATAAGATGGTTGTTTTCATTTAGCAGAGACGGCTCCATGTGTCCATAAAATCTGAGTTAAAGTGCAGATGATATTTGAATGTTATCTAAAGCCTAGCATTCCTGCATCGAAGACAAAAGGACGCTCTAATAGCCCAAACAGATGTGAGGCATTTGCCCACCCCCTCTAAAAGTGTCTGAACAGGTGTACATCTTATTAGGTTGTCATTTTTACCCTTTCGCTCCGAGTGGCAGGATTTCTCCTCCCTAATTAAAAGATGTTGTCAAAAAACTAGAAAGACTTTTTTGTCTCCTCAAGCTATCTGAAAAGTATTGAGTCCTAGCTTTGCAGCTGCCAAGAAAAAGATGATATTTCTTCAAACGTGTCGGTGTTTGTGTCTGTCTACTCGCCAATATGGTTGTAGGGAAAGGTTAAAGCCACGAGTGCCATAAAACACACACACACACACAAGATTGTATCTGTGCCAATTGCTGCCTAGTTAAACAGTGACAGAACCATTTATGGCTCAACCCGCTTCAGCATATCTTTACCTCATGCCTAGGTTTCACAATGTTTGCACAAGAGCCCTTGTAAAGTTGCCCTGCCTCTTTTTGCTAAGTGCACGCTGGTACGTCCAGTTATATTTAAAAAAGTGCTGAATCAGCAAGCGTTAAATAGGCAATTACGTAAAAAATGCATTGAAAAAAGGATGCTATCGTTTCTTTACTCTGGCCAACTTGCCATTTCTCCAGCTTGGACTTTTAAATGTCATTTTTCACTTGTTATATTTTTTTAATCAAATGTCTCTTGGTCACCTATCCTTGAAGGCAGAGAATAAATAAAGTTTCTGCAGCGCCTCAGAGTCATCTTGCCATCTGAAGAAGCCCCTCATCATTCCTCTAAAAGTTATGAATCTCTCTGTATACTCATGCGACACATGCAGGATGTGGCAATGGGATTATAGCTGAGGTTAATGTAATTTTGTGCAATATCACAATGCTGCCTTGATATCGGCTCCAGACAGAGAGGAGCAGGTTAGATAAAGGGTCAGGCGGATTAAGAAGGGGGGGGGGGGGACATTTGAGGAAAATGGGCTTAAATTCTGTTACATCAGCAGGAAACAAACATCGGAACAAGAGGAAGAGATTAGAGATGATATTGGGGGGGGGAGAATGAACAAGAAAAGGTCCTGAGATTTGAGCCCAATTGGCCCAAACGAAGGCCTCTCGGAGAACAATATGAGACCCCCGCTAAAAAGATTAAGAAGAAGCAGGGGGACATTCCTTCTCTTTACTGCAAACAGGATGTGGAGGTGGGAAGAAGTGAAGTACAAATACCTCGTTTCTGTACTTAAGTAGATTGTAATACTCTACTTCTCACATTTTACAAACAGGCTTTTAGTTTTACTCACGCATTTGGTGGCGTGATCATTAGTATTTAGAGTAATTGCGTGTCTAAATATCTTCAACAAACTCCCAGAAACCTGCAACTCTTACTATTTTTAAATCCCGACTGGAAACATTTATTTTTGCCACTGCTTTCAATTGAACTATTCACATCTTACACTGCACTGTAACTTTCATTCATGTATTTGATACCTGTGTTATTCTTTTTTAAATGCCATTTTAAATGTGTTTCCGGCCGCTGCACTATTTCCTAATGCTCTCAAAGCACTCAACTTTGAATTGCCTTGTGTTGAAAGGTGCTATATACAGTAAACAAACTTGCCTTGCCTTACTTCTACTTGAGTGAAGTATGTGTTTACTTCTGCCATATCTGGTAGGCTGGGCTTGCCATTATACCTGCAGCAAGAAGCTCATTTTCACGGTTGTTTTCGCAGCATCTGTGTCACTGAAGTACTCACCCTGGCGTCTCCATTAGCAGGTCGGGGTCCGTGGCTGAAGGCCTGCGCCGGGTCTTTGTGGTACACCTTCAGACAGGAGTGATCCGTGATGTTCCTGTAGGGAGTAGAAGTGTCCCGTGGTAAATAAGCAGTCCAGAGATCGCCGTCAGACAGCGGGCGGTCCTGATTCAGCCTGGATCTGAGTCTTTGCCTCAGCCCTGACAGAGGAACGTATCCTGACAGTGGAACGTATCCTGACTGAGGAACGTATCCTGACTGAGGCCCGTAGCCATACTCTGACAACCCTCTGTCATAAGACATCTCCTCTAAAGCTCTCCAAACATGCACTAATACTGTGTTGAAACTCGTCTACATAAAGCTCCTTCTTCTTCCTCTGCTGGTCGTACTCAGTGTGGTGTTGCACCCTGGACGCCTGCACCCACCTTAAGACATTACGAGACTGTTTTACAGCCCAGATAAAGTATTAGTCACAAAGTACACATCTAGCTACAGCAGGAAGTGTGCAGAGAAGGGGGCAAAGTTGGTTATGTATTCAAGAGTAATGTGGTGTTTCTGAAAAACTAGAACAAAGGCAGTATAAAACCTGCTGTATTATTGACATGGTATGCTCGTGAATACCAAATAAGGGAGAGCACAGTGCACAATACTTTGGAAAGCACACTTACAAAAGTTTTAAGAGTCAAACCTTACCGAGAGGGAAGAGGAAAAGTCATCTAAGATTATGTAGAGTGCTCTGCAGTTTGTTTGGGTACATTTGAGACATGTTGGCTTCATCTCTATATAACATTATGTATACTAAGTTTGCACATGATGGAAAAAGGAAACAAGACTTCCCTGGCCAGTGACGTTTCCTGTGCAGTGGGAAGTTTAGACAGGAAGTTCTCAGGGAGTGGAAAAGGAAATAACCTCGGATGCCCCGTTGAACTAAAACGGACACAATACATGCAGCCCAACACACATTCTGCTTAACGTCTGTACCTGACATCGGTGAGCTCGTAGTACACGTTCCTCATGTCGTCTTTGACGTAGACGGCGACGCTGGGCGACTCCAGCATCTTCATGTTGAGCTGCGCTGCGAAGGCACTGACGAACAGAGCTCTGATGGTGTCGATGCCGGTGATCTCGTTGGGCATGCGGATCTGTTTGGTCTCGTCTCCGTACTGCAGGTACAGCACACCTGTGCACAGAGAGCAGGGGAGCAGGGGATGAGCCACAACAGGTTCACTCTTTTTTTTTATTAAATCAAGTATTTCCTATGACTAAGAGACACTTTCTAGGAAGTGATCCGTTGGTTCACAGATTGTACTCAGGTGCTAAATAAGTTCATACCTCCCTGCAGTGTTATTTAAATTAGCTACTTAACAGAAATGCCTTCAAAATACGAAGAACTGGAAATCTGTTTTCCTAAGTATTGACTCAGCTATCAAAATTAGTACTCAAAAAAAGACATTTGGACTGTTTACCCTCCATAAAGCCTGAAACAACCTCCAACACATGATCTAATTAATAAATCCCCTTTCCTGTGACATTTACACCACCAATACCTGGCAGCTGATCTCAAAGGGGCCTTATTCTGCTCATTTTCAGGTTCATATTTGTATTTTTATGCATCTACTAGGGCTGTGCAATTAATCGTATTTTAATCGCAATTACGATTTTGGCCTGCCACAATTACGAAAACAACATAATCGAAAAAAAACAATTATTTTGCTTTGCTAGGTTGTGACATGGCAACATATTTGATCTAATTTATTTTGGTCTCATTTATTTTTTATTTATCACATTTATATATGTTTAGTAGCTTGTGGAAGTGCGCTCCAAAATATTTGTTGATCTTGTTTATTGGTATTTATTATTTTGATATTATTTATTTAAATGTAAATATTTCATTTATTTTTGTATTGGTTTTTCAGTTGAATTACACGTTCAGGGTAATCAACAGTTAAAAAGATACTGTTTAAATTATTATTTGTATTTGTTTTAAAGTTCAATAAATGGAAGTCAATGAATAATTGTATTTAATAATCGTGATATCAATTATTGACCAAAATAATCGTGATTATGATTTTTGCCATAATCGCACAGCCCTAGCATCTACTGTATGTTTATATGCTTTAAAGTAAAAAAGACAGGTTGGTTAGGAGTTGGTTAAGCAACCTTTACTTTTGGCAGTAGAGCTGTGCATCAGATGTTTAGTTGCATACTTGTGGTCCGTGTTTTTGTTCTCCACCTGCCACGTTGCTCCTGATTCATGAGGTACGCGTTGCTGTGAATTCCAGACTAATTACTTTGCAATAAAAGTGATTTGGGGCAGAGCGGTGTGCTCGGGATGGAACAGCACCAATTGTGCATTTAAAAAAACAAAGGGTGAACCTCTGAACCCTGGGTGTGGCTTCTGTACAGCGCTCTAAAAAACACAGATGTCTCCCCCACATCACTTCTGGACACGCCTTCACTGTACTTGTATAAACAATGCCAGGGTAGAGGAAAAACACTGATTTCAAACTGCGTGGCACTGATTTTTATTGGACCTATCTGTAGTTTTGTGTCATATTATACGAGAATGTCACATTTAATGAACTGCTCAGACATAAATCAGTGTCCCTTCACCCTAATAATAGCTAGTTCAAAGGAAAGCGGTAGTTCTACTTGGTGCAACCCCATAAAAGGACAGCGTCAGTAAAAGCTACCAGATGTTGGTGAAATATTATACAAGATCCTACATGCTCCACGAGACAGACAGAGGGTAAATCCAGGAAATAAAAAATCGCTGAGTCCATCACGTCTCTTTTTCTGGTCTGTCTGGGTCTAACAACTCGCAGAATAACTTCATCCTTCCCCTGAGAGCGCCTTGTGTTAACACTCGGCTGCTTTTCATCCAGATGTTGGCAATTAAGGAGTTTGATGACAAAGCGCCATTGATTGAGCTCGCATTAGGACGATTTGAATTCTTTAACATTAGGTTTTTATCCGCCTGCAACAAAGTTGAAAAGCTGGGCTCTAACAAAGAGTCTTGTTACATTCCTGAGCGCCTGGTTTCACTCAGGATTGGAAGCAAATGGCAAAGTGGGTTTCCTGACCAAATGGGCACAGAGAAACTGCAGACTGTCTGCTCTTTCAAATGTTTTCCACTGGGAAGGAAAGGCTTTAACTAAGTGCAACTTCAATCTATGTCCGTCAAAATTAAGAGACAAACAGAGTAGAAACATGCTGTTATTAAAACCTCTTGAAATATAATAAACCTGATGCCGCGCTCTACATGAAATCCGATACTCACATTAGGGGCTTTAAGGGATTTCCTGTTTTCTGATGCTCTGGAAAACACCACGCGACATCTCCTTCAGAACAGGCTGAAGATACTAAGACCCAAATGTCCGTTGGGACTCAGCGAAGTGTGTGTGTGTGTGTGTGTGTGTGTGTGTGTGAGGCTGTGGGAGGGACACTGTAGTTGAGGGGTGCCCCTTTCTCTCTCCTCCCCCTTTATCACACTGTGACCCCCTGCTGTCATAACGCTTTGTCCTGATGTTTTTGTGAGGGAAAGGGAAGGAAATGGGGCGTGTGTGTGTGTGTGTATGTATGTATGTGTGTGTGTGTGTGTGTGTGTGTGTGTGTGTAATAAAGCATATCTGAAGTGTTTTTGTACGCCTTTCTGCTTTTCAAGTCCAAGCAGGAGGCGTTCCTGGCACGAGAAAGCGTGGAAAATGGCACCCTATAGTTTTATTCACTTTCACTTTGGTCAAAAGGCGTGCCATTCAGACGCAGAAGCTTTGAAGACGGTATCCTTCAAAAAAAAACGACAGACTCTACACCTTTTTCGGGAAGTTTTCAAACTATTTCTAACTTTTTCCTCTCAGCCCTAATGCAGCGGCCTCATTCTGCACGTCGCTCTGCGTTTGGATGCAAATGAAGCAGCGTGTGTGTTGATAAGACGACCCGTTCCTAATCCTGTCAATAACACGATGGCACATTGTGGAAGGATTCCCTAATCTTTCACTACAGAGGGAAGGAGTGTAATTAAAGTGGAGCTGAGGTGGAGAGAGGGAAGGAGGGAGGAGGAGATAGATGGAGTGAGAGGAGGAGAGCTGGACAAGGTGAAACGAAGGTGTGTTTAGACGTTTTGCAGAGAGTTATGCAAAAACAAAACCTGCTATAAATGCAGGTTATCCAAGAAGACTACTTTCCCCTCAGTCTGGTCACAACGTTAATTTCAGATTTGAGATAAAGCTTTATTTAATTATTATTATTTTTATTTAAAGGTGGAATATAACTAAGGACATTTACTCAGGTATGCTACTTTTTTTTACTTTACTTTACGGATTTGGTGGTTACAGATTACAGCTTTGCTGCCTGTGATTTCCAAGACGTGATGAGTCCTTGGCCAAGTAATATATATCTTTTGCTCTCTTTACAATAAATAGTTAAACTTAGAAGTTGTCTGTCTTTCCTGGAATTCTGAACCCAACACACTCGAGCTGGTTTCTCCATACTTACCTACCCTACCTTTAAATGGGCCATTCTGCATAACAAGTATTTTTATTTTTGGTACTTAAAGTATATTTGTAGGCTAAAACGTTTGTACTTTTACAAGTACAGTTTGAATGCAGGAGTTTGACTTGTAACAGAGTATTTCTACACTTCTTTTACTTAATAAACTGTTGGGAAAACAGTGAATGTACTCTTCCAACATGAGAGTCACATGCTAACAAAAGTATCCCAACTGTAGCTGTGTACATGACAGGATGTATGATTACCTAGAAGAGCATCAGGACTGTTTGAGGCATATGATAGCTATGTGATTAACATGATGATTCAGCCTCTATGGAGATAGACATATGACAAGCATGATCATTTCTGACGTGGAGCTAATCTGAAGTAAACATTGAATACTGCTTTCTATTCCTCCATCTTGTGACTGTGTAACTCCCTCTCTTGGATATCAGCATGTGAAGGACACTGTTCAGGAACTAGTTGATGCTCTGTATGTGATGACTACTTCCATTCTGGAGAGGATCACAAATACATGGATCCTGAGATTGAAGCTCAAGCCGGGGACCAGTGATATTTATCTAACATAATCAACTTTTTATTTGATTGTTTCGGCTTTCTAGATGTAGAAAATGGGAACAAAAAGTTTGTATAATGAAACAAAAATTAAAACGTAGGATAAACAAACAACAACTAACGTACCTAGCGAGCGGTCCCTCGTCTGATTGGTCGATCGCACCACGGGCAGGCTAGCTCGAACCCGGCTGCCGCGGGTGAAGTTTGTGGGGGAGTCGGCCTCAGACATGGTGTCCAGTGACTCCAGGGAGGCCAGGGAGAGGTGGTCCGCCTCTCCAACGCTGCTGGGGCCGTGCTTTGGGCTTCTGCTCTGGAGGGGGGAGGCAACGGAAACACGATACAGTAAAAGGGTGAGACCGTGGAGACACTGGACACAAAACATTGAACAATACATGCATTCATATCGAAACGACACAAAGAAACGTGGCAAAGTTTTAGAGATAAGGTGCATTCGGGGAAGTTAGGAAACAACAGTATCTGTCATGAGCTGTGAGTAAAAAAAAAACCTTTGATGTCAAGCTTGACTCCAGCACAACAAGAAATGAATAAACCAAACCGTAGCAGTCATGCACAAGTGAATACAATAATCTATCAAATACCACGCAGCTCCGTCCCAAAAGCACCTCAAGGTAAATAAGGGTTTGAAAGCATCAGTAAGCCTCTAACCCTCTACAGGAGCGTCAACTTTGACTTTCCATATTCACCCGAGTGAGCCAGTGTCACATCTTCAGGTTCATATCAGTATGTAGTGTCTCTACTGGGACATGTCTTTGGGATTTAAGCCTTTCAGACCATTGACATGCACAAAAACCTATTTAACACACTACAGGGAAGGGAGAAGCCCTTAAAGCACAAAAGGGCTTGTCTAATAATAATGCTAACTGTGTTTAAAATACGTTTTCAAACTGATTAAGGATCGAGAAGTATGTCACATCACTTGTAGATAGGTGAGCTACGCTGTAAGCAGATCCTCTACAATAACTCAATGTGTGATGAGACTACAGAGCCAGGGAGGTATTGTGAGGCGCTGTAAGGTGATCGGCAGAAGTGGAGGAGGCGGGACAATAACTGAGAGGTCAGTGAACACTTGGCTCTTTATGACCAGGTTACCTTGAACACACCTGCATGCTGCTCTCTCACACACGTACGGGCAAATAAAGAATTTAAGCTTTTATATGAAATGCAGTTGTTGCTGTTCTCGGCCAGGACTGAGCAGGTCAGACTCTGGGAGGCACGGCGGGACACACTTTTTAGGTAGAAATGGTCACACAGCAGCAGCAGGTGTTAGTGAGGATGAAGATGCATCACACACTCACACACACACACACACACGATGCAGGTAAGATAAAAGGCTGACTAACTCTGTGGGCCAATTGGATTTTCATCAAGTACCTCTGAATGTCAAGCTCAGAGTGAAGGGAGAAGAGCATGCCCTGCAAAGACTGAGAAGAACATGAGAACAAATAAAGAATGAAGTCAAGCCAGTGGGAGGTGAGATGGGAAAACAAATCAGACAAAACAGAGAAACCATGGAAACACATCCACAGAGGACTGAGGAGAAAAGGAGGCTAATAGGAGGTGCTAACGTATCCTCCCTTTCTTTTTAGTCTACTGTTCGGTGTTTAACTTGTCAAGCATTTACTGTTTTTGATGCAAATTAATGAAGACCTGACACAGCAGGGAGAACCGCTGAGCCATCACTCAACTCCTGTAACTCGCTTAGGCTGCAAACCCCCCACAGATTACAAACCATGTGAATTAAAAAAAGTCCTTATACTGTTAATACATGCTGATAATGACCTTTTAAAAACACAGGGGTCACACGGAGTTGACGAGTCACCTGAGAGCATGTGCTGCGAAATCTAATCTGAACGATGAATGATTCATGAGAGAATTCGATGCCCTCACACACACACTGCTGTTCTGTGTCATCCTGGTGAATTACATTGGCTTCACATGTACGTAGTAATTATATCAGCCTAATCCAACCTGCATTCACACTTACAAATGTTTGCATGGAAGGCAATGAAGTAAATGTTGCTATTAGAGATGTCCCGATCCGATCACGTGATTTTCAAAAGATCGGAATCGGGAGAAAAGAAATCGGGGATCGGGATTTTTTTTTTTTTTAAATTATAAAATATTTTTATTATTTTATTTAATGTTACAAAACAAAAATGACCATGTTCACGTCTTAAAGTCATCCTGAGGCCTTAGTTTTGGTTTAAAATTACACAACATCATGTATGTGTTGCTTCTTTTGGGCTTGTTTTCATAGACCTGGTTGCTTATTTCTCTCTAATCTGGCAACAGAGTGGGCGCAGTGTCTAATAGTAGCAGTAAGCTAACGAGAGGCTACGTTCAGCTGGTGCCTCGGGAGTCGGGACAGAGAAAATGTCAGGAGTTTGGAAGTATTATAAAATTGAAAGCGAAGGCAGTGTAACAGCCAGATGCAATGTTTGCAAGGCGGAGGTTCCGCGTGGTGGAAAGAACAGAGCTACGTTCAACACGACCAATCTAATACAAACACCACCAACAACAACACGACGAGTACACAGCGGCCACTCAGGTAACGGCACTGAAACAACCGACACTTTCAGAGACTTTTAAAAGGAAAGAGAAGCTGCCCCAGAACAGTGAAAAGGCCAAAAAAAGAACAGCCAAGATAGCTGAATTCATCGCGTTGGATGACCAGCAGTTATCTGTTACCTTGTTTTTCTCTTAATGCATTGCATAAAGATCGGATCGGGAAAAATCTTTATCGGCAGATTGTCAAAATCAAATGATCGGAATCGGATCGGGAGCAAAAAAAGGTGATCGGGACCTAGTTGACCTAGTTGCTATATAGTTCAAATCAATATAAGATATGCTTGTGAAAACTTTAATTAGTTGTTTTCTAGTTTTTTTATTACAATCAGCTGGAATTAGGACTTTGAGAAACATCATTTTTGTAAAACAATTACACAAAATGATAATAGAACATCTCTGCAGACCATTTACAAACACAAACACCAATATAACACACAACAGGAAAGGGAAACCACGGAAAGCAGAATAGGACCTCATTAAGTATCATTTACTTACTCACTTAAAGTACTCTTAGTTGCTTTTCCAAGACTAACGTTTAAATAGCCTCGATGAGACAGCTGGAGAAGTACCGCGCGTGTTTTAAAGTGCAGGAAATTGCAAATGAGACCTTCTGCCTCCCTGTGGAAAGATGCAATTAAGTTAAACCTCTCCACAGCGTCTGTCTGACGAATGAGCCGTCTCCTCCAAAAGGTTAGCAGTTAGTTCTGATGAACTCCCTCGTCTCTCTTCCTCTTCCTCATGCAGATATCATCCTGACCACAGCTATATGGTCTGATATGGTCGATATGCATCAAAAGCCACTTCCTGTCCCGACTCACCACTTCCCACTTTCAGGTCCAGATGTGAAAACCGCAGGCCAACCGCTGATTATCTCTGTACAAAAAAAAAAAAACCTGCTTCAACCTGCGCCTCGTACCTTCAGTACATTCCTCACCAGAGATTCCCCTCCTTTTTTAAAGTCAAACCCGAACTGATTCAGCCGTTTTAGAAGCCTTCATTTGCTCTGACAGCCCGTGATGAATGTGAAACCGAGACAGCGACATGGAATATGATAAGTTATGGAGTCATGAAAAGAGAGCAGAAGAAACGTGTCTCGATAACAGATCTTGGGAAGAGCCAAAGATGGATGATTGATTGCCAAATACCCAGTATGATTACATTGCATACAGTCTCATAGAAATGTTAAATGTGTACATGTTGTGTAGCTTAAATGCTAATTGCTCTGCTACAGCACACAGTGTCGTTAGTCCAATGGTCACTATCTCACAAAAGGTGCTATATTGTGTATCTTAAGGTATTTAGTGGTCTTGAAGTCCTTTTGCAGCAGCTTTCATGTCATGTGCACCAGCAATGATTAAGAAACCATGCATGTGGAAAACAACAGATAAAGACAGTAAGTGAAAAATGTGTGTTTGAAAGAATGGGACACAAAGGGAGACTGAGTGCACGCATGAGTGAGTCAGGCCATTGTTCCAGAAAATCTGACCCGTTCAGGACATCCTGAAAACATTTATGCAACAGCGGTCGGACAAACACGCCGCCATGAAGAAAGTGGTTTTTTTCTGCTCTGCGATCCCGGAAATAAGTTTGACTTCTCGGTGCACCTGCAGAGCATGCATGACTTCGTTCTCTTTGGCTGTCACCTGTCTTTTCTTATAACAAAGCCCTTTAATGCTGCATGCTTTCACCACGACGTTATATCATGCAGCTCGGCCGTGGCTCCTGACAGACGGAGTGATTCAAGTCAATTGTTAGGAGTAATGGCGGCACCCAGATTTAACTATAGACTGAGAAGCTGCCAGAGCATAATGCACCACACCTGCTGCCAGCCTACACAAAGCCACCTGATTGCTGCCTACCTTCTTATATAATCAGCCGTTTAATAGCGTTCTCATAACCTGACATGTCTGCAATCGTGTCGATCTTTTCCACCTTTTCGAGCTGCATCGTTTTGTGACAAAAGATACAATGCAGGTTTCAGACGTCAGGCCATTTATCTGCAGCTTCGACAAGGGGACAATAGTGCAAATTCATGTGCTATGTACACAGGGTGAACACACACGCCCAGCTAACAGGAGGAACCCGTTTCCGTCACTCTTTCTATATTGTCCCTCCAGACAGGGAAGAATGTAAACATGAGAGTGGAAACTTGTGTGTGGTTTCAAACACAAACTGCAGTGTTGTGAGCTTCTCCACTTAACATGCTAATTTGGCTCGAGCTCCTGGGAGCGGAAACAGAGCTAACTGTAATTACCTGGCCTGATCTGAATGGCAAACACATACACACACAGCTCTGCAGACTGTTAACCCCCGTCTCATTCTGACACTTAAAAGTATAGTGTGTATGTGGTAATCATCAAATTTGAGTGGGAGGAAGTGTCCTTGAGCAACACACTGAATTAAGACTGGTATATCAGTAGGTAGTGTCTCTACTTTAAAGAGTCCTCTCCTGCTGATGTTCAGGTGTATATCAGTATGTAGTGTCTCTACTTTAAAGAGTCCTCTCCTGCTGATGTTCAGGTGTATATCAGTATGTAGTGTCTCTACTTTAAAGAGTCCTCTCCTGCTGATGTTCAGGTGTATATCAATATGTAGTGTCTCTACTTTAAAGAGTCCTCTCCTGCTGATGTTCAGGTGTATATCAGTATGTAGTGTCTCTACTTTAAAGAGTCCTCTCCTGCTGATGTTCAGGTGTATATCAGTATGTCGTGTCTCTACTTT